GACAGCGACTCGCCCACGCGCGAGACGGCGAGCTTGTCGGGGTTGATGTTGAAGTTGTCAATCGTGTGGCGGATGAGCTATTCAGGGAACGTGTGTTAGCTAACCGGAAAAAAATTCTCCAATGTCGCGCTGGGGTGGGTGTTCGCCGCCCTGGGGTTGGCGTACCGTCGCGGGATCCTCTGAGAGTAGCATCTTGGGCGGTATCAGTCGCGCAGGCCGGGTGGTTGTGTATATTGCGGTAGACTTTCGATGCTTTGTTTGCAGCCGTTTCTGTTACGTTTGGTGCTGCTTTTTGAGGCTCCTTCCCGTCCAAGAAGAAAGAGTTCAAGCTGTCGAGACGTGTCGTTGAACAAGTGCTTTGGTTGGTAAGTAGTGTGGGGACCTAGTTCAACTGTAAACAGTGAAGTCGACCAGGCGACAATTAAAGCCGTCGTGCCCCACTCAATTTCCACGAGTCCAGCCAGGAGCCGTGAAGAGCCGGAAGCTCAGTAATGTTAGTTGGACGGGTAAATTGGCATAAAAAATGAATTGGCGATTAGAGTATGCGGTTTCAGGCTGCCATCTTCGTTTCAATAACCCGGTTCATCAACCAGAACCTACTCTTCCCCAAGGTTCTTCTTGCTCTGTCAAGGCCGTTTCAGTGGATAAGGCCAACGTCATCTGCGCCACAACCGGCCGAGCACCCGCCACACTTTCTTCCCCGACGCCTGTGCCTCACCCAAAAGCTGTCCCATTCTCCCGCGACGTTCCTCGTCCACGAACCCATCTATCCGCTTGCATAAACCTCTCCATTTCCTACTTGTTTCTAATACGACTGTTGTTTTTCCTTTGACGACCTACGATAATCCATCGAACGCATCCAGCGCCGTGCGCCGACACCTCCTACGTCACCGTTGCCAAACTGGCAGAGCGCCACCAGTATGGTTACCGAACTTCCATGTGAGCTGCATCCCCCCCCCCCCCTCCTTCAACGAACGGGCGCCCCCAAGCTGGAGCATGCTTCTCGGAGAACTACTTAGAAGATTATTACTAACTCAGGTATCAGATGCTCTTGATGCGGAAACGTGAGTTTGGCCCGTTCCCTCCCAATTAAGACCCGGCCGATTCCGATGTACTAGAATGCTAACCTGTTGCGATCCGCTTCCTCCCCAGGCCGCTCAACGCCGCAGAGCTCAAGGTCCTGCGCGCGCAGTTTGAAAAGGAGGGGGAAATGGTAGGCGTACAAACAAAATTCAACTACGCCTGGGTACCGTAGCCCACACTCACACATGCATGTTGCTCGTGCTAACGGCATCACCAGGGCCTCGTCAAGTCCGACAACCGCGGCGACCAGCAGCTCGGCGTCCGGCTCCTGTCAGAAATATTCCGCGTCGCCCCCGAGCGCCGCCGCGAGTGCCTCTACTACCTCGCCCTCGGCAACTACAAGCTCGGCAACTACGGCGAGGCCCGCCGCTACAACGACCTGCTCCTCGACAAGGAGCCCGCCAACCTCCAGGCCTCCAATCTCCGCCAGCTCATCGATGACAAGGTAGCCAAGGAGGGACTCCTCGGCGTCGCCATCCTCAGCGGGGTCGGCCTCGCCGCCGGCATCGTCGGCGCCTTCATCATGAAGAATGCCCGGAAGAGGTGAGGAATGTGATTGAGCGAGGACGAGAGGCGGGCAGGCATGGTAATGCAAGAGTGGGGGTAAAATAAAGCACATAAACGGAAAATTCTTGATTTAGTATTGTATTGCTTTCTTTCTGTCACATCACTTCGGCGAATACTGGGCTTATGGGTATCTACAAACAGTGCTGGCGCTATGTGGGAAACAAAGTACCTCCTCTCCTTATCATCTTGTCTTCTTTCGAACATGAATCAGCGGACCGTAACCAATAACTACTTCAGGACAATCTACTTGCGTTAAAGAAATGAGACAAAGACCACATCTTACCGAGTACCTCGGCTTGCGGCCCAGCTCTAGCCATCTTAATGTTGGGCGTGTACGGGTCACGTTGCAAGGGGACAGAAATGGATACCAATGACAATAAAGAAAGCTAAATAACAAACGAATGTTCGCAGAAAGAAACACTGCATCCGGTCCTGCCTAAAAAGAAAACTAAAGTACAATGACTCGACTCCCATGTTCTCAAGCACAAGCTTCCGGCTGATGCGTCAGGTCGTGTTGATAAAACAGTCAATTTCGTTGTACTAGATTATAAAAAGAAACCATAAGTGCGCAACGTCGGGGACAAAACCAATTCGCCAAGAAGACAACCCTCAAATGAAAGCAAACCTGTCCTCCAAGATCTTGAGTCAACCTTTGGCAACAGCTCAAAGCAACAAATATGTAGCGCAAATGATGCACTCGAGAACCCCCTTTGCCTTTTCTCGGCAAGTATTGTCCATTCTCGTGCGGCATTCCCCACTTGTTGTCCTCGTCTGCTTGCGCATATTTGGCATTGCATGACTATTCTGTATAAACACTTTTTCCCCTTCTAACCATTCCCGCAACAATGGTATTTTCGGCTGACAAATTAGATACGGAATCGTGATTAAAATGAAGAAATGGAAGCGGGCCTGAAGAGGTAATGAAAAGACTGAGCAGATAAGGAAATGTATGGCGTAGAGCCTGTGCTGCAAAGGGCATCATGGTACTCAGACATTGGTCGTACAGAGAGCAAGTCGTCACTGAAGCAGTGCTCGAGTACCGCCAGTTTATCGCAGAGAGAAGCCCTTGCGCTTGCCCTCCTTCTCAAGAGGGCGGCCGCTCTCGACGCGCTGCTTCTTGTCCTCCAGTTCCGCACGTTGGCGGTCGAGCTGCTCCTTCATTTCGCGATGACGAGCATAAAGCTCCTCCTCTGATTGCTTGAGCTTGCTCTCCTTTTCTTGCACCTTTTGCTGGAAGACCATCTTCATTTCAGCCTCCATCTTGGCGAGCTTCTGCTCGTGCAGAGCGCGCTCTTCCTCCTGTTTGACGGCAGGGTTGACCTCTTTAAAGACACTGGGGTCCTGAGAAACGCCCATAGCGATAAGCTTGTCGGTGCGGTAGTTTTCGTAGAGGGTGTTGTTGGTGTGCTCCTTGAGCTCCTCCATGTGGGTGCGGATGAGCATCTGGCGCAGCTTGACAAAATCACAGTGCTCTTCGTTGTCGACCTCAATGGTACCCCAGGGGTAATGACGACCACGGACGGCACGTCCATCAGGCGTCTTGATCTCGTTGGTGGCACCAACGACGGCGAAGGGGACCTTGGACATGATTTCGTTGTTCTCAGCAATGGTCTCCTCGTCATCGAGTTCGTAGCGGGGGCCCTCGAAGATCTGGATACCGTGGTGCTTGATGTCGGACAGGATCTTGAGTCATGTTAGAATCGAGTGACCTTCAAAGAAAGCATGTGCAAACTAGGACTGGAACTTACTCTGGCCTTGAAGCTGGCGATCTCCTCATCGGTGAGGGTATCAGACTTGGCAATAACGGGGATCAGGTTGACCTTGGTGTGAAGGCGACGCATAACCTCAATGTCAAGGGGCTTCAGAGAGTGGCCGGTAGGCTGGATGAAGAAGACGCAAGCGTGGATTCTGTTGTCAACAATGTTCATGCGGTTGACTTTATTCTCGGCATCGAGATAGGCATCGTAACGCTGGTCAATGTTGTCGGTAATGGGGCGCCAAGACTCGTCATTGTTGACAAAGTCACCGAAACCGGGAGTATCAACAACAGTCAAGCGAAGGCGGACACCGGCTTCCTCAATATCGGCACTGATGGACTGGATGGTAACGGTCTTGGGAATAATGTCGAGGCTGGGTCCCTTGCGCTCCTTGGGAGGGTAGAGAGAGGTGTTGAAGAGAGTGTTCACGAGAGTAGACTTGCCGAGGCCAGATTCACCTGGAGGCTGGTTAGGACTGAGCGAAGACGGCCGTCGACTAAAACTTACCAACAACCATGACGTTGAAATTGAACCCCTTGCGGACACTCTTACGGTGCCACTGGTTAGGAAGGTTGGCAAACCCAACGTAGCCGGTCAGCTTGCGTCTGACAATGTTCCTGGTATCCTGTGCAGGAGCAGAAATGGAGACATCTACAGATGCAGGGTTAGAAGGGTTGTCTCCTTTAGCGAAATCTGCCGGAATATCAAGCTTGCCGTTAGCGGGGGAAGCGGGCGCCATCGTAGGCGGGGAGGCGCTGCCGTTGGTAGCTGCAGAGATTGTTAGCAATGGGTTACAATCAATTGGCCGAAGAAATAGTCATGTAGGTGGAAATGGGCATGTGCATTGGCAATTGGAGGTTCCTGACAGATCTGGTCGCTGGCTTTGTGTGGGATCAAGGGTGGAGTGGCTACTTCGGTCCGGTCAGAGCTTGCTCCATCGGAGTCGAATTTGGTCGAGTCCATTGAGCCGGTGTACAAGTCGTCAAGCGCCATTGAATTCCAAGGCAGCTTCGGCGGCTCGTCCACGTCTAGCATACTCCGGTAGGGTTGAGCGGCGTTTGGCGATGGCGTGGCTGGGTTGGAGCTAGGACACTTGGAGGGAACTGATAGGCTTGAGAATCGCTTGGCTTCTGGCTGCTGTATTGCGGGACTTCCAAGGTCGATTTTGGCCGCGGAGAGGGATTTCTGGTCCAGTTGAACACTTCGAGTGCGATGCCTGACTTGCTGGACAAAATCAAATGGCATGGTAGAGAAAGTACTGCTGGTCCGCTTTGGTGCAATGGGGCGGACGTCCAAAAAAGCAAAGCCAAGAAAACGTAGATTTTGGAATTTGATGGCCAGTGGAACAGTCGTAGAACACGAGGAAGTCGAACGTAGAGAAGTGATGAGAGAAATCCCAAGAAAGCAGCGGACGTTGTGCAGGCCCAACAGCGGCGTGGCGGGAATGAACCAGGAACAGCCCCTATTGCCTTTGCGACTGCCATTCGGCGCGAAGCAGTGTTGTAATTGAAGAAAGAGGTTTCTTACCCATAATTATGTATAAAGAGCGGTCGACCGATTCCTAAGGAATGGTTGGAAAGTACGGCTTCTGGCAAAGTGGTCAGCATTGCGATTGGATCACGAGTGCACATGCGCCATTGCGGTGCTTCAGGGACGAGGCCATCCCGTGCAGAATTGAGCAAGCCTTCTCAGACGGGTATTTTCAACAAGATAGCAACCAGAATGCCACAAGAAAGCTTGGGCCAGGATCATGGTGCGCGATGGCCTCGTCGGAAGGGGGCAGAGAGGCGGATCAGTCTGGGGGGAGCTACCTACCGATCAGAGGATGAGAAACCTGAATGGCAGCTAAGGCGTGCAAATAGAAAACACCAGAGTGACAATCTTCTGGAGGCGAAGCGTCGTGAAAATCGCGAACACGCAACTGAGAAACGAGAGAGGCAGTAGCGATGATGGCGGAAGAACGACGAAAGGAACTGACTGACGTGAGGATCGCGAGAAGGGGGGACCTTTTTGGGGGGGGCTGTTAGTTAGTGATGAATTTGGGGGACAGGAGGTGGACTTTGCGCCTTGGCTGCCCGCCCTGGGACTTCTGCCAATCTGCTTCGCACAGGGCCCTTGCCCGGGGGCGACTACCTAAAGGCATTGGGGCCTGGTTGAGTGGCACCTGGCAAAAGGGGTTTGTGCGGGACTAGCCTTGATTGGCTTAGCTCACTCAGGGGCCAGGTGGGCTGCTTTTGCTGCTTTTGCAGGCCCAGCGGCAGTCGCAAGTACTGGGTACCAGACTTGGGATCCGGGTGCCAGCGATTCGGAGACTGTGAAACCGGCAAATGAGGTATTCTGTACTTGGCAAGGTGGGAAGCTTCCGTTTCCTTGTTGCCCCAAGCTCCCTGGACTCTGGAGCAGCATCTCGGCTCCTTTTTGACCCTTTCACTGGTGCTTGATGCTGCTTCACTTGATGGGTGGCTAGGCATTACTACTAGTTAATTCGTACAGTCTCCAGTCTCAAGTAACAATACCAGCATGCAAAGTCAACTGTGGCCCACTACTGCACTGACGGATTGATACATATTACCAGCGCGAACTTGCCTGGTGTGTGACACTTCGACTGCTCGTAGTCAATGCCGGACCTTTTCCCAGCCTCCTCTTCGACAGCCATCCATTGACTGCGAAATCTTTTGGCGTCTTTGATTTTTCTTTTGATGTTTTACTGGTGCGCATATCCGTACGGATAACTACTGCTGTGCAACTTGCACTGTGGTGGGACGAGCATGCACCTTCCTTGAGGAAAAGGGGCCAAATAGGCACCCGACTGGGAGATGCAAAAGCAAAAAGGGCCGCCTTGTATCTCTTGTTTCTCCTTCTACTTCATCTCATGCTCTCGAGTCATGAACACGACGCCTGCAGTACCACTTCTAGACACATTCTCGATGATAACACTCCGTACTCAACTTTGAACTGGGTCATGCCGATGACGCTTTCCGCCTGCCCGGGACTGTGAGGCGGTTTGACAGTATCCGACCTGGTGCTGCTGGTTGTGCCACCATGTTGTCCTAGCGTCTGCCTGTCGCTCACTTTAGTGCTAATTATACCACCTTGGGATGCAAGCCGTCATCATCACGCGTGCAGGCTGCAAGTATTGTGATAAGACACCAGTACCGGTAGAGCAGTGCATATCGATACGAAGTGGCTTCGTGTTTGGTCGACGTTTCTGGGGACCTTGCCGGGGACATCGCAGGCGAGCCTGACTGTTTCCACTCAACGAATCATGCAAACGCTCAACTACCTACCTAGTATTTACATATCTATCCCATCTTTGACCGCGTATTGTGACCCATCACAAATTATTCACAAGGCGTCATGCTTTCGGACTGTGCATGTGTCCCTATTTTGCCCTGTTTTGCCTGGGCCACGTCTGTAACTACCTATGTGGGTGAATGCCACTAGATGCTGAACCTGGGTACTTGATCCCCACCAACCCGTGGTATGTAACCAACCTATAATCTTCCCCAGTTTATCGCCATATCATAGCGCCAGTGAGTCCGCCAGCCAACACCCCCCTTCTGTCAGGTAGACAGACAGTCCGAACAAAGGCGACAGAGCCACGAAGAGGTCCTCGCGCAGGGGACTGGTTGAAAGTCCAAGCTAGGTGTTGGGGTGCACAAGTGCAAGGTCCAGGGTACGAAGCTCCAGCGTGACGCATGTCACCCTTGAGAAGCCAGCTGTCACGGCTGTCACGAATATAAGCATACACAACCCAGGCGACTCTCGTTTTGGGCTTACGGATTCCTCTGTTTGTCTTTCTCGGGGAGGGACATGTGGTCGGTTGGGCTGAGAGCCCATCTTGACGGTGCGCTGCTCATAGTAAAGTTACACTTAGTCGTTGAATGAAGCAGAGATTCAACAAGTTACTTTTTGAGTGAAGGAAGCCTGTCCGTTATACACATAGATAATACAGGAAAAATGACATTTCTTTTCCTAATGTACAGGGCCCTGTCCTTGAGCAAAGAACCTCTTTGACTCTCCGCAGCGCTCGCTCTTGCACCCAGGGCAGCGCAGGAGCATTTGCTTCGAACAAGCATCGCCGCTATGGAGATGCTGCTTCGCGATATCGGCGAGGGCCTCGATAAAGATGGGGCTGCCATTCAAGCTATCCGCTCGTTTGATGGTATCACTGTGCCCGCTTTCGCCAATGACCTCCTCATCAAGCTCATATAGAGTCTCGATGTGATCCGATGTGAAGGCGATCGGGACCAGGATCATGTCCGTCTGACCACGTGCAACATAACTCGAGACAGTGTCTGCAGTCTGCGGACCCAGCCAGGCGCTGGGACCGACCTGCGACTGCCAACTAATGCGGTATGGGTTGGAGAACTTCAATTCTTGCATTACGGCATAGACCGTGGCGGCGACTTCGCCAGGATATGGATCGCCTATCGACCAGATCAGCAAAAGACGCTCAAGCATTACCTTTCCACTCTCTCATGTATACGAACCTCGATTGACAACAGACATGGGCAGACTGTGAGCAGAAAAGAGAAGAACGACGTCCTTCCGGCGTTCTTCGGGATATTCAGCGAGCTTCGCCTGGATGTTTTGCGCAACTGCCTTGGCCAGACCCGGGTGCACCGGCCAGCGGTCAATTACACTCCAATTGATCGCACCCTCGGTTTCTGCTCTTGTGTTGCCTTCCAACCGGTGGCGCCACTTCCACAGTTCATTGATGCTGCTGCCGGTTGTTGAGCAAGAATATTGCGGGTATTGAGTGAACGCCACAGCTCGACCACCCTTTCCACCGCCGAATCCATCCTCGAGCATTTGCTTATACATGTTTTCGGTGAGAGGTTCCGCGTAGCGGAAAGCGACGTACGGCTTGTGAGGGGCCGTCTCGGGAGAGATTTTGTCGAGAATCTTGCACATCTCGGCGCATTGGTGTTCGGACCACTTTCGGATAGGTGACCCACCTCCAATGGCATCGTATTGCTTCTGAATCTTGGGTGTACGGCGCGCCGAGATCAACGGACCAAGGTAGTTTTGTAATCGACCAAGTGGGATGAGATCGCCGTCGGACTGCGGACAGGTCGGGTCGGGTTAGGGTACGACGGCAGTAGGATGCAGACAAAATGCTTACAAACAGGCGGCTCAGGAAGTCGCCAACCTCAGCCGTGGTTGATGGACCACCCATGTTGAGGAAGACCATGGCCGTTGGGCCCTTGGATCCGGTCGCATTTTGCGTGACTGGTGGCGCTGACGTAGTGGCCAGGTGCCGTCTCTGAAGTGCGATCTGCTGGAAGCTTGCGCTGCTCTTAGGAAGCTTCTGGCACAGCTGCCTCGTCGTTATACGGAGCGCCATTTTCCTGCGACTGCAACTGCTGAAGGGGACAAGCTACAATCCTGAAATGCGAGCTGCAAAACAAAATGTGCAAAGTCGATTTGGAGCTTGGGTTGGTGGTCCGGAGATCAAACCAGCCGACGGCTAGTGCCGAGCTGACAGCGCTGTTACCGAGTTACTTGTACAAAAGTTGTCCAATCGCCACGAGTGTAGGTAGCCGCTAACGTACTGAACGGCCAATCGGCGTCTAGCTAATAATCAATGACGCACGTGATTTCGTGCGAAGTCGCGACGCATTTGGGGCCCAGCGCGCGGTTGCCTTGAGCGACCTCCAGGCAGCATCTCAGGGACCCACTCACTACTAAGTTACCGTGCATGCTGAGCTTCGTTTATAACAAAACTTCTGCTTCTTGCAGACGCGAGTTCTCTCGAAATCGAACATTTATTTGACCAACAAAATAAAAAATGACGGACAGCAATGATTGGAGAAGGGACGAAGAAGACGACGGAGATCAGGAGATTGACGAAACTGTGTGTACTAATCTTCCCTTCCTTGACTGTTCACTGCCACCACCCGCGCATTTGCTTAACGAATACAGTCCTTTAAAACTCAAAAAGATGCCGTTTTGCTTGCGATTGAGGTCAGCGAGTCGATGCTCAGGGCACCGCCGCCATCAGACTCTAAGAAAGCAGACCGGGATAGCCCCGTTCAAGCGGCTTTGAAGTGCGCATACCACTTCGTGGAGCAGCGCATCATATCCAACCCCAAGGATATGATTGGGATCTTACTGTTTGGCACCGAGAAGACAAGATTTCAGCTTGACGAGAATGGGAGAAGTGGCCTGGGATACCCCCACTGCTACCTATTTACCGATCTGGATGTGCCGTCAGCAGATGATGTCAAAGCTCTAAAGTCACTTGTCGAAGACGAAGAGACTGGTGATGATATCCTTAAACCGACTAGGGAAACCGTTTCCATGTCAAACGTTTTATTCTGCGCCAACCAGATATTCACAACGCGCGCTGCCAACTTTGGGAGTCGGCGTCTGTTTCTGGTCACTGACAATGACAATCCGCACTCCTCAGACACAGCCGCCAGATCAGCCGCTGCCGTGCGCGCCAAAGATTTATATGATTTGGGCGTATCTATAGATCTATTCCCCATTTCACACCACGACACTAAATTCGATTTGGCTAAGTTCTACGATGTATGCTCATGTCTCTTCACTCCAGCCATTTGTACTGATCCTTGTTAGGATATTCTATACCGGGACGCGTTGGCCGAAGCAAATCCTCAAGAAGTCGCAATCTCCAGATCAGGGGATGGGCTCAATCTTCTGACCTCTCTCATCTCCAACGTCAGCTCGAAACAAACCCCAAAGCGAGCTCTATTTTCCAACCTACCGCTTGAGATTGCACCTGGCCTGCGAATCTCTGTGAAAGGCTACAATATTATACATAGACAGGCCGCGGCAAGAACTTGCTACATATGGCTGGACGGCGAAAAACCCCAGCTCGCAGTTGGTGAAACTACCCGAATCGCGGAAGACAGCACGCGTACTGTTGAAAAGGGCGAGATAAAGAAAGCCTACAAGTTTGGCGGCGAGTACGTGTACTTTTCTCCCGAGGAGCAAAAGAGCGTCAAGGACTTTGGCAGTCCTGTCATCCGCATTATTGGCTTCAAATCTCGGCGATCAATTCCACTGTGGAGCAGCGTGAAGAAATCGACATTTATCTATCCGAGTGAAGAGGATTACGTCGGCTCTACCAGGGTTTTCACGGCGCTATGGGAAAAACTACTGAAAGATGACAAGGTCGCTCTTGCGTGGTGTATCGTGCGAAGCAACGCGAACCCGGTGCTGACTGCCATTATGCCCTCAAAGTCACAATCTGATGAATACTCGGGAACGCCATTCCTGCCCGCTGGACTGTGGCTGTACCCACTTCCTTTTGCAGATGATCTCAGAGACATTAAACCTCCTGGCAAGCTCGCGCAGGCTTCGGATGATCTCAAGACTCAGATGCGCACCATCATTCAACAGCTACAGCTGCCCAAGGCAATGTATAACCCGACAAAATACCCCAACCCATCGCTGCAGTGGCACTACAAGATTTTGCAAGCACTTGCTCTCGAAGAAGAAGTGCCAGAAACCGCCGAAGACGCGACTCTACCCAAGTTCAAAGCCATTAGCAAACGCGCTGGTGGTTACCTTGAAGAATGGTCAGAGACTCTATCTACCGAGGTCAAGTCAACCACCGAAGCAAGAGCGGTCAAGAGAGAGATTGATGACGAGCTGCCCGAGCGGCCGGCCAAGCGTGGAAGGGGGGCTTCTGCCCAACCAGCCGCGTCTGGTCTGACCTCTGCACAACTGAAAGCTGTCGTGGACGACGGATCAATCTCGAAGATGACAGTTGCGCAACTCAAAGATATTGCAGGAGCAAAGGGTCTGAGCACTAGTGGAAGGAAGGCCGATATAATAGAGAGGATAGAGCAGTGGACAGAAGAGAACTAGGAAGAGGCAGATTTTTGATTAGCTTGTACTTGCTTGTAAAAGAATATACATGTACGCGGAAACGAAAAAAAGAGAAGAACGGAAAAACGCGAAATTAATATCTCCAAGTACATAGGAAGGACGTGAGACTCTCAGCACGTATTCAAGGATTTAAAATTGACGAAACTCGTCTGCTGAGATGTTGTTGTCAAATGTCAGGGCAGGAGCCATGCACACGAAGACTGGACGCGGAAGCGTGACTGTGGCTAAGTGAATCACGCGCCCCACAAGTCTAACTAGTAGCGTTTTTGCGCGCCAACGGAGTTGAGTCGAACCTCGTCAACATGCTTGCGCCGGACGTCGGAGCGCGCCTTCTCCATCCCTAAAGATTCAATCTGTTGTCCGGACATCGACGGTGACTCGAACGCGCGTCGAGCCGGACTACTATGGCGGAATTCCTGGCCTCGTTTAACTTTGGCGCGGCAGAGGAGGAGCCGGTCCGCGACAAAGCTTGCTCGAACCTCGACGAGGTGCTGTCCCGCTTCCGCGATGGATTCGAAGGCAAAGTGACCGAAACACGCGCCGAAAGAATAAAAATCAGCGTCGACATTGGACCCTCAGCAAATTTCACCATTTTCGGGGGCCAAGGTGATAATGTCGACCCCAGCCTAAGCAGAGTCTCTGCCCGCGATGCCCTTGTATCGCAGCCGCAGCAGACCCCGATCACGCAACGTGCCGTATCGCAGGAAATACTCAATGCTATCGGAAACATAGATGGGAGCACATGGTCGATGACGGAGGAATTGCGCAAAACGCAGGGCTGGGTGATGACGTATGCCTGTAACCACTCATGGCAGCAGTGGACACGGCGTGGCAAGGCCACACAGACGCAAGCGATTCTCGATTACAGTCAAAAGGAGCTGGATCCTACGTCCCGAGGTAAGCCAAACCGAAATTCGCAACGGGGACTGAGCCGTCACTGACCGTTATGCAGCACGGCCTGCCTTTGACTGTCGTGGAACGGTGACGATTACCTTTTCCAAAGGCAACAGCGCCATAACTGTGAATTATGCACATACTCCCTTTCATCGGACAGTTGGTGAACAGTACGACTTATTCAAACCGCCACCTCCGCCCCCGAGAGCTGTTACTAAGAAGAAAGCACCCGGATCGGCTAAGAAGAGCGACACGCCTCGCAGGAAACGGGCTGCGACCGGAGCAGATGGAGAACCAACCCCCAAGAGACCAAGGCGACCGAAGAAAGGTGCCAAGAACCAGCTCTCACAGGCTGAGTTGGTTCCAATAACAGAAGGCTTCCCGTCAACCAACGGTAATGGTACGACGGTGACTGCAATCGACGCTGCAGATCATGCTGCCCTCGCCGCTCTTTCGGTAGCGACAGCGGGGGAAGCGCTTCCAAATAACGGCACAACAGGAGCAGCGAAGAACAATACAGCATCGTTGAATGTGTCGCCTGAAGAGGCGGCGCGACGGCGCGAAACGGCTACCAAGAAATTAGTCGAAGCTGGCATCGACCCAGACACGCTCAATGCGGACCAGTTCAGCATCTTCTCTAATCAGTCGCCCGAGGTGCAGAACGAGTCGCTCAACATGCTTGTCAAGTACGGCGCAGAGCGGCTGCACATTGTTCACCCACCGAAGAAGGATAGTCCACGACCGGCTGGGAGCCAGCCTGACGCCGAATCAATAGCGTCTGGCTCCGTCAATCCCAATCGAATTGCAAATCATTCGGCGAGCGAGAATGTTGAAGCAGACGCTTCTGGCGCTGAAGCAAATGGAGCTTCAGAAACACCACGCAAGGCGAAACGTGGGACGAGATCCCGCGTTTTCTGCTTTAATTGCAAGCTCTCGAAATCTAAGGCAAGTCGAAAAAAAAAACCCCCAGCCGAACGAGTATCTAACACTTTTGCAGTGCTCAAAAGAGAAACCTACTTGTAATGTGTGCCAGGAGTCTGGGCTGTCCTGCGAGTATCCAGCGCCCAGACCTAGACATAGCAAGTCTGCTGCTATTGTCACAGAAGATGACGATACCATCATGTCAGAGAACGTTGATGCCGAGGGCGAGGTAGAAGACTCTAGAACAGAAGTTGCTACACAAGCCGAGGACCCTCGCCCGCCATCGATCTATGCCCAAGTTCCTATTGCAAATATGATGCAAATCACCCCGGACGATGAAGGCAATGGATCTCACCCAATCGGAGAAGCAAGCATTCAATCTACAACTACATACGAGAATCGCGCCCCGACAAGCTCGCTGAGTTGGAGCACTGGTGGGCTAGCGCTACCGCAAGGGCGAGTTTACTATCCTCCAGATACGAGTGCCGCTACCAGTGCAGCTACGAGAGAACCGCTGCCAAACAATGCCAGAACTGTCGTGGATACACCTCTGAAAAGATCGCAGCGAGTTCCGAAACCTACGGCAAAGGTCAAGAGTCGTGTGCCGACACCAGTTCAATCTCTCATCGCTTCACCCCCCAATCGTGCAAGACACGAGAGTCCCCTTGAGCGCCATAACCCTAGACGACACGAGGCGCAACCACGCAATCCCCTTGCTTTCGAACGGTCTCCGCCGCCTACTCCATACGGCCAGCCAGCAACTCACCCGCAGTATGCAAGCGACCCGTATCGGCAAAATTCCAGCTATGGTCAAAGTCAAGGAGCGTACCCGCAACTGCAAGCTACTGCACCGGACAGAGTTGCGTATGACCCAGATTCGTACCGCAATCCTGTACCCCCTAGGGCATTCAACCAGCAAGAGCCTCAAGCCCCTGCACGTGCCCCTACTGCTAAGCCCCCATGGCCAAGTCGCGGACAAGATGCTGCGGCGGCGGACACCCTTCAGAGAATTCACGGCTATGGAGGAAACGATAATATAGGTAGTGCAATATTGTCGGCACAGGCGGCAAATCAGCGAGGCAGCACAGGAAGCAACAGCGATGGGGCGCGTGGCGTGATGGCTGCATCGAAGCGCGGCGCCTCACGAAAGTCGTACTCCTCACAGCCTACGCCGCAGCAAGCGCCGGCTATACAGAACCAGCCGCAACACGGACAACAGCCTTGGTATGGATTTAATGGTCTCCATGGTGGCTCTACGACTGGTACACAATCGAACCACAATTGGGGAGGATCTGGCGGCAGTGGCTGGAATTAGCTTCAGTGGTTGGGATCTATCTGCCGAGGCTAACTTTTCTGAGATTCGTGTACATGATTACGGATGAAGGGTGAAAAACCCGGTGATTTTGGGGCTTGGCGTACGCGGTTTGGGTCTGATCTTTTGCTTCGGATGTGTTGTAACACAAGGGATACCAACGCTTCTTCCTTGGTGGAGTAGCTTTTAGCACTGATTCTGATTCTTTGAACATATTCACTTAATTCAAACATTTGGCTCTTATGACGGAAGTCGCTTATAATTGGGTGTATTCAAATCTCAAAATAAGTCAAATGCAACGCTGTCTATGGTATGCTCGTGCAGGCAATCATCTCAACCAACCGTCTGCCCCGTTGAGGGCTCCATGTTCCATTATCTAGTCGGCAAGTGCAAACTTGCTCATGGAGCGTAGTTTGGCACCGAAAAAGTACAGAAGCCAGATGCCAATGATGCCAATGACACTGAGGCCGCCGAGGAGGCTAGTGCCCCGGGCAACTCCCAGATTGCCAAAGAGAGGGTGAGCAAACAAGACACTGCCACAGGCTAGAGCGCTGCGGAAGAAGTCATTGGCTGCAAACAAACTAGCTGCGTACATGGGATAGCTGAGAGGAATGTACACAAAGATACATTGCATGACGACGAAGACAGTCGCGCCGTAGATGGTGATGCCGATTGTCGGCACGATCCAGTGGATTGACGCGCGCGCAGTCCAGGCAAAGAGGAAGAGGCCAATGGTTGGGCCAAAAGCGGCACCGAGAGCAGGAATCAGACGCTCCTCCTGAGCACCGAAACCGTACTTGACGATGCGTGGAGTCAGGTAAAAGTACAAGTAGCAGAAGTAGCCCACAACACCGATGAGGCACGAGATCAAGATACACAAGAAGACGAGACCGATCTGGCCAAGGCTCATGTGATAATAGACAGGGTAGACCAGAGGGAAAACCTCGAAGACTAGTTAATGTGTTAGTGTCGGAATGAATCAATGAATTTTGGAAATCGGGGGATGCTCGACTTACAGGAGTAGTAAATGCCATAGATGATGGCGCTGTAGATCTGGACAAACAAAACAGCGGGATCCTTGAGGGTAATCTCGAGGGGTTTGATGAGTGCCTGGAGGAAGACGGTAGTCATCTTCTGGCTACGCTGATCAATTTCGCTCTGGGACATGAAGCGGGCGTCACCGGTAACCTTGCGAAGGCGCTGGGCGCGCTGAAGCAAGATGGTTGCGCTGCTTGTCTCAGGGAGTAACAGAAGCATGAGGACGAAGATGGGAGCCGAGGCCCAGATGGACTCGTACAGGGACCAGCGCCAACCCATGACCGGTACGGCGTATCCGCTGAGCAGCGGACCCAGAGCAGCTATGACAAAGAGAGCGTTAGCATACGTGCGCAGCAGCACAGGGAAGAGCATCGGGCGACTCACGTCCACAGTAGGCAGCCGAGACCCAAGCCATCATGGCATAGGGAATGGCCATCAAGCTGTACATGTCGCCGAGCGAGGCGCCGCCGGAGGCCAGACACGGGGAGCCAAAGAAGCCCTGGAGGAAGCGCAGGACCATGAGGCCGGCGAAGCTATGCACGAGGGCGGTGGGGATGGAGATGACGACGAAGAGGAACATGGTGGCGATGTAGACGGGGTTGCGGCCGATGCGGGGGATCTCGCTGAGGGGCGAGAAGAGGAGCGGGCCGACGCCGTAGCCGAGGACGTAGAGGGCGAGGCCGAGCGAGGCCTCGAGGCTGCCGACGCGGAACTCGGCCATGACGCCGGCGGTCGAGGCCGTGTAGATGGCCGACGTGGTGTAGACGACAAAGGTGTAGAGGCAGATGACGAGGGCGATGGCGTTGCGCTTGCCGTCGGACCAGTTGTGCGGGTCCGCCTGGTCGTCGGTGTAGTACCAGTCGACGAGGATGGCGCCGTCCTTGGTCTGCCGCGGCGCAATCGGGATGGACCGCGTCTTCTCGACGTGGTGCAGCTCGTCGGCCTCGAGCGCCGCCGACGTGATGTGGTTGATGCCGGAGCGGTGCGACGGGATGTGGGCTAGAGGCGCCGGGGCGGCGGCGGCGGCGACGGTGGAGGTGTCGTCGCCGTTGTCGTCGCTGCCGGCATCCTCCTCGAGAGTCGTGGCGGACTGGGCCGTCGCTGATTTGCGCCGGGCGGCGGCGGTGTCGCCGTGCAGGATGTTGGCGTAGGCTTCGGGCAGCTGGAAGTCGGGCTTCTCTTCCGGGTACTGGAGGTAGCGGTTGCCAGTGACGAAACGGATGAACTGGCCGATGGCGGCATCGCGGATGATGTCGGCCATGTCGATGAGAAGTTGAAGGCGGTTCCTTGCGTCTTTGAACTGGTGATGGATGACTGCAGCTTGCTATAAGAAGTCTATGGGCCTGACAAGTGACTTTTGGCCAAGCGTACAAAGTACCAAGGTTGTCGGCAAGGGATAACTGTTTAATACCGATGCAGGTATACTTATTGGTGATGATTTGTATATTCATTCACGTACAGGAGGCGAAGTCTGTATACTTATAATACACCAAGGCACCCCCATCTTGTCTCGGCGAGCGGGTAAGGCTCCGGGCCATAGAACCTCTAAGAAAATAAATAAATCAAAACTGATAGCCCCGATATGTCAGCCCAATCTGATTAATCAAGAGTAGATTTAAGATCCGGGCTGCGGCGGAGTTAGTTTGACTGGCGGTGTTAACAGCAGAAGGGACTGTTCATCTTATAAATCCGACCGTGAAAAGGGAGAAAGAAGAAAGCCACAGTGGGCTAGCGTGGGAAACGTGCCCGAGCTGGACAAGGTTGCGGCATATCAGTGCTAAATTAATAATATCAAGAGGCTCTTTGTTGTCGGATGTTGGATTACCAACCAGCAGTGGAGCTCGTTGAGTCAAACCACAACACACGTTGGTTGCGGAACTGGGATCCTCCTTTTTAAACTCATCCGCTATTAGCGCTGATCTCTAGTTGGAATCTTTAATTGTACAGCTTTGGTATTTTTGATTCTGAAACGTTGAGTTGCTTGTTGGCTGAGTCCTTGGAACACAAGTCGTTGGTTCAACTGAATCAACCATGAGAATAGGCAGCGTGGCCCGAGACACAAGCAATATCCCATATAAAGTGTCATTTTATCATTAAAATGTACATGTCCGCAAGATGAACCAGCCCAAAAATAAAATAAAAAATCACGGTGACGTCTGACGCCATCCCACGCCTTGGGCCTAGCTTAGGCGGCGGGCTAGGGACAAGCCACGCAAACAAACCAATTGAAAGTGCAATGACCGCGGCCCATCTAATAAGGAATGGTGTGCGAATCGACAGCCTGGTCACTCTGGATCGCGATGGAACGAGCCTGCGCACGCAACTATACCGCGACACGATTTTTGATAAGTAACAATTCACGTCTACATGCCAAGTTTGGCTGCTGCTTTGCAGCATATATGATATTGCTTCATGGCTGAACCAGGGATGCTGGTGGACAAGCCAATGTTGGGAATAATCGTCGATACATCTTATTCTAGGGCAAGTTCGCATCACAGGGCGCGCCAACTTGAAGCAGCGAGGGCCAGTCATTTGCGCATGCTCCTTCTTTTGCAACTTTGAGCGTAAAGCAATGAATTATCTTCTAAAAAAAAACGCCTCAAAAAGTCCCCAGAGATTTGCGTCGTTGCCATTCGGTCCCTCGCCGCTTCCCATCCCAATAGCAGATGCCCGGACATAGTCGGACGAGTCGGTTCCACAAACGCCGGTCAAGTGTTGCCAATCGCCGTCTCGAGATTAAAACCCGAGCGGCACGGATATAAGAGTAAAATAATACAATAATAATAATACACATTGGGCTGTCTAAGTAGAAGATGAACAAGGCGCAAGAGTAGGCTGGGGCTCTCTTTCGCTCACTTGGCGAAGCTGGCCAAGTAGCTGGCTGTACCTACAACCCCCCCCCCCCTGGCTCCTTTTCTTCAGAGCGCTGACAGTCCATTTTGGCAATTTTGATACATGTGCCAATTTGCGAAACTTGTCAAAAGAAGCAGCGACTAGGATGGCTGTTCTATTTGCGGTTGTAGCAGCACCTCATCCAGCTTCTCCGCAAAGAGCCGGCCCTCGTCCGTCCTGCCGTCCTTGACCAGCTCCTCGGCCGCGGCCCTGAGCTTCTGCGCAATCATCCGCCGCGGCTCCTCGCCCTCTTGCGCACGAAGCTCGTCCAACAGGCGGTCGCGCAGCCCTGCCGCCGCCTCCGCGCGCCCGTCGTCGCCGCCGTAGTGCGGGAGCAGCCGCAGCATCACCTCGAGCGGCGGCCACCGCTCGCCGCACAGCTGCTCGTAGCGCGCGTGTAGGTCCAGCGCGAGCGGCACGTCGGACGCCAGCAGGTGCGCCGTGATGGCGGCGTTGACGAGCCGCGGCGGCGCCAGCAGCTTCTCCTCGGCGTCGGCGGTGGTGGCGGTGCGCAGCCACTCGTTGAGCTCGGGCGCACGGCGCGCGGTGCCGGCCGCGGCGACAAGGCGGCGGGCCGCGGCCTTGGTGACGGGGACGCCGCTGGTGTGCATGATGCAATGCAGGCGCGTCGCGGCGCCAAGGTCGCCGTCTTGGATGAAGGCGTCGACGAGGCTGTCGTAGTGGTAGTCGTGCAGCTTGGTCCGCTGCGCGAGCATGTCCAGCGCCTCGCTGGCCAGCGCCGTATCGGCCTGCCGCGAGGCCGTGTTGAGCACGTTTTCCACGACGCCGTCGGGAGGGGTTACCTTGCCGCTGCGCACCATTGTGTTCCACCCCGCGAGCGTGCCGGGATAGTGGAAAGCGGCGCTGCACACGTCGAGGGCATAGAGCTGCAGCGCGTCCAGGCCGTCGGTCGACGCCAGCGACAGCCGGGCCACCAGTATGTCCATCATCTCGTCCACGAAGCCCATCTTGCCAAACACAAACACAAAGATGTCGTAGATCCACGGCTCGACCCGTGCGCTGCTCGCGTGCAGTCCCATGAGCGTGTCGTAGGCCAGCTCGTACTGCTCGTCTCGGAGCAAGGCCACGGTCAGCGTCGGCTTGTTGTCTGGCCAGTCGCAGGCGCGCGCGTGATGCATAATCTCGAGCATGGCGGCGTAGTTGGGGTGCACCATGAGGGACTCGAGAGCCCCGGTGTAGAAGGCCTGCGTTGGCTCGATGCCCTGCTGCGCCATGTCCTTGATGAGGGCCACGAGCGCGGTGCCGCTGTTTTCCGGATCCCCCATCGTGTCCACGATGCACTCGTACAGAAACGCCGTCAGGCGCTGTCGGCGCTGCACGACCAGATGCCTGACAAGATGTACGATGCGCTTGTGCCTGTCCACAGTGGATGTTGTAGATATCCAGGGTTGTTCGCGACCGCGCAGCGTATGTAGGTGATCCGTCAGCTCGTCGATGGATGCTGCGAACAGGATCGCATCGCTGGGCGGCGCCTTGCTTGTAAGGACTTTGATCTGCCTCGGCGCCGGCGTCGTCGATCCCGGTCCCGGCGGCCCCGGCCCCGTCCTCAACATGCCCTGAATATACGCGTCAATTGTCGTCGACGCTTCTGCGCTGTACGGTCGGCGCTGTATCGTCGTTGAACTCGAAGCTCCTCGTGGCAGCTCGCAGCGCAGCGCACGCGAGCGCGCACTGGTCGGTAATCGCCTAGCATGCCGCACAATTGTCCTGTCAAACGAGGGGCAGAGGCAGCGCCAAAGGCCATCGTAGATGATCGAACTGCGCTGCATAATTCTCTCTGATTTCCCGCAGCTATCCCCCTTCCCCGAGGTTGTCAAAGAAATCGATGGTTGTGCAAAGGAGGCCGTTAATTAGTTGGCACTGCACTTTTGGCTTTGGCTTTGGCTCCACGGAAGGCTTCCGCAGTTACCAACCGGGGCAATGCAACTGGCGAGGTTCTGCGCTAGACTGAACCAAGCCCACCACCATCTTGCAGTCTCCCTCCAAGCAAGTGACCTCAACAGCACACAGCTCCCGATCAACATCAAGCTACACCGTTGCCCGCACACCATTGGGCTTGCATTTCACGTTGCCACATTTATCCGGAATATACACAGCTACACACACACAATGGTGCGGATACTCTACGATGGCAGGCCCGCGCACGCGATCGCTGCGCGCATCCCACTGCGCTGTCTTGCTCGCTCGCCTTTTAGCATCTGCCTTCTTTCTTGCTAACGCGCTTGTTTCCCTGCAGCTTCCTCTCGGCCTGCTCAACGCCGCCCAGGGCCACCCGATGCTCGTCGAGCTCAAGAACGGAGAAACCCTCAACGGACACCTTGTCAACTGCGATACGTGGATGAACCTCACACTGACACAGGTTGTCCAAACAAGTCCTGTACGAATCCCACTACGCAACCTGGCGCGCACATGAACAAATGATTCACACAAGCTCGGACCTCTCTTGCGATACCGCCTTGTCCACCCCTACCGAACACACTGCTGACCATACCTGCAGGAAGGAGACAAGTTTATGCGCCTAAAAGAGGTCTACGTCAAGGGCAACAACGTACGAGACGTCCCAATCTGCCCCTACCCGATTCTGCGCTGCCCACGAAACAGGAATGCTAATTCTGCCGCCCCCTCGGCCTCTCCTTACAGATCAAGTACCTACGAGTTGCTGAAGAAATCATCGAGCTTGCCACCGAGGCGCAAAAGAACCAGCAGGGCAACTTCCGCGGCGGTCGCGGCGGCCAGTCAAGAGGAGACCATGGCGGTCGTGGAGGCGGCGACAGGGGACGGGGAGGCCGTGGCGGTGGCCGTGGTGGGCGAGGTCGCGGTCGCGGACAGTGAGCGGGGAGACAAAACCCGACATGAATCCTGCAACAGAAAAAAAACGTCCTCTTTACTCGTCATCAACAGATTTAGAAAGTGCTGGTGCATTTTACTTTTGGGATATTCACCAGATACATATTTTTAGCGTCGCCTTTTTCTCATGAGTATGGGGCCCTCTCTGATCACTCTGATACCCCCCCCTCTATCAGAGTCCATGACGGAGAAGGATGGGTTGCTAAAACAACTCCGTCAACTACCTACCTATGATTGACGGCTCATTTTCAGCTCGGAAAAGTGCATAGTTGTGACTGAGGCCATCACAGGCTAGGCAACGAAAGAGTGAAGACCTCAAGTAATACAAAATAAAATCGAAAAGGCCATGTCACGATGACTCCTTGTCTCCGCGGTTGTGTACTGTTAGGTAGATTTCGTGATACAATACTGAAAGCACCAGATATACATAGGCATAGCCAAGATAAGACGAAGGTATATATATTAACAGGCTCTATTATTATCAATTTACTCATGGGATCTCGGAATTCTAGCAACGCGTCATGAAACGCCTCGTTTCATCGTGCAAAATAAAACAAGTCCTTCAACATCAGTTTACAACTTCCCTTTAGAAACTCGCAACAGCAACGGCAATAGCCTGGGTATCCGAATGCGAGATGGAGAGGGATATGTCCTTCACGCCAGCCCGTTTGGCAGCGGAGGCGGCATCGCCGTGAAGCTGTAAATATGTGTTAGCTGATTCATGTCTACCGCGAATCATTGAGCACCATGCAACTTACCGAAACCTTGGGCGCGCCAGTGTCGTCCCGGGAGATTTCAATTTCCTTCATGGCGGCACCGGCGCCCTTGCTGCTGACACCGAGCGACTTGAAAACGGCTTCTTTGGCGCTCCAGCGACCAGCGAAGGAGCTTTGGGGGCTAGGAGCCTTCAGGCAGTACGCAATTTCACTCGCGGTAAAGTTGCGCTCGATAAAAGTGTCATTTTCCACGTTGATGGCAGCAATGTCCTCAACATCCACGCCGACTTTGCTGTTCTGACTCGCCACTTTGCGAGCAAGCGTCTCCATGACCTGCTGAGTCTCCTTGGCTTGTGTAGAAGAAACAGCCTTCTCAGACTGCTTCATGAAGTTAGCGGCAAAGGTGAGGTCAGACGTCTTCTTCTCAGTAGAAACACGAGCGTCAGGGTTGAGGAGTACAGAGCTGAGCTGCTCGTCCGTGTAAGGAGCCTTGGACTTGGCAACGAACAGGCTGTTGTTGATGAGACCGTTGTGGAAGAAGCGGTACGCCTTCTTCTGGCGAGCCTCAACCTTGGCGCAATACTCGTCGTAGGTGTGCTCATCAAGAGTAGCAAAGAGGTACTTGGGGTGGACACCGATAGCCTGAGCACCCTTCTGGCCGAACCCAAACGAGGTAACGGAGAAGGCCTTGATGCCGTCGGTCTGAATGCTGCGGCTGGGGTAGAGAATCATGTCGAAATCTTCCATGATAGGGTCGACATTGTCTGCATTGCGGTTGCCAGGAACTAAGCCCGTGCTGAGGACTTGCAGGCAGCCGTTCAACATCCAGGCACCAGCAGCACCCTTGGGGTGACCAGTGAGGTACTTCTGGAAAATACCCAAGACCGCGTTGCCCTCGGAGCGGCCAAGATGACGCAGCTGCTGACAGATGACAGATGATTCATTCTTATCGTTGGCCTTGGTGGAGGTTCCGTGGAAAGAAGCAACACCGAGATCATCGATGGTCAGGCCCCAGGTAGCAAGAGCGCCACGGAGAGGAGCGATGCTGGGGTCGCTCTTCCAGAAGTTGTTGCCCATGCTACGCAAAAGTTCCTTCTCTTGGCGGATCGCTTCTTTTTCAATGTGCTGAACGCGCTCATATGCATATTCCTTCTCGTCAAAGTCGCCCTGTTGAACCTTCATGGCGCTAATCTCGTCATGAATATACTCAAGCTCCGATTCTTGCCATTGCTTGATCTGCTTCTTGCGGCGCTCTATCTGGCGACGGCGGTAGTCAATGTCGAGGAGAGGCGAGGGGAACTTGCCAGCATGCTCACGGGCAGTCGTGAGAACACCCTGGCCAGGAGCAGGAACGGAACGACCAATCTTGTCAGAGGCAGTGGTAGTGAGCGCAAGGATACCGTGGATGGGAACACCCATGTCAAGAGCAAGCTTGGCAGTCATGATAACCTGGACACCACAGCCCTGAGACTCCATGAAACCGTTTCTGGTAGTAGTGGTGGGACGAGACATCTCCTTGGGCGTGCGGCCATGGGCCATCTCATCAACAGTATTGCTAGTGGCTTTCATGTTGGCAAACTCATAGGAGCCTTCCTCACCAAAGTCATCAAAGCCGCCGACGAAGCAGACACGAGCCTTTCCTTCCATGATGGTCTCGTAACCAATGTCGACTGACTCAACAGCGGTAGCGCAAGCGCCAACAGGGGTCTTGATGGGACCGGATGAAGAGATAAGCAACATGTTGACCCAGGCGGCCATGGTGTTGATGAATGACTCCTGGAGAATATCGTTCTGCAGAGGCTGGTCAAGATAACGGTCTTTGTGCATACCGCGAAGCGCAGTAGTACCACCCATCCCAGAACCAACGCAGTTGCCGACCTCAGAGACATGAACATACTTGTAGAACTCATAGGGGTCAGTAATACCACTGGATAGCAGAGCCTCAGCAGTAGATACGAGCAGGAACAAAGTGACAGGGTCAACCTGATCGATAATGTCATCAGGAATGCCGTATCGCTTGGCGTCCCAGCCGGTGGGGATCTGACCAGCTACCAGGCGGTCGAAACGGAGCGCTTTGGGGATCCAGAGAGAGGCTCCCTTCTTTAGGCGGATGAGATATTCGCCGCTCTCGGGAATCTCAAACACCTCAACCTTGTCGGCGTGTTCACGCTTGAATTCCTCAGCAGTCTCTTTGGAAGATTCAAAGGGTTCGAGATCCTCCTCGATAACGACTTCATGGAGAAGCTGCTTCTTGGTGGGGTCATATCCAGCGAAAAGCTCGGGTTCAATCAGGCGGATACCAGAGTGGTCCAGAATGAACTTTTCATACTTGGCCTTGATGTCCTTGTCGTCAACAGGCTCGCCAGTCTTGGCATCGACCCAGCCAGCGTAAGGCTTGCCCTTGATGGGGCCGTTGTGATTCTTGATGAGACCCATGATCCAGGCCATCTCAACACAGCCCTCCAGAGAGAACTCGCCAAAGGCTTCCATCTCCCATCGAGTGCGCGAGTTACCCCAGGGACCAACTTCCGCGAAACCGGTGACGACGACAACCTTCTCGAGATCGACCATGCCCTTGAGCTTGTCATTGAGGGGAGCGACCTCGTCATCCCAGTCAGGTAGAGGAGGGAAGTCGAATTTGATGTTCGCACGAGGATCGATTGTCTTCTTCTTGTAGAGAACCTCGGATTCAGCGCCATTGACGATGGTGTTCTCAATAGCGCTTTCCTTGGTCACAGCCCGGCGGATCTCGCTTGTCTCCATGATATCCTTACGGAGCTTCGTCATGGCCTCATTCAGGTTGGGAATGAATTGCAAACCACCGTTCAGATCAGCGAAGACAGGCTCAGACTGGCAAAGATCAACGATGGTAGGAGACATGAGTCCGAGCAAATTGAAAGCCATCTCCTGCTGAGAGAAGGTGCGGACACCGAAAGCCTCAACACCCTCAGCAACGATGTTGTTGCCCGACATTAGGCCCGTACCACGAGTCCAGCCAATGACAGCACCGCAGATCGTGAGGTAGTTGGCCCAGCTCTCAGAATACCATCTGTTGAAGAGGGTCTCCAAACCAAGCTTGGACTCTGAGTATAGACCGTCATTGCCAAAGGTACCATGGTTGGGAGATAGAGGAAGAACAACCTGGGCAGGACGGGTCTCAAAGCCACGTTCAGCTTTTTGAGCCTTAACGCAACCAAGAAGACGGACAAGGTTGGTGAGCATGATACGGTGAGCGAGCTCAGAGCGCGAGTCGACGCTGTCGATCTGGCGGCCATTCTCAGAGATGGCTGCAAAGGGCACAATGTAGTCAAGATCCCAGCCCAGGCCATTCTTGGGGTCATAAATGTAGTCGATGAGGGCTTCGACGTCCTGCTTGCTGCCCTGGTTGAAGGGAACAACGACAACCTGAGATCCACGAGAGCCATAGCGAGTGTACATCGACTGGTAATACTCGGTGACTTCCTTGGAAAAGCGGCTAGTGGTTACAACGACGCGGGCGCCACCGCTGATGAGACCCTGGAGGACCTCAGCACCAATGGAGCCGGCGCCAGCACCAGTCATAAGAACATGCTTGCCAGTGAAGGTGACACCAGAACGAGCAGCTTCCTCGAGGCAGTCGAGGTAGACAGAAGTAAGCCTTTTACTGTAATCCCAGCCATGGAGAGACTTCTTCTTGAGATGGAGGAAGGGAATGGTCTCAACGCGGCCCTTATTGTTGCTGCTGCCCTTGAGGGAGGCAGCCTTGCGGCCCTTGGCGGATTCCTTCGGAATGATTTGGCTTTCATTCATGCCAAGAGAGCGAAGCACATCACCGTACAGGCTCTTGATCTCAAGCTGGGAGGTCTTGGACATCTTGTGCTGCTGCTTGATGAGCCTGTAAATGCGCTGGAGATCGCTCTGGACCTTGGTGCGGTTGCCGTACTCGGAGATCTTGCCACCCTCAGCCATTTGTTGAACGTAGTGTTCAAGCTTTCTGCAGCTGGCACGAGGAACTTCCTCGTAGTTGAGGTTGCCACGAGCATCGACGGTGGTGCGAGGGCCAGTAGGCACAGCGACATCCTTGTAGTGAGGGGCAACATTCAGAACGTCTTTGCAGTTGTCAATGAGCTGATACCCCAGTTCTTTGGCAAGCTGGTATGTTTCGCCTCGCTCGGCGGGACAGTTGTCGATGTGGTACTGCATGAAGTCGAGCAGTTTGGGGTTGGATTTGTTCATGATGCGAATACACTGGCTGACAATTTCACGGTCAACAGTCTGGAGTCTACCAAAAATGATCTCATAATACATGCTGAGACCATCTTGGCGAGCCCAATTCCACGAAGAGTCGTATATGCGAGCCTTGAGTGGGCTGAAGACAGGCTCAATACCCGAGGCATAAAAGTCGCCATGTTCGGCAGTCCAGAGGTCGAGCTGCGCCTGCAGCACTTTTTCGGACTGTTGAGAGTCGATGAAAGCCTTGTCGCCAGAGCGGAGGTCCATCTTGAGATAACGAGCAAATAGCTCGAGCTGCTGCTTGAATAGAGCGCGCTGATCCTTGGTCAGGGCATCGATGGCGGCGGGATCCATCATCATACCGGCGCCACCACCGCCACCAGCATCGGCGGCAGTAGTGCTGGTGAGACTGAAACCGGCGTTGGTAGCGTATTTCTGAGTAACATCGTCGAGAAAAGCCTTGGCGTCGCCTTCAGCACCGAGACGGGCAGCTGGCTCCATGGTGAGCGCAAGTAGCAGAGCCCCGTCCTGGCGACCAGAAGCAAGGCCCCATCTTGTTTCAAGATACTTGCGAGCAGCTGTGATATTGAAGCCACCGGGCATCTTGGAGGAAATGAGACGGGCGATAAGAGACTGCGAGACCTTGCCCAGATTGCCGTCGAAGGTAGGCTGAAGCGATGCGCCCAGCTCATCTAGGGGTGTATCTTCGGGCTTTTCGGGAGTAGAGCCAAATTCTTTGCCAAGATCGCCGAGAATCTCATTTTGTAATGTCGACTTGCCTGAACAGAACTGTTAGTACTGAGGCACCTGTTGTGGCCGGGGAGACAACATACCGCCAACCAAGTCCTTGATTGCCTTGCCGAGGGGAACATCAAGTAGGGGCTTCTTCAGCTTTTGCGCAATGAGCGCGCGGACAATGTCGACAGCCTGCACAGGCTGATCGGGAACCTGGGCTGCCGGGCCGGCACCGGGGGGAGGGGCGGCGGCGGCGACGGGGGCGGCAGCGGTAGGCGCAGCTCCTTCGGACGCTCCGGCAGCGGCAGCTGCGGGCTCTGGCTCATCCTCTACCGGGTCAACGTCGTAGTAGATTTCCTTTGCATCCTTGTTGTAGCAAAGAATCTGTCTCTGCACGGATTTGGCTGCATCGTAGGCTTCATACTTGGAGGCGAGGGTACGCTTGGCCATGACACCAAGGGTGTCGGCCGGACCAATCTCTACCACGCGCTCCGCCGTCCTCTCGCCGAGGAAGACGTCCTGTGTTTCAATCCATCTGACAGGCGAGGCAAACTGGTAGGCCAGAAGCTCGATGAGCAGGGTGTGGGAGAGTTCTTGTTCGACTTCGGGACGCATGTTGAGAGAGGTGGGAAATAAACAGCCGAATGCGTAATGAAGTATGTATAGAGAACTGGGTCGAAAGGGTAGTTGGAAGCTGCTGTTGATTGCAAAGACCAGCACGCGCCGATGCTGCGATGTATAGTGTTCGAGAGGGAGAAATATTAGTTAAGGGTCCCGCGCAACCCAGCTTGGAGCGGCAGCTTTGGAGAGGCGATTCCAATGCTGGTGGAAGACAAAGGTATGGATTGGTAGGGAGGAGAATGAAGAAGCCTGATGCAAGTATTATGATGTAGGATAAGAAAAGTACAAGAGAGTAACAATATCTCCCAGGCAGGATGGTACGCGATGGGCAAAATTTTGGGAGGGACGAGACGGAATCAAACGGAGTTTGAGCATAACTACCTAGGAGGTAGCAGGCCTTGCCTTGGCTGGGTGGTGGCTGTCAGGCGGTGCGGATTACAGCGGCTTGGATTGTTGAACTGGGAGACCCACATAGCCGTCCCCAAGGAGAGCTTCTGGTGGAATAAAAAATTGGGGAATGCTGCGGCAACTGGCGTGGCACGCCTACTGCAGGGCGCCTCAACCAGATTGCTAGTCTAAACCGCAACGGGAAAGGTGTGCTCTGTCCGGAACCCATTTAGTTCCAGTGCTGTCAAAAGCTGGTGGTGGTGGGAAAGGGGAGTTTGCAGTAGTGTACGTGTACCTTACTGTGCTGATACTAGTAAAACAAACGGCAGAGTTGCCATTCAACAAATTCCATTAGCACAACAGCGTTCGTCGTGTGTTTTCCGCCGGGCTCCTTTGCTTCCCTTTCCCCGCAGGCTGGCTAACGCAGACCCAATCTTGGCCAGCAGTTTTTTGTTTCTATGTTTTGGCTATAGTTTTTCTGCCCGGCACAACGGAGCATTGCCCCACCAAAGTACCCTGCAAGCACTGAAAAGCGATTGATGTGTGCACTATTACAACGCAATTTCGCAGCAATGTACAAGTACAAGGTGGCGCTAAAGGGGTGGCAACCAACGCCGGTCGGCCATGGACTGAACACTGGATTGTACAGAGGTTTGACAGGCGATGGAAGCTGACGCGATCATTGCCGCACACAAACCTGGTTGATGCAGGACATGTTTGTACTCAGCTGCTACTTAATGGCTGAAGGGAGGCACCCTACAGATAGGTACCTATGGCTCGGCTGGTGGGGGCTGGGCATCATCATACCTAGGTAGGCAGATACTCGACAAGCCCTGGATGCCAATGGCATTCGCAGATATTGATGAACAGCGACTCTACTCCGACAAATATACAACCTTAAAAACCACGTCTAAGTGCGACACAAGAGGGGAATCAAAGGGTAGATGTGACTAATAATAAAAATCACGTAGTAACTATTGCTACTCATCAGTGATTCTCAACCGGTCCTGTACCCTCTGCACATCATTCTCCCCAGATCTAGTTATGTCTGTATCTTGAGAAGACGATAAGACGCCAGCATGCCAGAAATAACTCGCCCCTCCATTTGTCCGTGTTATCCCGCCCATCCCGCTACAATCAGACCACAAGAACGCGGCCGGAGCTTCTTTTAGACGCCTCACCGCCTGCCGCCTTGGGACTTCCACGTTGCAACTGACAATCGCACGCTGCAAGCCACTGATAACCGCTGCGTCTCGAGTTTATCAGCACATTGGGGCGGCATCCCCTTTCAACAAACTGTGCCCACTGGTGTCAAAGCCTGGCCAAATTGGCAGCTTCTGATAGGGCGAGAGGGCTATGTGCAGGAACGTTGCATGACCCAACAGGGACCAGCTCCCCCAGCTGGCGGTTGCTCCAATCTAACCCCCCAACTGCAGCTGTGGCGTAAGTACCGGTACCTAAATCTGCCCCTCCGTCTCCAAGCTCCCCGAAAAAAGGGACCATGGCAATCCCCAACAGAACTAATTTTTTTCTTGAGTGAGGCCACACACATCTCCCCGTAACCTGGTAGTGAGCTTGCTACTAAGGTACCTCCAACTAGTGCTGTAACCCGCGGTTGTTGCCCGTACCGTGTTTACAGTGGGTGCTGTAGGAGAAGCAGGTACCGCCCTCGGGCGGCTTTGCCTGACGTCGGCTCTCCAACCAAAACTCCAGTTCCTAATTTTTCCCGACTTGTCCGACATTGGCTTGACGTTGAGAGAACCGCCTCGAGTAGCATTTCTGTCCCACCCATCGCGTCTCTCCTATCTTCCTCTTCCCTTTCTATCTTAATCCTTCCCCTCAATATCTTCATTTCCCCATAACCTCGTTTGCTGTCAGTTGTCAGCTTTGATCGCCGTATTACTCCCAATCGGCGACCAAGCTCCTTTCTCAACTTGTGCCCTTACAAACGGCCCAAACACAATCCTGGGCACAGAGGCACCACGACCACCATCACGACTTCAGCAACCGGGTTTCTTAATAGGTTTGTGCCTAGAACCCAATTGGCGCACTGTTGCACCGCTAATCACCTGTCGCCCCCAGACTTGTACACGATACCTTTTAATTCCGTCATCTACCATCATGTACGGAGCAGGAACCGGGCCCCAGACGGGCATCAACACCCCGCGATCCAGCTCCTCCCTACGACCATTGACACTTTCTCACGGCACCCTTGAGACATCTCTCCTCGTCCCTACAAGTCTGCATTTCCACGCATCACAGCTAAAAGAACGCTTCACTGCGAATCTACCACCCCCGACCGATGAGCTCGCTCAAGATGACGAGCCCTCGTCAGTTGCCGAGCTTGTTGCGAGGTACCTTGGGTTTGTTGCTAAACAGGTGGAGAATGGTGAGGACGACGCCCAAGGCTCCTATGAGGAGGTACTCAGACTTGTTCTCAACGAATTTGAGCGCGCATTCCTCCACGGGAACGAGGTCCACGCTCTCGCTGCCACGCTGCCCGGCATCGAATCCAAGAAACTTGAGGTGATCAAGAGCTACTATGCTGCCCGCAGCGTCTCTAACAGAACCGTCAAGCCGCACGAGTCTGCTCTCCTGCGCGCTGCCGACGATGGTGCGGCCGACATTTATACCATTTTTGGCGGCCAGGGCAACATTGAAGAGTACTTTGACGAGCTGCGCCAAATTTTCACCACATATTCTGGTTTTGTGTCTGAGCTCATTACAAACGCTGCGGAGCTGCTTCAGACCCTCTCCAATGATCCCAGCGCCGAAAAGTCCTTTGCCAACGGTCTCGATATTATGAACTGGCTTCAGCACCCTGAAGCTACTCCCGACACCGACTACCTCATTTCAGCCCCCGTCAGCTTCCCCCTCATCGGGCTCGTTCAGCTTGCACACTATGAAGTCACCTGCAAGGTCCTTGGAATCACCCCTGGCCACCTTCGTGAGCGCCTTCGCGGCTCCACTGGTCACTCCCAGGGTATCGTCATGGCTGCTGCCACTGCGTCTGCCGACTCTTGGGAGTCGTGGCGTGAGATTGTCACTTCTACCCTCACTATTCTCTTCTGGATTGGTACCCGAAGCCAGCAAGCATTCCCCGTCACCTCTATGACCCCTACCATGCTTAGGGAGTCCATGGACCATGGTGAAGGCACCCCCACTCCGATGCTTAGCATCCGTGACCTCTCGCAGCAGGAGGTTCAGAAGCACATCGATGCTACTAACCAGTACCTCCCCGCCAACCGCCATATCAGCGTCTCTCTCATCAACAGCCCCAGAAACCTGGTTGTCACTGGGCCTCCCACCTCCCTCTATGGCCTTAACTCGCAGCTGCGCAAGGTCAAGGCCCCCACCGGTCTTGACCAAACACGAGTTCCCTACACTGAGCGAAAGGTGCGATTTGCAAACCGCTTCCTCCCAATTACCGCCCCTTTCCATAGCCAGTACCTCACCGACGCCACTGCTATGATTGACGAGGACCTCAAGAATATATCTATCGACAGCAGTTCTCTGGGAATTCCTGTCTTCGACACAAACACTGGCAAGGACTTGCGAAACGAGGTCGCCGGCAACATTGTCCCAACTCTTGTTCGTCTTATTACGCGCGATCCTGTCAACTGGGAGACTGCCACCGTTTTCCCAAATGCAAGCCATGTCCTCGACTTTGGCCCCGGTGGTGCCTCTGGTCTTGGCAACTTGACCAGCCGGAACAAGGAGGGTACTGGTGTTCGTGTCATTATTGCTGGTGCCGTCGAAGGCTCTCTCGAGGCTGTCGGATACAAGCCTGAGCTCTTCGATAGAGACGAGGAGAATGCCATCAGATATGCCATTGACTGGGTCAAGGAATTCGGCCCCAAGGTGGTCAAAAACTCGAAGGGCGAAAAGTACGTGGACACCAAGATGTCTCGTCTTCTTGGCTTGCCACCTGTTATGGTTGCTGGTATGACACCCGCTACCGTTCCCTGGGACTTTATCGCCGCAACCATGAACTCTGGCTACCATATTGAGCTTGCTGGTGGTGGATACTTCAACGCGAAGTCAATGACCCAGGCTCTTGAGAAGATTGAGAAGGCGATTCCCGCTGGCCGTGGTATCACTGTCAATTTAATCTACGTCAACCCTCGTGCCATGGCTTGGCAGATTCCCCTCCTTGGCCGTCTTCGCGCTGAGGGTGTACCTATTGAGGGTCTTACAATTGGTGCTGGTGTACCTTCCATCGAAGTTGCTCAGGAGTACATCGAGACTCTGGGTCTGAAGCACATTGCTTTCAAGCCTGGCTCGGTGGAGGCTGTACAGGCCGTCATCAATATCGCCAAGGCCAACCCAACCTTCCCTGTCCTTCTGCAGTGGACCGGCGGCCGTGGTGGTGGTCACCACTCCTTTGAGGACTTCCATCAGCCCATTCTTCAGATGTACGGCCGCATCCGTCGGCAAGAGAATATTATTCTTGTGGCTGGTAGTGGTTTCGGTGGCGCTGACGATACTTATCCGTACGTGACTGGTGACTGGTCAAAGAAGTACGGTTATCCTCCCATGCCTTTCGACGGCTGCTTGTTCGGAAGCCGGATGATGGTTGCGAAGGAGGCCCATACCAGCAAGAACGCCAAGCAGGCCATCATCGATGCACCAGGTCTGGAGGATGGACAGTGGGAACAGACCTACAAAGGTCCCGCTGGCGGTGTCATTACTGTTAGATCTGAGATGGGTGAGCCCATTCACAAGCTTGCTACCCGCGGTGTCCGCTTCTGGGCTGAAATGGACCAAAAGATCTTTGCTCTGCCAAAGGAGAAGCGTGTTGCTGAGCTGAAGAAGAACCGTGAATACATCATCAAAAAGCTCAATGACGACTTCCAGAAGGTCTGGTTTGGTTGTAACAGAAGTGGAAAGGCCGTCGACCTCGAAGACATGACATATGCCGAGATTGTTCGCCGTCTCGTGGACCTACTCTATGTCAGGCATCAGGAGCGTTGGATCGATGCCTCCTTTGCCAGGCTCACTGGTGACTTTATCCACCGCGTTGAGGAGCGCTTCACTACCTCTCCTGGAAAGCCCTCTCTCTTGCAGAGTTATGCTGAACTTGACGAGCCCTATACTGCTGTGAAACGCATCCTCTCCTTCTATCCCGAGGCCGACAGCCAGATTGTCAATGCTCAGGATGTCCAGCACTTCTTACTACTTTGCATGCGCCCCGGTCAGAAGCCCGTCACTTTTATCCCTGCCCTCGACGACAGCTTTGAATTCTTCTTCAAGAAGGACTCTCTGTGGCAGTCTGAGGACCTTGACGCCGTCATTGGTCAGGACGTTGGCCGCACTTGTATTCTGCAGGGCCCCACCGCCGTCAAATTTTCTACTATGCTGGACGAGCCTATCAAGTCTATCTTGGACGGCATCCACAACTCTCACATTGAGTATCTTACACGTGACTACTACGGCGGCAAGGAGAGTTCCATCCCTACAATTGAGTACTTCGGCGGCGAGTTGGTCGAGACCGAAATCCCTCTCGATATTGAAGGACTGACAGTCAGCTATGACGAGCACAAGAACACCTACCGCCTTGCCTCTGGTGCCGCCGCTACCTTGCCCTCTGTTGATGCGTGGCTATCACTGCTCGCCGGTCCCAACCGAAACTGGCGCCATGCGCTGCTCATGTCCGATGTTGTCGTTCAAGGCCAAAAGTTCCAGACCAACCCTCTGCGCCGCATCTTTGCCCCCGCCCGGGGCCTGTTTGTTGAAATCAACTACCCCAACGATCCCTCCAAGACCGAGATCGTCGTCAAGGAGCAGCCCCGCTACAATCAATACGTCACTGTCATTGAAGTTAAGCTGGCCGACAAGAATGAGATTCTTGTCAACATGATTAAGGACACCACGGCTCTTGGACACCCTCTGGGTCTTCCCCTGCGCTTTACCTACCACCCCGAGGCTGGCTACGCTCCTATCCGAGAAGTCATGCATGACCGCAATGACCGTATCAAGGAGTTCTACTGGAAGGCGTGGTTCGGGAAAGATCCCATGGATCTTGATGCCCAGGTCACTAGCAAGTTCGACGGTGGCAAAACCACCATTACCGCTGAAGCCATCAACGACTTTGTACACGCTGTAGGCAACACTGGCGAGGCATTTGTTGACCGTCCTGGCAAGGTTGTCTATGCTCCCATGGACTTTGCCATCGTCGTTGGTTGGAAGGCCATTACCAAGCCCATCTTCCCCCGCACGATTGATGGTGATTTGCTTAAGCTTGTACACCTTTCCAACGGCTTCCGCATGCTCCCTGGCGCGGAGCCTCTTAAGAAAGGAGATGAAATCTCTACCACTGCCCAGATCAACGCTGTGATCAACCAAGAATCAGGAAAAATGGTTGAGGTTTGTGGTACCATTACCCGTGAAGGCCAGCCTGTGATGGAGGTCACCTCCCAGTTCCTCTACCGGGGTGCCTATACCGACTTTGAGAACACCTTCCAGCGCAAGGTCGAAACCCCTGTTGAAGTTCATCTCGCGACTAGCAAAGATGTTGCTGTTTTGCGCTCCAAGGAGTGGTTCTCCACTGACGAGATGCCAAATGACTTTGACTTGCTGGGCAAGACGCTTACTTTCCGCCTGCAGAGTCTGATGCGCTACAAGAACAAGGATGTTTTTAGCACGGTTGAGACACGTGGGCAGGTTCTTCTTGAGCTGCCGACCAAGGAAATCATCCAGGTAGGCAGCGTCGACTATGACGCTGGTGAGTCTCACGGTAACCCGGTCATTGATTACCTCGAGCGCAATGGTTCCCCTCTCGACCAACCCATAAACTTTGAGAACCCCATTCCCCTCAGCGGCCGCACTCCTCTCCAGCTGCGCGCCCCAGCCTCCAACGAGACTTACGCACGTGTTTCTGGTGACTTCAACCCTATCCACGTTTCCCGCGTTTTTTCGTCCTATGCAAGCCTTCCCGGTACCATTACCCACGGCATGTACTCGAGCGCGGCTGTACGTAGTCTCGTCGAGACTTGGGCAGCTGAGAACAATGTTGGCCGCGTCCGTAGCTTCCATGCCTCTCTCGTCGGAATGGTTCTGCCAAACGATGATATCCAGGTCCAGCTGCAGCACGTTGGCATGGTTGCTGGCCGCAAGATCATCAAGGTCGAGGTCAGCAACAAAGAGACTGAGGAGAAGGTCCTTCTTGGTGAGGCCGAGGTTGAGCAGCCTGTTACGGCTTACGTCTTTACCGGCCAAGGCTCACAGGAGCAGGGCATGGGCATGGAACTTTACGATAGCAGCCCCGTGGCCAAGGAGGTCTGGGACCGCGCCGATAAGTACCTGCTGGACAATTACGGCTTCTCGATTACCAACATTGTCCGAAACAACCCCAAGGAGCTTACGATTCACTTTGGTGGTCCTCGAGGCAAGGCTATTCGGCAAAACTACATGGCGATGACGTTCGAGACGGTGGCTGCAGATGGCTCGATCAAGTCGGAGAGAATTTTCAAGGATGTTGATGAAAAGACAACGTCATACACGTACCGATCGCCTACCGGTCTCTTGTCGGCGACGCAGTTCACGCAGCCTGCCCTCACATTGATGGAGAAGGCCAGCTTTGAGGATATGAAGTCGAAGGGTCTCGTACCCCGCGACAGTACATTTGCTGGCCACTCTTTGGGCGAATACTCTGCCCTTGCCGCCCTGGCGGACGTGATGCCGATTGAGAGTCTGGTCTCGGTTGTCTTTTATCGCGGTCTTACGATGCAGGTTGCGGTGGAGCGTGACGCCGCGGGCCGGTCCAACTACTCGATGTGCGCTGTCAACCCCAGCCGTATCTCCAAGACTTTCAACGAAGAGGCTCTGCAGTTTGTGGTGAACAACATTGCGGAGGAGACGGGCTGGTTGCTGGAGATTGTCAACTACAACATTGCCAACATGCAGTATGTGTGTGCTGGTGATCTGCGTGCTCTGGACACGCTGGCGGGGGTGACAAACTTCTTGAAGACGCAGAAGATTGATATTGAGGAGATGCGCAGTAACATTGAAGAGGCCAAGGATGCGCTGCGTGAGATTATCCGAGGCTGTGCAGAGGCGACGCTCAAGAAGCCGGTTCCTCTTGAGCTAGAGCGGGGATTCGCGACGATCCCTCTTCGCGGAATCGACGTACCTTTCCATTCGACCTTTTTGCGGTCGGGCGTGAAGCCTTTCCGATCGTTCCTCCTCAAGAAGATCAACAAGACCACGATTGATCCTTCGAAGCTGGTTGGAAAGTACATTCCCAACGTGACGGCGAAGCCGTTTGCGCTGACCAAGGAATACTTTGAGGACGTGTACAAACTGACCAACTCGCCCAAGATTGGAGCAGTGCTGGCCAACTGGGACAAGATCACACAAGAGGAAGGCGAGGGCAAGTCTGCGAGCGACAGCGGAGCCAGTGGGGAGTACGAGGGGCCCGGAGCGGCTGCTTAATGGACATGATGGGTTGTGGTGAATGAATTGGGGATGGGAAAATAAAGAGTTTGCACAGTTGTCGGATCGTGTTGACTCTGGTGACGAGGAGCAAACTTGTGATGACCCTGGGACGATTGTTTGTTTAATACCTTGTTTGAAGAGCTGTAACAGTGGAAGCGCAGTGATGCGGTACAGCAAGAAGATTGACAGTGGAGGCAGAGCACGCTCGATGTGTTGTGTAGCCAAGTTTTATTTTTAGTATCGGTCGGTATATAGTGTTCTAGATTTTATGATTGTTCATGTCGTGTAACGCGGTGGTGCAAAGTGTAATGTGATGTGTTGACTGGGGATGCTAAACAAGGATGACGTGAGTGTGGATGAGTTGAGTGCTCACATGGACATGGACAGGGGGAGATGGCTGTGCTGAAGACGGGTGCATGGGTAACGCGGGGTAGTACGATGGGAGAGTCAAGAGTCAGAGTCTTGGGAAACAGATGAGCAGGAAAAGTGAGGTTGGACGAGGTGAAACCCGAATGTGGCTGGCTGGTGGGCTGGAAGCTGGAAGCTGGAAGGCTGATAAGTGGACAACAGCATCAGGTCAATTGGGATTGGGCCCTGCCGTTTCTACCAAAATTTGCAGGCGAGTACGGAGTACCAGAGTCAATTTGCAACAGGAATTTATGATATTCATCGTATATTTATTGTACTTGTCGTGCTTGTTGTACTTGTTACTTGTCAGCCTTTGGTGGGCTGACCGGTGAAGGAAGGCTGGCTGAGAGGTAGTGTGGGTGTGGTAGTCTTTATCATGAGCACGGCTCCGGCGGCGCGGACGGCTCCGGGCGACGGCTGTTGTGGGCACTTTTCAGCTTGGGACGAGGTCGAGTTTGGCTTTGGCTTGCATGCAGCGCCATAATATGCACGTTGTTATACCCAACTACCTAGGTAGGTAGGTAGGTACCTAGCAACCTACCTAGGTATGTACATAATACTCCGTAGGTCCAGTGATGACTGACCAGTGACGCCGGCCCGCCCTGGGGACCCGCTAGAGAACTTGCCTTGTCGGTGCGGACAATGCGGACAATGCGGACAGTGCCGACCAACTTGGGGTTGATGACAAGTTGGTTGTCGGCTACCGGCCGGCATAAGTGGCTGTCAGGTCTACCGCCCGGCTGGGTTGGAGTGGCCAGGTTTGGGATGCCTCCCTTTTCCCTGCCTCCTTGTTGCTTGCGAATTTCTTAATACTTGGTGATATCAGACTCTTTCTGGCCATCCTCTTGGCTACCTATATTGGCTTGGCAGCTTGGAGCGCATGCGTTTGCGCCGTTATTCGTTCAGCCACTGCCAGGTGGGAGGTAGGTATTGCGCCGTTTGCCAAAAAACGACTGCTAGTTAGAGTTGGCCATTTCCACTTGCACTTGCACTTGCACTTGCACTTGCACTTGCACTTGCACTTGCACTTGCACTTGCACTTGCACTTGCGCCGCCCCCTCTCCTCTCCTCTCCAGGCTGCACAGCGTCAGACAGGAACCGCCTTGTGACTTTTTTTCCCTCTTTCCTCTACACAAAGTACCTTGTTTCTCCCACCTGCCATATTGATTCCATCTTGGCTCGATCCCGGGCTTCTATCCAATCCGTTGCATCGCCTCATTTTATTTTTAGACAAATCTGACGCCGTCTTTTGTTTGCCAGTACCTCGGTCGTCAATAACGGACCAAATTGAGCTTCTATAATTTACACTCCGTCTCTCTCATTGGGTTGCGACAAACAGACACCGTTATCTCGGGCCATACGTCATCGGCTCAGTCTTTACAATCTATTGCCATATTGCTTCATCTCTTGTTACCAATCACCACATACTACAAGACCACGCTTCTTACAATACCGTCGCTCTTCTCTCATCTCATCACCAATTCTGGACCAGGACTTCTCCTGCAGGGTCCGGACCTGAACAACCAACACACACACACACACACACACACACACACACCAATTGCCACAAGATGCGTCCAGACCAGCAACGGAAGCAGTTGCTGCTCGGCACCTTTGTCCACTGCCAGTCCCGCAGGGATCTCGACATTTTTCACAATGCCGCCGTCGCCGTCGATGCAGACGGCAAAATCGCCGCCGTTCATCGCGACTGTCCCAGCCTAGCCGCCGCCAAGACGCAGACTCTGGCCGAGCTAGGCTGGGCAGCCGAGAATGTCGACATCTACACCACCAAAGAAGCCCAATTCTTCTTTCCCGGTTTCATTGGTATTCTCCCCCGGTCCGGTCCAAAATCTGGACTTGGACAGCAATTGCTGACGGTGACCTAGACACACACATCCACGCCCCCCAGTACCCCAACGCCGGCATCTTTGGCAAGACGACGCTCCTCGACTGGCTTGAGAAGCACACGTTTCCCATGGAATCCAGCCTCGCGGACCTCAACAAAGCTCGCAAAGTCTACACGGCCGTCGTCCGGCGCACCCTCGCCCACGGCACCACCACGGCCGCCTACTACGCCACCATTGACGTCGCCGCCACCAACCTACTGGCCGACCTGTGCCGTGCTATCGGCCAGAGCGCCTTTGTCGGCCGCGTCTGCATGGACCGTCCCGGCATTAACCCGGACTACTACCGTGACGCCTCCCCTGCCGCCGCCCTGCGCGCCACACAGCAGACCATTGACCACATCCGCCGCATCGACCCCGGCTTTGACCTGGTCGCGCCCATTCTGACCCCCCGCTTTGCGCCGTCGTGCACCTCTGAGGGCATGAAGGCGCTCGCCAAGCTGCAAAAGGAAGGCGCTTATCTCGCTCAAACCCACATTTCGGAAAACGTCAACGAGATTCAACTCGTCCACAAGCTGTTCCCCGGGACGAGCTCATATGCGCAAGTCTACGACGATCACGGACTTCTCACGCCCAAAATGGTTCTCGCGCACGCTGTCCACCTCACCGACGACGAGGCAACCCTCATCGCCCGCCGCCGGAGCAAAGTCTCGCACTGCCCATGCAGCAACTCGTCGCTGAGCAGCGGCGCCGCCCGCGTGCGCTGGATGTGGCAAAAAGGCATCGAGGTCGGCCTCGGCACCGACGTCTCGGGTGGTTACTCGCCCTCCATCCTGGAAGCCGCCCGCCAGGCGGCCCTCGTCAGCCGCCACGTCGCCACCGCAATGGCCACCGCCGACGCGGACGAGCGGGAGCACTGCAAGCTGACGGTGGAGGAGGTGCTGTACCTGGCCACCCGCGGCGGCGCGCTCTGCCTCGGCCTCGAGGACCGCACCGCCGGCTTCGAGGTCGGCAAGGACTGGGATGCCCAGCTCATCGGGCTCGGCCGCGTCACCGACTCGGGCCTCCGCGAGGGCGAGGAATACACGGCTAATGGTCACGGCTCTGGGGCGGCCGTCGAGGCGGCCGGCATGGTCCCGGCGCTCAACGGGTGCGATGAAGGAAACGTGGATATTTTTGGATGGGAGTCGTGGGACGAAATCATGGCCAAGTGGCTGTACAGTGGCGACGACCGCAATACCAAAAAGGTCTGGGTCAAAGGCCGCCTGGTGCACGCGAGAAGGTGAGGTATTGTTAGTTGTGTTTTTTTTGGTGTTACTGCATGTTTGTTTGAACATGGATAGAAGACATGGCGGAGACGACATGACCTCGGAGAGTAAAGTGAGACGAAGATTTTCCGTAGAACAATTAGCATTTGCATAGCAGTTTGTCCATTTTTCCATATGTTTGTTTAGTCACGTCATCACTCGAATTACTTTTAGCAAACACAAGATTCGTATTTCATTATAAGAGAAATTGAAAGCTACAAACTCAATGCCTAGACCTACAAGAAGGAAAAAATGGCCATCTTGGAAGCGACCCATGCCCGTGCAGTAGAGGACGATGACGGGACACTACAACGTCTCTCCCAACATCACAAACCAAAACTGCAGACACGTTAGTTGCAACGACACAAGAGAGAATAAATCAATCAAACAGAGAGCTAAAGATTTGAAAAGAAAAAAAAAACTCCTTCTTCTTCATCAAGTCTCGCCCAACATGGTTTCCACTCGTTTGAGCAATCCAGGAACCCCCAGGACGGACGGCCCCCTAACACCTCCTTTGCGCGCAGACAAAAACAACCCGAAAAAAGGAAAAAAAGAAAGACGCCCCTGAGCAATGCGGAAACAGTTCTGTCAATGTGTAGTTATAGCAAAATAGATCAATTTCGATGACATGAACCCGGCACAAGAAATGACAAACAAGACAAAGAGAAAAAGAATGGAGACCAAGACAACTTGGGTCAAATCCTGCATCTACACCAACAACCAACAGGGGCCATCCGCAGACAAGGCACAAAGCAAATCACATTCTGCTGCAATTGGACGCTCGTCTCCGACACCCATCCTCGGGGTTGGCGTCCATGTCGGCCTGAGCCTTGGCCTGAGCCTCGGAGCGGCGCTGGGTGCGGCTGGCGTTTGTCTTTCGCTTGTGCTCCTCGTCAACCGCCTCCCTGTGCGCCTCGACGCGCGCGCGGACCTCTTCCGTGATGGCCACCTTGACGCGTGTCGGCACGACGCCCTCGACGTCGTCCTCCTCGCGCGGCTGGTAGACAAAGTCGGAACCGCCCCATGCCTCGCTCGGCCGGCGCGCGAGCGGCTTCCCCGACAGCGCCACCATCTGCAGCCGCAGCCAGGCGCACTCGGCCGACTTGGCGTTGAGCTGGAGCCGCGTGTTGTCGAGGCACTCGAGGCGCAGCAGGCGCGACTTCTTCGCGGCAAGGTTGTTGCGCTCCTGGTCCGCCTTGCGCTGCGCGACCGACACCCGGAGGACCTCTTGGGCGATGGCGTCGCGCTGCGCCTGCGTCATGCCGGGTTGCACGCGGGGCAGCACTGGCGGCGGCGGCTTCTCCGGCAGATCTGCTACCTGCGACGGCGGCAGCACCGGCGGGTGCGTCGACTCGTAGTGCAGCTCCTCGGCCAAAAGGCACAACCGCCGCGTCACCTCCTCGGGGCACAGGTCGTCCGGCAGCTGGATGCCCGCCTCGCTGAGCGTGTACCCGCCGATTCGCAGCATGCCGAGGGACGGCGGCCGCTGCCGCAGCGCTTGGGCGGCCGATGCCGAGGTGGCCGAGGCAATGGCCGAGACGTACGCCGACGTGGCTTCCGAGGATGACTTGGAGAGGGCGGCGGCAGCCACGGCGGTCGTGCTTGTCATGGCGGGCCGTGGACGGGGCTTTTCAGTGTAGACGGGCTCCTGGAGTAGTACTTGTTGGGGTGCAAGTACGGTGTGAGCTGGTGGAGGCGGTGGAAGGTACGTCTCGTGAGCGGGATACTGAAACGCACCACGAGGCGATGGAATGTCGGGATGAGTGCCAAGAGGATTGTAAAAGACAGCCGAGCTGAAGTCGTGTTGCAATGTTGGACTTGTCGGCATCTGTTCCGGCTGCTGCTGATGGAGCTGGTCAAAGGCGAGGAAGGTGGTCGCAAACTGTTCGTCTCCCTGCGAAAGGTCATGGGCAAACGAGGACAGCAACTTATTCCCGTCCGTCAAGCTGTCGTCGTATTGCTCGGGCTGTGGGAATTGTGGTTGCAGGTGTAGCTGAAGCCCTAGCTGCTCCCAATCCGACTGTTGCTGCACCTGGTTGTGCTGTATCTGCGCGTCCACCGCAAAGGCACCGTCCGATGACGACCCTGGCGATCCTATATCGAGGTATCCGGTATTTTCCTCTTGGACAAGACGCAGTCTCTTGTTATGTACGTTGATGCTGGTGTCGTTGTTCTGCAGCGGCGTGGCCGGTAGGTAGTGAGGTGCTGAGCTGTGCTTGCCGGATGAAGGGGGTCGGAGAGCCATTCTTATTCGGAGAGGAAAAAGCAACGTAGATGTAAAAGAGGACGAAGGGTGGAGAGACGAGACGTCAAGCTCAAGCAATGTGTAGCAGAGAATCACAAGCAAGTATCTGAGCACAAGAGAAGCACAGCGTGACACGCTCTGTGGTGGCTTATAAACGTGGAGGTGTCAGTGTGTGTGTGTCTGTGTATGAGAGAGAGAGAGAGAGAGAGGGTGTATCTTGCTGTCCGTCAGGGAGCGAGCGTCAGTGTGTGTGTGTCTGTGTGTGTATGAGTGAGTGTATCTTGCGGTCAGGCACCGAGCGGTCTCTTTATTTGCTTCGATGGGGTAGCCTTGAATCAGAACACCGCTCACGGCGACGCCGCCGCCGCCGTCCTTCTGCTGGATATATATGCCTGCCTGGCACGCCTAGATCAGGCTCTCGTGAAACGATGCAACGATGAAACAAGGGCTACAACGTCTTTCTTTGCTAAGAAAGGTGCCAAAGAATAAATAAAAATAAAATAAAATCAATAATCCAAGATAGGATATAAGATTCAGATAGAAGGGCTCTCACCGACGGAGAGAAAGATACTATTTGGTCCAATGATGGGGAAACACAAACCTTTTTGCCTCTGCCAAAGACCGGTGTGCATGTGTGGTGCGTGTGTGCTCTCTCAAAAGTGTTGGTGATTCAGACAAGGAGGGAGGGAGGAGGCGGGCATGTACGCAAATGGTAGGAGCACAGCAGCAAGACGGCCTGAATACTGGAGGAGAGGAGTAACGAGTGCGAGAAGCAGCGTCTTGATTCCTCGTCTTCTTCTACGTGAAAGGATTCAGTCTTCCTGGAGCCCTTTGGCTGTTCAGACAGAGTCCAAAGGAGCAAATGTATCGACAGGACTGAGAAATACATCAAGTACATACATACATTCTCCTGCCAAGTGAAAAAAGGCAAAAGCTTCGTTAAAGGTTGATAGGAAAAAGAGTACAGGAAAGAGCATCTCGAGCAAGTATCCTCACCACCTACCGCAAACATGCCAGCACACAGGCAACCATCTTCTTAGCAAGGCCTATTGATGATGAAGAAGAAGAAAAAAAGCAAAGAAGAAAACAACACCAGACGTACCCAAGGTTTCAGTAGCACACTTTCTAGCCAGAAAGGGCGCCAAGTGACAATGCCGCTCCCGGAATTGGCATCCAAGCAGGGCTTGCCACACACATGCGTTTCTCTCCTTCTCCTCTGCTGCGCAGTCCAAATGTCATACAAGGGCAACACGACACTGACAACGCAGCTATTCCCTGCCTGGCCGCGGAGGATGGAGTAGAGCGAAAAGGACGAGGCGAGAAGATAAGAACAAAAAGAAAAAAAAAAGAAAAAGAGGACGGGCAAACGATGTGCAACCATGACTCCTCGGCCTCTCCGCCCGCCGCAACCTATTGTTTTGGGGGTGGGAGGGGTTTCGACTTGATCCAACAAGAGATGTGCCATTTTTTTTGTATTCCGAAACGGCCCGGAGAAAGGAAGATACTGCAACGCAAAACAATAAAAAAAGGACGGGACGCCGAGGGAAACGAAGGAGGGGGGGGGGCAACAATGGAATGGTTCATGACAGAGACCTGGCTCCTGGGAAGGGACAATCTGTTCAACATGTCACCGGATGTTAGGTGCGACTACGGGAAGAAAGGTTGTAAAACGACAATGCTCGCGGACAGCTGCATGTCGTTGCTGGTTCATGCGGCCCAGCGGGAAAGAAAAAACGCAGTCGCATGACACCCGAGATCGCATCGCAAAACAAGTAGTTCGAATAATCTTCCGTCATGATATATTTAGTATCGTTAGTTCCGTGGGGGCCGATGCTGCCTACACCTTTGTGTAAACGCCTCTAGTATAGTAGTCTATATTCATAAATTGCATCCTCCCGCTTCCCATAAAGAATTTGAAACAAAACCGCCGTCATAAAGGACACCTAGAGGCACACGGCCTATAGGTCCTACGAATATTGTACCGATATTGTCGCAACATTTGACCCTTTACTTCGCTCCTTCAACGGCCAGCCGTTATTCGAGGTTCGGTAGCCATCTTGTATCGTGCATGGACGCATCAAACGTCTCCAGATTGGACGGCGGATGACCCATGGTTTGCATGCTGGCAGCCGCCGCCGCCGCCGCAGCGGCAGCCGCATGGTTTGTGCCCAGTGGCAGGGGGCCTTGCGACGGGAACGCAAACTGCATGGCCCCGGGCAGCGGCTGTCCCAGCTCCCATCCATTAAAGTTGTGCTGCCACTTGGCGCTGTCGCTCAGGATCCACTGGTTATTGTCCAGACCAGCACCCTGCCCGGTGAGCCCTCCACTGCCTGCGATGCGGGACCCCGCGAATTCCCGAATCGCTTCCGCATTCGAGCCCAGGCCGGCAGCCGACGAGCTGGTCGGGTACACGCCCGCCGCGGGAGACGAAGCCATGATTGGTTGGCCCCAGCTGTCCATCGTTCCTGGCGCGTAGGGAATATGCTGTGTCTCGACTCCCACGTCTCGTTGGGGTTGGCCATGTCGTTGTTGGGGCGTTATGGGCCCATTGTTCATGCCGAGTCTCGCACTGATGGAAGCTTGCGGCCCAGCGGCCTGGCTCATGGCAGACTGAGCAAACTGCACCCTACCGGGGCTCGGGTGCTGGTTGACGTGTGACGGTTGCATGTGTGATTGTACAGCAGCAGTCTCATCTATGGGGGCCTGTGGCGACAGTCCGGCGCTCGATTTGGGCGACGGGACTTCAGAGGTGCTATAGTGGCCGTACAGCTCGTCGGTTCGCTGCAGGATCTGCGCTGCCTCCTCCGGTAGAGCACAGTTCCATTTCCTCGCCAGCACGCTCAGGATCCTCAGAGTGCGTCGGGCACATAGCCAGTCCTCGGAAATTTCTTCCAGGTGTTTGACACCATGCGTCAAGTCCCGTTTCGCCGTCTTCTCGGGGAGGTTGAGCAAGTGTATCGTGCAGGCACTATGTGTCATGTACACGGCAATATTACATATTTGCCGCAGATTCCAATTCTTCTTGTAGAGTCGCATCAACTTGGAGATTGCACCCGCGTTGGAAGTACAGATTCGTCTAGGGGATATGTGTGACGGAAGGGGCGAAGAACTGGGCGAGTACTTGAGAAATGGTCTAAAGAGGTGGATAAATTGCAGATGAAAGAACATGCTGGTGGAACGTTAGTGACTGAGGCTTGTTTGGGGCGGGAACGCATTTGGACGTACTGCATGAGGATCACGTTGGGAAGCTGTCCATCCCCAGGCTCAAACTCTTTCGGCAAGTTCTTGCGCCACTCTTCCAGCCGTTTATGAAGCTCACTGAGTTTCTTCAACTCTGCTGTCTTACCTGTCGACCGGTGAATGTGGTTGGGGTGATAAAAGAACAGCAAAAGATCACTGCTAATTTCGCAGAGGCTTGAAAGTTGCAATGCAACAGCACGCGTCCTCGAGGGCTGTTTAGACGACTCGTCGAATCCCTTGTCCGTGAGTGGTATCCATGGCGAGGCATCTTCATCTGGAAAGACGTCAAATTTGGCCACAGTGAATGTGGATTTGGGTAGTTGGGGTAGGCGGCCGAGGTAGTTTGACCAGCACTTGTCAACGTTGAAGCACCCCCAGAATGTGATTCGGCGAGCATCAATCTCTTCGTCAGTCATGAAATTTCTGTCACTATAACTGATGTCGAGGTTGAGCCCAATATCCTGCGCCATTCGGAAGCTCATGCCGCTGTAGACCCAACCTGTGGCTTCACGCGCACAGCCTGCCTCACGCACAGACATGAGAGCCAGTGCTTGAACGGTGACGAGCCGGGGTCGCTCAAACTCATCCTCTTCCATAATGAGGCGTTTCGCTTCCGCAAAAAAGTGATCGCCCTTTGTTCTCGTGTCACCAAGGGTACTGCAGGCTCCTGCGAGGTCAGAAAAGTGACAGCCCAACGCCAGCATTGCATTGACAAGCAACGAAGAGCAGTGTGATGAGCTTTGGCCGACGGCGCCTCGACCTTTTGAGAAGTCGCGCCAGAAGAGCTTCCGGGAGAGAGTAGTAAAGTAAGGGTAATGGTATGTAAAGTACATGTTGAGAAGGTGTGTGATTAAGCTGACATGGCCGGTGACGTCGGTCCAACTGGTGATGGGGTTCATGGAGGGGAGGTAGCTCTCTGCGTTGGGTTCAGAATCATGGCCAGGGGAGGTACCGCCGAGGTAGATGAGATGCGATGTGCCGCCGATGAAGCGTATAGCGCCGTTCTCTATGCGCAGCTCGCCCATTTTGCCAGCGAGATCTCGCTCTCCGTCAACCTGGGCGACCCATTGTTCGTCGCTGCTGTGTTCAGCACTCGATCCGCCGAGACTTGGACCGTCTTGGAGTATCTGCTGGGCTAGATTGTCCAGACTATCGCAGTGGCGTATCCTGCGTACCACGTCGTCGATGTCGTCTTCGCTTGCATTCAGGATTGCCTCGATGAGGATCTTGAGGGTGACGTCGTCGGCCTTCATGCCGTCCGTCTTTTCGCGATAAACGCCTTTTCGCCGATGGTCGGAGTTGGGGTCGTAGATACATTCGGTGCCGTAGACGCTGGCGCACGCAGCACAGCTAGGAACAGCGCCGTCGCATTTGGACTTGCGCCTCCGGCAGGCTACGCAAGCGGTGCTGATGCATTTTCGCTTCTGATTGGATGAGTCTGTGGCGCGGCGTGATGGTTTCTTCTTTTTCAAGGCAGGGCCGGGGTCGCCTGCAGTGGAAGTGTCGCGCTGTTGGGCGTAGGAGGGTTCTGGGGTCGCCTGCATGATCGCAGCATGCAAGCGATCGGAGTAGTCGGGATAAGGAACGGAGGGCAAACGCAGCAGAGTTTGGATGTGGTGACTGTTGGTAGCTTCGCAAAGATGCGCCGACGGCCAGAGCTGGTGATGCCTTAGTGGTCGATTAATCAGCCAGCCGGCTCGATGGCAGCAGAGTTGCCGGCAACGGCTTGCTGGCGCGGGTATTGGTGGTGGTGGTGATGATGGGAGCGAACGACCAAGGCCCACATACCATGGGCTCGCCAAAGTGGGGGACGACTATCAAAGGAAGGCCGGGAATACGCGAGACGATTCGTTGTTGCAAGATGCAAGGTTTTGCCTGCATGGTTCAATGGCGGCGCTGGTGAAGAAAATATTGTCCCGCTAAATGGGCCGTCGTGTGGGTGGCGTTGGAGCAAGGCTGCTGAATGAGAGAGAGGGCACGGGAGCACATGACTGACTCGGCTCTTCTGTGCGCGGCACGGAAGAAAGCAAATTCAACCCTGCCGGGATATGAAGCAGGACGGGAGAAATTCGAGAGGGATAGGGAAAGACACGACGAGTAATGACCAAGTCAGTCGGCGCAGGACGATGGAGGGATCAGGGTCGGCGATAGATGCAAGCACAAGTTGAAGTGGAGCGGCAGGGCCATCCGTTTGGAGGGCAAAACTTGGCTGGACAGACTACGTACGCACTCTATACTCTATTATCACTCTATTCGAAGGGTGTAAAAGAAGAGCAAAATAAAATACGAAAGACTAGTTACAAAAGTCCCAGATAAATCACAAAGCAAATAATGAAGAAAATAATAAGAGCAAGGAAGATTGTAGTATTACTAACCGGCGGTTTCCATGTGGAGGGGTATAGTCACCGTAATTAGGTGATAGAGTTGAGCAAGGAAGTAAAAGGCTAAAAATCCAACCATTTGTAATTATTAACTTGCAAAAGCGCCTTCTCCTCGCACTTCCAAGCACCACCTCCACCTCCCATAACTCGCCGCTGAAATACGGAAATACTCCCCTCTGCGCTAGTCAGTCCTACGAGCTAGTAGCCAGCCGTCCTAGACTGCAGTCGTCTTCGATAATACGAGAGCGGATATCGGTCAATGGGCTGCATCGTGAGCCATACCTACCTATGTAGTTAGTTTCCCGCTGCCTCATCGGCCTGAGCCGCTCGTTCCGGCCACTCATCCCATGTCCACCCAACATCGTCGTACTTGGTACACCAAACATACAACTGCGCAAGTAAACATCATTGGAAATTCAGTGCTGTATGTGTATATAGTACAATAGCCAATTTAGTACAAGGCCGCCACCCTCCATTGGCCCATCTAGTCTACATGCAAACCACGCCGCTTACCCACGCTGCAGATACCAGTTGTGAACCAGCTGGTTTGTCAGGTAGCTGAACGGTGTCGGCACCTCGGCCCGCCCCTTTCTCGCTACCGGGTGGCGTAGATAGACGGCTGCGCAAATGTCGTGGTTGACTTCGAGGTATCTGGGGATGAAAGCAAATGCAGCCATAAACGGCCGCGGTGCCCATGGCGTCGCGTACGGCTTCTTCTCGTCCACGGGATTTTCCTCGTCGGCCAGTAACAGCGCCTTGAGCTTGCGCATCTCGTCGTTGGATAGTCGCGCCGTGCCCACAATCTCCTTTGCCCGCTCCTTTTGCTCCTCTGACAGCCCATCAAGAGTCTGACGATATTGCTTTTCTCGATTAAACTGCGGCTCCTCGGCTGTCTTGCCACCCTCCGTGGCCGACGCTTGTGTAGCTGTGTGCTTCGTGTCTAACTGAGCCAAAACTTCCTGGTTCTTGATAACAAGCTGAAGCTCCTGCATCAGCTCCGCAACGTCTAGTTCACTGTCCTGAGGGCGTGACAACAGTCGTTTCGCATCCGATCGAAGCAGGCGCAGATTCTGCTTTTCTGTGGCAGATAGATTCTTGGCCTCTGACGCCAAAACGGCCTTGCAGCGTCGCAGGAATGCCTTCAATTCATTTCGTTGCCAGCCTTGTTCGGCTTCCTCAGACAGCTCTGGCAATGCAGCCTCGCCTTCGGTAACGTCTCCCTCATCAGCAGAAGCTTCAGTCGCAGCTTCGGCCGCAGCTTCACCTTCCCCTTGGTCCTCTGCGATGGGCGCATGCTTTCCAGCCTGGGCAGCGTGATTGCGTTCGGAAATTCTCTTTCTAGATGCAAGCTTCTCTTCCAACCCAGGCCAACTATTCTTGTTGGATTTCTGCACCCCCGTGGCGTACATGACCTTTTCGATGTCGACTTGGAACATATCACCCGGGTTCAGTTGGTATGAAGGATGTAGTAACTAAGAAATTGGTCAGACTGTTATTTCTTATTATTCAAGGGAAAGGTAGTCTAGTCTTACCTTTTTGCCATTGACCTTGACTGCACCATGCAGAACAAACTGGCGTGCCTGTCGCACGCTCGTCGCAAACATGGCGCGGAATATAGCCGTATCTAGTCTTCTCTCGAGAGGGGCAAACGTCATTTGCATGTAAGGAGTCATGTCGTGATATTGTTTGGAGATGAGATCGTTGGGCGATACAAGCTTATCCTGCTTGACAACAGGTACTGGTACCCGCGAATAACTCTGCGCGTCAACATCCAAAGTGCTCAAGCCTGAGCCGCGACCGGCTGCCTGCTCAGAGCCATCGTGCGCGGCTAGATATTCAGGAGGCATGTCGACTGCCGATAGGAGGCGTGGCGAGAAGAGGCGCACCCATTTCTTTTCGGGAATGTGCTCGCCGTGGTACGCACGAGCTCTCGATTTCGCGCCCCATTTCTGCTGGAAGAAGGTAGGCGTACCCCTGATGATTGGTTCTCTGGCGGCGTTGCGGTAGATGTTGTACATGTTATACTTGTTCCATGACTGTCGCAGTTTCTATCAGGGTACAAGCCCGTCAGCAGTGTCCAGCAGGCGCCGAGTCAATTGGAACGTGTGGCATCGTATAGCACCCCGTTGTGCACTGAGAATAGCACTTACAGGTTTGGCCAGGCTGAAAAACCTGGCTGGTTTGCGCATTTTGCTTGTAGATGCGCTGCGCGCTGTCTCGTCTGGACTGGGTGAAGCTGTGTCGTGTGTTCAGGAGCCGGCGTAGCCAATTTTTTTGATGTAGCTCTATTCAGCCGTAGTTTTTCCGACGAGACTGCGCCATGGCTGGCACTAAGTACAGCGGGGGCATATACTTACATGAGGAGGGAATAAAGAAGTAAATAATACAATGCGAATTTTTATTACATTTTTTCAAATGGTGACTGGCAGAAAGAAGCCTTGCAGGTTTGTGATGCTGGCCTGAAAGCGACGAGTTGGCCATGTCTCCACAACTTGACTGTTGTCCAACGTGGTCTGCGTCTTTGCGTTTGTTCATAACTACGGAAGACAAAGAACTATCCCAAGTCATTGATACCTACCAATTAGTAATAATAAGGGATGTAACACGACTCAATTGGAAATGAGAATTCAACTTTGGATTGAATTTTTGAGATGGCTAGACGCCAGCTTCGACTTGAAGACTAATAACAGCCTTTCGTCATCCTGCACACATAAATAGTAAAATGCTAGTTAGATGAAGAAAGTATCAACAGTTCAACGAAAGTCATGTTTGTCAATGTGAAATGTGAAATGTGTGAACAACCTTGTCCTGCCTTGCCTTGTCATCCGTATCCTAGCAGGTGGGTATTTGAGCCACCACTAAACGCGTGTCTGGCGTAAGACGCGTCCCACCGACGCGATCCGTCCACGGCCACCTCAACCCTGACGTTGAACCTCCAGAGCCAGAGACCAAGCACTTGGAACCAGCATATTTTCCGATTTGGGGTCGCTTGATGGCAAAGGTGCATTGTGTTCATTCAAACTTGCTCACATGAGCCTTCTTGCTCAGAGTCATGCTTTCGACGTCCCCCCTGCCAGTTCCCCTAATCATGGCGCAACATGCGCGGAAGCGTGATCAGCCTCATGATACGGAGCCAGCACCTACGCGCAAGACGAAAACCCGCACCCAGGGCCCTTTTGTGGACGATGATGATGATTCTACTGAGGAATGTGAGAGGTCAACGCTGGGACCGCCTGCGAAGCGACCTATGCGAGAGCAATCCAACGACGACAGCGAACCTCGGTGCATTGCGGCGGCAGAATCAACTCCGACAGTAATCGAAACGGCCGAATCTGTCGAGACAGAAGAGCCTGCAGATGTTGCATCCGATCTTACACAGCCAAGGGCTACTCCTTTGCCAGTATTTTCTGGGTCCTTCTTTGCGAGCCTGCGGCCCACGAAATATGATATCAAGACCTGCAATGGCAAGGCGTACTCAACCAAGCAGCGCCAAGTCAGCGCAGCTGTCTCGTACGATCATATAGTGGCTGCCCGATCCAAAACCAAAGAGGGCCGAGCGAAGCGCAGTTACTACGGAATCGACATTCACGAACTCATGAATAATGCCAAGCAGGAGCTTGCTGAGCACACAGCCGAGCCGCGAATTGTACCGGATGTACCGCGAAAGTCGACCGAACAGCCCGAGGCTCTGCGACCGGGAAAGAAGAATAAAAAATATCTTTTGTGGACCGAAAAGTATCGTGCCAGAAGCTTCATGGATCTCTGTGGTGACGACGGCACCAATCGCATTGTGCTCCGTTGGCTCAAACGCTGGGACCCTGTCGTGTTCCCTGGCGCCAAGCCAAACTATGGTGTCTTCAAACGGCTAGGATCCAAACTACAAGTAGAAGAAGAGAAGCCTCATCGAAGAATTCTTCTTCTCACGGGCCCTCCTGGTCTCGGCAAAACCACGCTCGCCCACGTTTGCGCAAGACAGGCTGGCTACGAGGTTCTTGAAATCAACGCGAGTGATGACCGCAGTCGAGACGTGGTCAAGAACCGCATTCGCACAAGTTTGGGCACTGAAAACGTCAAGAATGTGGCAAATCTAAAAGACAGCGAGGGACATACCAAAGCGGCCAAGCCGGTCTGCGTCATCGTGGATGAAGTGGACGGCGTCGTGTCGGGCTCCGGAGCCTCTGGTGAGGGCGGCTTTATCAAGGCATTAATCGATCTTGTTCTACTAGATCAGAAGAATGGCGCGCCAGCTGCTCGCTCATATAACCGCTCGCGGAAGAAGAAAAGGGGGGACGATTTCCGCATGATGCGGCCACTGGTTCTCATATGTAATGATGTCTACCATCCGTCTCTCCGACCACTTCGACAATCCAATCTTGCTGAAGTTGTCCACGTCGGACGCCCGTCGATTGACGCTGTTGTGGCCAGACTGAAGGCTGTGTTCGAGAAAGAGGGCATTCCTTGCGACAAAGATGCTTCAAGAAAGCTATGTGAGGCAGCATGGGGCATGACCAGTGGAATCGACGCAAGACGCGGCGCTGAGAGCACCGTCGAAGGCGACCTTCGTGGTGTCATGGTAGTCGGCGAGTGGGTGGCGGCGAGGTTCCGATCTACCTCGTTAGCGACGTCGTCTCAGCGCCTGACAAGGCAATGGATTGAATCCCACATCCTCAACGACCTCTCTAGCGGCGCAGCCGGAGCCAGAGGGCTCGGGCGTGGAAACGTCCGGGATATCGTGAGCCGCCTGTTCCAGGAAGGCGGCGGATTTCCCAAGCAGGCCATGGACCTGTCCGTATCCAAAAACACACAGCACGAACAGCCCAAGACGGAGCTGGGCTTCAACGAGCAGGTCAAGAAGCACGGCATGGACCGTCTTAGGCAGATGGTCGAGACGAGTGGCGAGATCAGCTACATCATGACAGAAATCATGGCTGAGTACCCGAACCGCGACTACAATGACGACTTGTACCTCAGTAAACCCAACCAGGCGTACGAGTGGCTGTTCTTCCACGACGCCTGCCAGTCGCGGCTCTTTGCCAGCCAGGAGTGGGAGCTGTCGCCGTACCTGTCCCAGCCGGTCCTCGCGTGCCACCACCTATTTGCCTCTCCCAGGCGCCACTACGCTCCCACCAGTGGCGGCGGCCGCTGGGGCGCCGATGCGGCCAACGAGGACGCCGGCCCGCCGGTGCCGTTCTCGGGCCCCCGCGCCGACTACCAGGCTCGCGAAGCAGAGAAGCACAACCGCGCCGCGCTGCAGGCCATGCAGAGCCAGCTGCCGGCGTCGCTGATGCGCTCGTTCCGCAGCGCCGAGGACATGGCCACCGACTTGCTGCCGTACCTGGCGCGCCTCACCTCCCCAGACGTCCAGCCCGTACTGCTTGGTGGCACCGAGGGCGTGATTGCCAGCGTGCGCAAGGAGAGCGAGCGGATCATGGTGAAGCGTGCCGCGGAAGTGCTGGCCGAGATTGGCATTGATCTGGTCAAGGGCAGGCTTGAGGGTGAGACCAAGTCGAGCCGCGCTGCGCAATGGGTCTACCGCATGGAACCGTAGGTTTTTACACGGGTATTGCGACGAAAGGCGGGAAAAGATGCTAACATGGTTGTTTTTCTAGTGATATTGACGCCCTCGCCAGCTTCGAGACGGGCGCCACGCTTCTCTCCGCACAGGTGCCAACGCGCTACGCCGTCCGCCAGGTCCTCGACCAGGAGCTGCGACGCACCCTGGCCCTGCGCGAGTGCCACGCCCGGGAGGCGCGCTTCCAGGCCGGTACCGACTCTACTACGGCGCCCCCTTCGACCGCAGCGGCGGCGGCGGCGGCCATGGCCGCGCGGCTGCACCCGCACAACGACAAGGAAAATACCGGCAGCGAGAAGAAGGCGACGGCGGTGCGGAGAGACTTTTTCGGGCGCATCATCGAGGTACGCACGGTGACGGAAAGCGGCGGCGGCGGGAAGAAGCACAAGGTCTGGGTGACGTACCACGAAGGCCTGAACAATGCGGTGCGCAAGCCCATTTCCGTTGCCGAGTTTTTGAAGCCGCTGTGATGGGCAGAGGGTGGTTGGGTATATACACGATGAGGGGGCTTGATTTTCTACATTGGCATACGCAGGAGTATGGCGTTTAGGGTTCTCATTACTTGCTCATGCTGCGGCTTCCTTTTATCTAGATGGAGGCACAATGTAATATGGAACTGGACATTCTTTTCAATATAGCGCCATCAAAAACCGGGATTCGTATACACGTGAAATAGATGTACACTGTTGTTCCATATGGCACCCGCGACCGTTCTTGTATACATGAAGAAGAAACGAAACAAAATCTAGCATATATATAAAAAGAGTGTACAGCCGGTTTCCAGCTCGTGCGCTCGTCTGGGCTCCTACAGCTTCGACTTGGGCCGCTGCGGCGGCGAAATCAGCGGGTCGTAGACGGTGTGCGACAGGCTGTCGGCGGGCGTGGCGGTGTGGACAAACAAGCTGCGCGTGTCGACCATGGTGGGGTTCAGGTCGCTGATGGATGCGGCGCCGAGCAGGCGCATGTTCATCTCGAGCTCGTCCTTGAGCAGGTGCATGGCGCGTTCGACGCCGTCCTGGCCGTAGGCGCTCATGGCGTAGAGGAAGGGGCGGCCGATGCCGACGCCGGCGGCGCCGAGGCAAAGACACTTGAGGATGTCGCTGGCGCGGCGGACGCCGCCGTCGACAAAGACCTGCAGCTTGTCGGCGACGCCGTGGCGGCGCAGCAGCGGCATGGCCTCGGCGAGCACCTCGACGCCCGAGGGGGCAAAGTCGAGCTGCCGGCCGCCGTGGTTGGACAGGACGACGCCGGCGACGCCGATCTGGGCGGCGCGCAGCACGTCCTCGACGCGCTGCACGCCCTTGAGGATGATGGGCATCTTGGTGATGCCCTGGAACCAGGGAATGTCCTTCCAGCTGAGCGAGGGGTCGATGAAGGAGGAGATGGCGCGGGCGGCGCCCTGGCTGGTGTCCGTCTTGGTGCCGGCCTGCACGCTGGACCCCTGCTCGTCAAACTTGCTGCGCATGTCCTTTTCGCGGCGCCCGAGCATGGGCGCGTCGACGGTGATGAAGAGGCCCTTGCAGCCGCGCTTCTCGGCGTGCCGCACAATCTTTTCCGTAATGGCGCGGTCCTTGTTGACGTAGAGCTGCAGCCACTGCACCTGGTCGCCGCGGCGGGCGTCGACGATTTCGTCAAACGAGCACGACGCGAGCGTCGGGATCATCTGGATGACGTCGTGCGTCTTGGCCGCGCGCGTCAGCACCACCTCGCCTTCCGGGTGCCCGAGCTTTCCAAGGGCCGTGGCAGAAATGTAAAAGGGCACGGCGGTTGGGGCGCCGAGCATGGTGGTGGAAAAGTCAATGTGCTCGACGTCGACGAGCACCTGCGGGCGGAACCAGATGCGGTGAAACGCGCTGTGGTTTTCTCGGAGTGTCTGCAAGGGATGGGTTAGCCTGCTGGTGCGACTTTGCGCGTCAAGAGAGAATGGTCTGCGCACGATTTCGTCGTCGGAGGCGCTCGAGTAGTAGCCCCAGGCCGTCTTCTTCATGACGCGGCGGGCGACGGCCTCAAAGTCGAGCAGGTTGTAGCACTGCGACAGCAGCGGCTTGAGTGCCTCGCGCTCCTTGCGCTCCATCTCCTCGGGGTCATCGGCCTTGTCGGCCGCCTTTTCGACGGTGCTCATGTCGACGGGGCCGAGGTGCTTGGAGTGGTCGAGGTACTTGTCGAGGGTGTCGGGCGGGTGGATGGGCTCGAATTCTTCCGTCGCATCTTTGCCCTGGACATGTTTTCGTTAGTCAAGATGCTTTTTTTGGATGATTCAAGGTAATTCATGGCTGTCTATTCGTACAGCGTATTTGAGAATGATTTTCGAGCCGCCGGGGTGTTCTGTTCAAGAGGTTGCGTGTTAGGTAATTGGGTCCTCGGGATTGGAGGCGGGTGGGTTAGAGCGAACCGGGTAAGAACTCTGTCACGTCGTAGGCTTTGCCCTGTAGCCCAGCTGTCAGAATTTTGTCAAATGCGCGGATGCCTTGAAGGATGGCAGAGGACGGATTGAGCAGCGTACGTGAACAATAACCCAGCACGAGTCGGCGCTGTTGTGCTGCGCGACGTCACCACCTTTGAGAGACATGGTGGTGGAGCGAGGTTCGTGCAACGTCGATGATGGGCTTGTGCTGGCGACGCAAGAAACAGAGGTGTGCTAATTGGGAGAAAATACCGAGGGTATCAGAGACCAAAGAAGAGTTCAAGAGGGGGGTGCGAAGAGGAGAAAAAAAAAGCAAGGGAAAATCATGGGTTGGAGAGGAGGCATCGAGGGTGGGTATTAAATAGTTCCAGCATCGCAGGTGGACTTGGGGAAGCTGGGGCAGCGGGCTGTTGTGGGGTAAAATGGCGGCAGCATTACTACAAGAAAGGTAATTGGTAATTATTTTGCCTCTATACCTTTTTCAAGTGGCGACAGAGCCCCCAATCTGTGCTACATATTCCAAATGCTCAAAGGATAGGTCCGTACGGTCCAGTAGCCCCAACATTAGTGCAAGTTGTCCCCGCTGTCGGATAAAGCGTCCCGCTATTACCGCTATTGCCTGGTGCCTTTGCCAATCATGGCCCTGCTGAATATCAGCGAACCCGACCTGTTAGTACCTACTAATAAGTTTCCGACAGCATCCGTCTTCCATTCCCCCGGCCACCACTCATCACTCATTGTCGGCATCCAACAACTCACTCACTCACTCGACACCATCGGCAGATGACAAGTCTAGCACGGTGGTTCATGACGTACATCATCCACATCACAAAACCCCCCCTTACAACGAGAAAACGGCTTGATTGAGCGTCTTCTATTCCATGCAACTAATTACCCCAATCCACGTGCAAAGTCGCACAAACGACAAAAGTGAACAAGCCATCAACAGCCATGCATCACCTAGTACCAGAAAACAAAGCCTCCACCAATTCAACATGGACCCATGGAAACTGTTTCTTAGTCTCTTGAATCTCTCCTCTCCCAGCTACTTCCACGCGTTCAGCCCGGCCCATGGATCGTTTGGCTGCTGGCCATGCCGCGCCTGTGAGCTTGGAGGACGCCCCCCAGTAGGGTCGTAATCCTGGTTTCCGTAATGCACAGTCTGCTGCGGCCCCAGTGGTGGCGGGCCGGGTGGAGGCGGCGGCGGAACGAATCCCGGGGGCACGTAGCCCGCCTGCGTGTGCGATGGTGCCGCCGTGTGTTGCTGCTGTGACTGTGACGAGTACGACCGCTGGTGATATCCCGCGTACAATTGCGCCTGGTTTTGCCCGAATGATGTTTGCGTCGCCGGCGGCGACTGTGGACCTTGACGCATCGTGTTCATGACAAATGTAGTCTGATTCCACGGAGGCGATGTCGGTCCTGGCGTAACTCCATACTGGCTAGGGTTGTAAGCCGGCTGCGAGAATGTGCTGGCCGGCTGCGAGAATGTGCTGGCCGGCGGAGCTGGACTTGAGTAGCCACCATACGTCTGCTGGTGAGCGGGCGGTGAGTTTGGCACCGTGAATTGCCCCGGGAATCCTACTGCTTGCCCATAACGTGGCGCTTGTTCAGACTGGAACAGCGGAATCGGAGTTGGCCGCGACTTTTGCGGCGGCGATTTCGTCCCCTCCATCGACATGCGCTCCATAAGACCGCGAAGACGCTCTTGTTCACGAGTAGCTTGGTTGCTGCGATTTGTCGACTTTTCTCGTTCAATCTGGTCCAGAAGTTGTGCACCCTCTGCTCTGCGATTATTGACAAAAGTCTCGACATTCTTTTCCAGACTCTGAACAGTCTCCCTCATCTCGCCATACCAGTTCTTGGCACTCTGTAGTCCAGCATACAAGTCGAGAAACTCCTGGTACGCACGCTTATATCGGTTGATGACAGAAGAGCGTTGCCGTTGGACAGTCTCATATTTGCTCTGCTCTGACCGCACCCGCTTATCTTGCAGTAGCGCGTTGAATGTCAAAGTCAGTTCCTTCATGAGAGCCGACTGCTTATGGTTGGCTTGCAACAAACGCGTTTGATGAGGCCGAAACTTTTCCAACTCCTGCTGGAAAAGTTGATTTTCATAATTCGAGATGGACTTTTTGTTGAGAATCAATACTTGAGAAATATCATCTTTGTGAGCCTACCAAAGCTGTTAGTGCATACCCCTACTTCTTTGCTCCGCGACGCTTACCTTTTCCTTCAAGTCCTTGAGCACTTGGTTTCTCTCGCGCTTAATCGAATTGAGCTTCTTGAGGATATCTTCGATAATGGCTATCTGGTCCATGACGCTTGGTCCACTCTCGCCAAAGTCCGTGTCTAGCAGGTTTGGCTCGATACCTGCAGGGCTGTTGGCCTGGCTGCCACGACCTCGTGCTCGCGAGATGGCTTCTTGGAGCATTTGATCGACCTGTCCAGCATTGACAGCGTCACGCATTTCGTTGAAATCGGCTTCATTCTGCTGCAGTTTACTTGACAGCTGGCCATCGCTTCGAGAAGCTTCGTCCAGCGCTTCACGGTATCCTCGGATATCGCTTCGTAGAGTCGTTGTGAGGCGAGCGCTAGGCTGTTGAGACCACTCGGCATTGTATTTGGACCGCATTTTTTCGCAGACACCTTCCTCTCTATCTAGAGAAGTTGAGCTTTCCTCCAGCTTCTTGATAATGGCTCGCTTTTCCGAGCTCAAAAAGTCAAGTATTGAGGTGGGATCGTCGTGAGTGGCAATATCTTCACACCATTGGCGGAAATTCTCATCTGGCGGGATGTCCCGGTCAAAACCACCCTTTAGGACCTGCAGCGCACCGGGAAGTCGTAGATAATCTAAGCTGGCCGCCATCTCGCCGTTGGCAGTGTCGACCTTTTCGGTTTCGGCTCGGACAAGCTTTGCCTTTTCCTCATCGTAAAGGCTAGCCGATTCTGTTACGGCCATTGGTACAATCTTGGCAAACAAGTCGGGTCCGGTTATGCGCTGGATATCTTGGCCCGCATACAGCTCACTAACAGGGATCGGTTTCGCTGCGGGAAGCTTGGCAATGGCGGGGAGACTGGCCTCGGCGGGTACAGTTTGATGATAGATGTAGTCATTGTCTTTAAGCGCTTCTTTGTATTTGTCTTGAACGGAAGAGTAATGCCGCTTGCAGATTTCTTGTAGTTGTGCACCACAGTCGGCGCTGAGGTTAGAGCTTGAAGGCACATTGCTGGGGAAATTTTTGGCGAGTCGATCAGCCTCCTTGGCAAGAGCTTCAGAAACCAGGAAGCGCGCCACAGAAATTCCGTGCTGGCCGGCTTGTTCGTCCGCCAAACCTTGGTAGTATTGTGCCATGGATGTAAAGAGACTTGTCTTGATGGTGACCATTGTCAGCCAGACTTTCTCGAAGAGCGCCTTTGTGACATTTTCTTGCACTCCTTCCAGAGCCTGGCTGTAGAGATATGCTGCTTGCGAGGCCAATTTGGCGCGAAGAGCGATTTTGGTGTTGTCCTTGGACTGCTTCTCGATGAAGATCTCTTGCGCCTGGGCAAGCATGACATTGATCAGTGCTTTGACAGTCTCCCTGCTCAAGTCAAAAGAAGGAGCATGAAGAAAGTTTTCGTTGATATATGTGAACATGCCAGCGGAGGCTTGGAAGGAGTGATATGCAACCTTGAGGGTCGAGTCGTCGGCGCGGTTCTGGAGGGCGGCGTGGGCGGAGAGAATGGCGGAAATGTTGAAGATGACGGAGGCCTTTTCAAACGCAAGCGAGTATTGGTTCGTGGGTTTATGGGTAAACGCATCGAACCTGTCGACTGTGTTAGTAGATATCGCGGGGGGGGGTTCTGGGTTCTCAGTGGGGTTGGGCCGAGCTACCATGTAAAGGAGATTTTGATGTGTTGTTCGTCAATGGGGAAGCGCAAGTCGAGCAACTCCAGCTGACCGTAGTAGCGGTAGAGCATATCCCGGCCTGAGGTGCTTTCCTTGCCAGCGCCGCGCATGTCTTGGCGCAGGCGGTTGAGGGTCTCGCACTCCTCGGCATAGCGCTCGGGGTCGTCACCATAGGTGTTGCGGATGTAGCTCTTGAGTGGCGTGACCCAGTCAATTTCGTTGGTGGCCTTGACCGGCACCGAGATCATGGGCGACTGTGACATGATGAAGGGTAAGTGGCCGTCTGGAAGGATGAGTAGGCGAGAATTTGTTGAGGAGTTGCAGACAGCACGGAACAGGCGCGTTGTCGTCGGGTGATGTGTGGCACCAGCCGCCCCAGAAACGTGGTGGCTCTCGTCAGCGAGTCGGAGATCGGGGACAGGCCAGAATGATGTAGATTCTGTGTTCCTGCAGCGTGATGAGCGATGGGTTAGCGCACAGGCGGTCGCATATGATGCGGCCTGGTCTCGATGCGGCTCCTGCTTGGTGGTGTGGTGGTTAGAGGAGGGCCTGCGGCTGAAGGTGACGAAGCTTTGGGCGGGCAGGCGGTTGGGGATTTGGAGACGGCGAATCAAGGGTTGTTCGGCAGCTGTGGGACGGCGGAATCACGGCGGCGATGCGTCAGGTGCCCCGGCCAAAAAGAATGAGAAGGATGAGACGATGAGAGAGGGAGGCGCGCAGGGTCGCACAGAAAGGCCTCGATTAAATGGAAATGTAGCTCTGAGAAGGAATGATAGTTAGGGTAGTTAGGTAGTTAGGTACCTCCATAGCAGGTAGGTTCAGTTTGCTGGGCAGGGCAGAAGCGGGGTGGATTGCAGTTGCTGCGCGCGCCACACCAACGCCACGAGCTGCTGGGAAGAAGTCCCCGCGCTTCCAGGGCTCCCTCCAGGGCTGGTGGCCTAGAAGGTGTACCTTAAATGTGATGACGCAGCCTCAGCGGCAGTATTTCATAGGAGGGCTGTGTTTAGATACTACTAGCTTATCTTTTGAAACCAACATGTTTATATGAATTTACGTCATGTATCAACTCATATATTTTCCATTCGTTTCTTCACACTGACCGCTGCTCACTGAGTCAATCATGAGTGAGTGCCTTACCGACCTAGGTATATCTTCAGACTGGCCCACAGTAACCTAAACTGAACGGTCGGTACCTAAAATTATAAGTACCTACTGCCAGGCTCCTTTTCACCTTCATCATCAACCAGCGCTTACAACCCGCCGTGTCTCAATAAGCTGCATCACCAGCCTCACCAGCCTCACTGAAAATTCATCTCCTCCCCCCCCCCCCCCCCGAATTCGACTTCCCTATCTGCATCCAACGGCCTCGACATCCTCCTCATCGTGCTTACCTCTACGCGCCCGCAACCTCTCGCAACCTCGCTGAAGTGCTGTAGCCGCCGGCACTAGTGCTAGTCAGGCAGCTCCTTGGACTTGAACTGGCTTCCAGTAATACCCCTAGATGTGAGTATGTGCCAAGGTGAATGAAGAATGACATGGCTGTCAATCGTAAAGGGGTTTTATGCGCCTCCCTCTGTCTCCCAGCTGTACCAGTTCTTCGTTGCCTCATACAGGTCTGACGTGGCTAAGACATATCGACGCTCATTAGCCTCGCTTCATATCCATCAAGAGCATTTCTCTGCTTTTCTTCTTTAAATCAGATCATCCTTTGCATCCAGGGCCTTGTTGGCTTGTCCTACCTCACTTGACCAGCTTGGTCCGTATTCTCTCACGCCGCCTCTCAGGAGCTTCACTCTGCCCCCAAAAATTCACCAGCGGCAGCTGTCTGTCTGTCTGTTCCAATAGCTCGACTGGACCTCATTTCCCCTCACATGTTAGCCAGCGAATAAGATGCCCCGCCAGCCTTCTGGCGTGTCACCTTGCAAGCGCCAGCTGATGAGCGTGATGCTCCCCTCCACCACCGCTCGTCAGCCTACCAGAACTGCGCATCGTCGCCCCGGCCAGCCTCTAGACCTTTTCAGATTCGGGCCGCGCGTGATCTTCAACCGTTTCTCGCAGTAGCGCCCGCACCTTATTGGTGCCCTGGGGGGGCCTTCTTTCCAAATGCCGAGGCGACGGCACTTGCAACTGCCATCAGCTTCGCGCGGGTTTCTAGAATTATATGGATAAAATCACCAGGGGCCTGATTTATCAACTGCACGGAGCATTGGGAGTAGAATGGTCATGGATAAGAGCCCAGGTACAATGCTGCTTCCCAGGTCTGCCAATAACTAACGGATCGCGACCAGATCTGTCCAGAACACCTTTGACGCATAAATTCGTAAATCGCCAAAGCAAGCATGTAAGCTCGTATACACGCCATCTCAGCTCTATAGCCGGCTACGCAGCATTGTAATAACTGGCAACATCCCCTCGTCCACGTGCCCCTCCCCCTCTTGCTTGCTCCCACTTACACCAGCATCACCGAGCCCCTCGCCCACCTCTCCCCAGCATCTCTCCACGGCACGCCAGTACCGGTCCGCATCGGCCCGCAGCAGCGCGCAGTGGCGCCCGCCGGGGATAGCCTCGCCGTCGACGACGAAGCCCTTGTCCCGCGCCTCGGTCATGTGCCTATGGACGAAGCGCCAGGGCACTAGTCGGTCCGATACCGAGTACAGGTACATGCGGCGGGCCCCGCGGCCAAAGACGCCCGGGTCGTGCGCGCCGCGATACAGATCGGCGAGCGAGCCACCCCGGCCGGCGAGGCCCGCCGCGGCGTTCTGCATCCCCAGCAGCACCGCAATCGTCGGGAACAGCAGCAGCCGGCCGACCGTCTGCGCCGCCCACGTGTCGGGGAGCGAGTACGCCGCCGCCCGAAACGTCCGCCCCAGCGAGCCGTCGCCCGGGCAGCAGTCCATGATGACGCCGCCCGTGGCCGCATCGAGGTCGCCGCCGCCGTTTCTGGTCGCCGCCGCAAGGCCCTCCCGCGCGATACGCGCCAGCTGAATCGCCGTGTTGAGCCCGCCGTTGGAGAAGATGTGCCAAAGAATGGACGGGGACGCCGACGTGCCGTCCAAGACATGACGTACGATGACGTCCCGCGCCGGCTGCAGTCGCGCGTGCATCCGCGCAAAAGGTGTTACGGTTATCTCGGACAGCCGCGCCGTGACGAGCAGCACTGTCGCGTCTCGGAATAGCGTCCGGTGCCCGGCGACGTAGCGCCCAATGTTCTTGACCGAGGCGCCGCCGAGCCACGTCGACATGATTATGAGCGAAGGGCCGCGGTAGCTGGGGTCCGCCGGGCCCGACGGTTCGTGGAGGTAGACGTCGTCTCCGATGCGGCGCAGCGGCGCGAGCGGCGATGAGCGAGGCATGAGAGGCAACCACCGGTTACAAGATAAAATCTCAACGAGAAGTATCAATGACGAACACGACGGTTGGTATCCAAATCCTAAACAGATCAATGTCAAGGGTTCTTTCCATTTTTCCACATGCAGCGTATCGGCGCGCCCCCGAGCCCTCTTTAATAGTGGCCCAAGGCTAATATTGACGAGCACGAGCACCACCACCAACCACTTAAACATGGTCTGAGACGGCGGTCTAGGGCCAAGACAAGCCCGTACCAGGCGAACGAAAAGAGGCGCTCTCCCCTCTCCTCTGCGGCGTGTCAAGCGTGCGCCCGTGTTCGTGTTTCTGCATCTTGGTGTCATCGATCGCCAGCTAGCAGTGGCGGCTTACAACGCCCGCACTATACCAAGTACGTCTCTACATGATACGTCCAGCCAAGGGCACGACAAGGGCCCGTCGCTCGCTCGCGGCCCGACAAGGGTCGCACCGCATCAATTGTCATGTAAAGATGACAGAAAGATGACAGACCGGAAAACTCTTTCACCCACCCCCCATTTCACTCCTGCCCCGCCCTCTTTGTCCGAGTTTCGATGGGAAAAGGAAATAGGTTCGTTGGACTATCAGAAGACGATTCGTACTATCGCTTGTGTAGTATTCGTGTTACATGCCTGAATCGTGCTGGCCCACATCAACGCCCAGCTGCAGCTGCATCCCTTGCCTTAGTTACGTGTACACACTCTCCGTCCACGAATTGACTTGGAGTCCCCTCTCGGCCATTTCGGCATCCAGTAAAAAGTCCATCGGCATCCACACCAGGTGGCCTTTGATCTCGTCCAGTTTCGCCCTCGCGTCCGCTGCCGGCATAAACTGATCAAAGATGTGCCCGGCCTTGACGCCCCGCGGCGGCAGGTAGCGATCATAGTCCTCAAACGTCTTGACTGCAAACACATCCGAGGTTAGTAATCAAACCGTGCAAAGTTCCGAATGTCCCGACCCGAAATGTCTTATCCCGGAGACGGGCCTCCTGGATCGAAATGAAAGGCGGTGGGGCAGAGTCTCTACTTACTGTGATCATCTGGATCGCAATGAAACAAATGACGAAATATCTCTGTGTTTCGGTCTGCCCGGCTGGTCCATAGGTCCCAGAGCTCATCGCCTAGTGGATCTTCAACAAACTTGTAGCTCTCGTCCCGGTCGTATATGTCGTTTTCCGGGTTGACGCTCGGCGGCTGTGCGTTGATGTCGTCGCCTGCATCAAAGTTTTGCGGAGGCAGCAAACCCAAGTGCTCGCGCCACAGGAAACGTCGCAGCGTGGCGGCGTGGTAGCCAGCCTCGAATGTCTTGCCATCCATGGTACTCGAAATTCTGCGCGTGTCCTCCATGACAATGCTGAGCTCACTGTCGTGGTACCCGAGCTGGCTGCGGTCGTTGAGGTTACTTGAGCCGCAAATCACAATACGATCATCAGCAATGAGGAGTTTCGAGTGGATATACAATTCTTCCTGGATCCAGTTTCGAATTTCCAGCTCCGCGTCATCGTCCTCGTCCCAAGGCTCCTCGGTGAGGGGACCCTGGCCAGCCATGGCATGATGTGCCAGCGACGGCAGCTTTGTGTCCTTTTCTGCTGGCATGGCTGCTTCGAATCTGCGCTTTGCCTCCATGGCATTCTCGACAACGGCTGCTTTTTCCTTGTACTTTTGTTGTTCAAGAGTGCCCATGTGTTCGTCTCTTTCATTGTGGGCAGCATCATTGGTGCCGTGGATACCCTCCTTCATGATTTCTTCGGCCTCTGCTCGCTGCACATCCTCGTATTTGACGCCAGATTTCTCTTCGGCTTCTATAAGCGCCTTGCTCCTGTTGAGGCGATCATAAGATCTCAGGTTGAAGAAGAAGATGTACTGTTTGGAATCCACTCCTTGCGCCTTGATCTGCTCGAAAATAGAGTGCTCTCCGCGGCAGATTGACTTGTATTGGTAGTCCATGATGGCTCGGGTTCCAGACGCAGCATTGTCGCGAAGATCACCGGCAAATCCAGGAATAGCTGGGATCAAGATAATGATGCGGAACTTGCGCTCCTCTTTGGCGGCTCTGAGTACCGCATCAACCATTGCTCGGCCAATTGTGTTGTGAATTGGACTCTGATGCTCACCAGTGGCGGTGATGAAGAACTGGTTCTCCAAGTATACATAATGCTCAGCCTTGCGAATGATCTCGCTGTACGCATTCTGAATGGAGTGTTCTGTAAGAATGCCGCTTGACCAGTCGGCGCTGGAACGAACAATCTGGGCGTGAACAGTTCCTCTGTTGTCGATATTTTTGGTCGCCAGAGGCGTCAGAGGGTGCTTGGGGTAGTCGCCGCAGGGATGCTTAGGACGTTGCACGCCGACGAGGTCTTCATCCTCGCCTTCGCGACCTTCCAGGACAATCCAGTCATAGCGCTCATCGCGCTTGTACTTGTCACGCTTGGTGAAGTTCCACCGCAGAACAAAATGCTCGGCAATGTCGTATACGCAAGGCCCAATGACGCTCATGGCGACGTCATGCCACGGCATGCGACCGTACTCTGCCTTGCTCAGCTCATTTTGCTGCCAGTCCTGAACATTCTGGAAGTCCTTGACTCTATTGTTATTAAAGTCTTGTCCTGGCCAGATTTCTTCAGTGACACCTTCTGGGTGGACATCGGCGAGCGGGTGGTGTCGGGCGTCCCAGCGTCCGAAGCAGAGATCGAGACCGCCGATGAAGGCGATTGCGTAGTCAATGACTATGAACTTCTCGTGGTGAGCCCAGTACATGGTAGTATCGGCCACGTTTTCGAATGGGTTGTGGTCGGGATGGCGCAGAACGCGAATGTTTCCGTGGCCAGGGCTACCCTCAGGACACAGCGCTTGGAGGGCGTGCTTGGTATGGATGGAATTGCAAGTCAGGGCGGCCTCCACTTCCTTGTAGACCATGACGAAAATCTTGACGCCAGCTTCGGCCTTGCGCTTCAGAATTTGGTCCAAGCGGTATTCTTGCTTGTAGTGCGGGGGTCGGCGCAGGAAGAGCTCTGGCGACAGCCACCAATCGGCGATGTAGATGGACTCTGTAGCCTGTTCGAGGGCGACCGAGACGGCCCAGAAGTAGTCACGGCCATCGACATACCACTTGATGAGGTTTCCATCTCGCTCGGGAAAGTATGATTCGAAGCGGTGGGATTTGCAAGCGGCGGTTCGTTTTTCGTCGCAAGCCTGCTCATGGGATTCGTCATGGCGGTGGTTTGAGTTGAACTAAGTGAGGACGAGTCAGCGATTGTCCCTGTTTTGCGGGTAAATTTATTGTGAGGAGTCGTACGATGTTGCCAATTTTTCCAATTTGAGCTCTGGAAAGAAGTCAGTCCAAGGTTGCGTAGCCTATGGCGACAGCATGTGTGTACCTTTTATGGTGGAGGGCCACCTTGACATCGTGAAGCTTTGAGTCATGAAGCTTCTCCCTCATATCGCCCACAAAGTTGGTAAAGGCATTTCCTCCGGATTCGGATTTTTCGCCGGATTGCGTCATGGCGGGGATGAACAGTTTTCAGTCGACAAGATGCCTGCGGCACTCCGAGATAGAGGCAGAAATGGCGGGGTAGTGCTAGACAGTGAAAGGGCTTGGTCGATGCCAAATAGGTAATAACAATACTCTGTTGGCTGGTAGCTGGTAGCTGGTCGTTGTGATGAAGATGTATCCGGGAGGTTTTGAATAGGTCCAAAAGGTCGGAAACTTTATTTTTGATCGTTCTGGGAACACGAGCTGGGGCAGGTTCGGGGTTACGACGATTCTGTTAAGCTTAACCACCACCTACCTACCTACATATGTACATAGGTAGCGGGGTTCAGCGTAGCTGAGCTGCTAACCAGACGTCACCGATCGGCGCTGAAATATGCCAGCAATGGCATCATTTTCAGCTTCTGTACCCCTATACAAGCCAATGGCAAGACAAGACGTGCAATGGTTAGCTGCCAAATGCCAAAAGGCGTTAAGCCATGGCCAGCCACCTCCAGCCTCAAATCAAGTCCTGCCTGCAGGAAGCTCCCCAGCAGTGACGTCACCATCCGGATCTGGTGTCCACAACTGCAAATGAATTTCTCCTTCCCACCACCTACCCTGTACAGAATCGACAGTCCTTCCTTCATTTGCAAACTATGAGTTCTTTTATAAACTTGTCAAAAAAATACAGCTTGACTCATTGTATCTCCTCCTTTCTCTACAATAAAAAGGCATTGCACGCTCGTTGTCCATGTTTGCTCACATAAGCACAGCTTTGTCGCAATCTTGTCTCGTCCTGTTACAATGTAGCTACCATGCTGCTACAAAAGGCCCAACTGTTTGAACACATCAATTTGCGAAGATATCTTAACAGTGACTAACAGACGAAATGCATTGTAAACTCGGTCATAAAGCTGGCTCGGCCCAGTCAAGACTGTGCCTCCTCGCTAGGGTTCTTCAGCATTCGTACGAGTAGTGAACTTGCAACATGGGCGACACCAACATCATCGCCCGCCTTTACGCATGGCCGCCACATAACAGACTTGCGGAGGAAGCTATCAAAAGGAGCGGTTTCGCGGTTTCGCCGCTCCATGAGTCATCCATCGCTCCTCCGTTTGGGCGCACCGAAGGCCTAGTGACACCCATCAATCCCAGCGCCGGTATAACACTCGATCAATCGCTGAATCCCCATATTCGGATCTCGTTCAACCATGTACCAAAGACATCTCATGGGCTCGTGTTTGGGTGTGGTAAGCAATGCGATGTCGTGCTGCCTGACGAGCGGAGCATCAGTGCCCATCATTTTAGCATCACCTTTGACGAGCAGTATCGCCTCATTGTGCGCGATCTAAACTCTACAGCCGGCACCGAGGTCATATTTGGGAAGGATGTCGGACACATTTCAGCAAAGTTTCCCCGAAGAAACTTCCAATGGTTGGTAGAAGGATCCTGCCGGATGCCTAGCAGCAAAGTGGTGATCCGCGTGGGCCTCAAACTCAGCTTCTACCTCGTCCCAGAGACACAGAGCATGCCGCAAACCGAGTACAAGATGAAAGTCGACAACTTTCGCCAAGGCTCCGGGACCGCTCAAGCTCTCTTCGCGTCCATCAACACTCGCCTACAATGTCAGCCGCAACCCGTGGTAGGAGCAATCGCGTCTAAACAAGACCCTATTTACCAAGAAATGGTCATCGGCAAAGGCGCATTCGGTAGGGCAAAGTACATGTGGAATGTCAGTACTGGGGAAGAAATGGTTCTCAAGGAACCCATCAACGAAAGCACAATCAGTCCAGCATGGCTACAGCGTTGGAAGGAAGAAGCGTACACCATGCGCAAACTCCATCATGTAAACTTCATCGATCTGCAAATATCTGGAATAATTGAGCTTACAAAACATAGGAAAACATTTTGAAGCTCTTGCATGACGAGTTCTGGCCTCGACCCCAGCTGTTCCTGGAATACTGCCCTGGTGGCCCGCTCACAGGTATCGCGCATGAGCTGAGCGCTGTTGAGATCCTTCAGGTCCTGCAGCAGTCTCTCGCAGGACTTCAATACGCTCACAAAATTGGCATTGCTCACCGCGACTTGAAACTCGACAACATTTTGGTGGCATCGCGAAGTCCACTGAAGATCAAGCTTGCCGACTTTGGGATTGCCAAAAGCGACGCCCAACTCCAATCGGTTTGCGGTACGCCCCCCTTCATGGCTCTAGATATTTGGGCTATGGAGTATCCTGACAAGGCACGGTACTACACCAAGCTCGTTGATATATGGGCGCTCGGCGTGGTCATCTACCATCTCCTGTTCGGAGTACCGGTCGGGTATGGGCCGGAACTCTGTGTCAAAATCGTTCGCGACCTGCGTACGTATCTGCAAACCAATCGCGGGACAATTGCAGAATTCTTGGCAAAGTACATGCTGAGGCTCCAAGAGGTAGACCGCTCTTCTGCTGCCGCATGCTACCGAGGCGCTATGGCACTCCCGACTCCCAACGACGAAATCCGGGGAAGCACAAAGGCATCTGCTGATTGCAACAGTACCGCGGAGGATACGCTTTCTGAAACCAACTTGCTGGATTGGCTCCAGGGGTCTACAAGACCTGGAACTAGAAAGCGGGCGGCGGGCGATGCTAGAACCTCGGAGTGCCGTTCCCAGCCACGCAAAAGGAATATTTCTACCAAGCAACGCGACGACAATTCGTCTGGTTGTGGTGGCTCAACCTCGAAACTTTGCTCGATTTCAGACGAGGAATGGAACTTGACCCAGCTCCCGACGGAGCAGAGCACGGTCACACAAACAGACCTCTCCGGATTGTTTTGGTAAGAGAACTTGACTCATTCAAACTGCTAGTCGGGCTTTTATCAACGGTGTGACAAGAAGACGTGATGTCACTGCGGCGTCCTCGCGAAAGGGAGTATGACAAGCGGTAGTCTCAGGATTCAATAAGCTTGGCTTTATATTTTGTGGGATTACTCAGCCTTTTCTAGATAAACTATTCGTACTCCTGTCTATTTATTCCAGATACAGTAGCAATCAAATTTCCAAAACAACATTCTTTACCATAATCTTGATAAGTGGTCATCTCCTATCCCAGCGCCGGCTTGGCGCGCTTCCTTCTACCGCGGCTTTCCCTACCAGATCCAGCCTCGACCTGGGTACTGTTGTCCTTCCTTTCTTCCTTCTTTCCCCTCTTTTCAGTCTGTAGTGCTTTTTTCGTGGACTCCTTCTGCTCCGGAATAGTACCTGCTACTTTCTTCTGCTGGGCCGCAATGCGAGCACTTCGGCGTGGTTGAGCGACGGCAGCAGAGTCTTGGCCGCTCCGGCTTCCACGCCTGTTTTGGGGAATGAGCGATGGCTCCTTTGATACTTTCACATTTTCCTCCTCTTTCTCTTTCGCTTTTCGCTTTATAGGGCGTCCCTTCTCTTCGGCATCTGTCTCGTCAGCCCGCGCACGCTTCTTGGTGTTGCTGAGTGCTGCAACACCGCCAGTCGCTTTCGCTTCCATTTCAGACTTGATGAGTGGAAATTGGTCAAGAATCCACTGGATCAGGGCTGGCTGCGAGTCAACAGCGGCTTTCGCTTCTTCGCAAGCATATATGTGGTTCCCAAGAGTGTTGATGGTATGATTCCGGTGATCAGCATCCTTGTACTCGGCCTCTGCTTGGGCCAGCTTTTCCAGAGCTTCATCTAGCTGCCGTGAGGTGCTCACACTGGCATCACCTGTATCTATCCGCTGCCGTACACATCCAACTAGAAGTTTTGCTTCGTCGACATGTTTCTGTGCCTCGCTGACCCTAGCATAGCGCTCCTCTATTCCATCCCAGCTTCCTAAATGCTCTGGAGTTTCATGGCTCGCCACCCAACTCTGAGATTGGATATACTTCCACTTCTCATCGCAAGCTATCTTATGCCGCTCATATTCACGAAGATATTTGTCTTGGCACCAACATTCAAAGCCAAGGTATTCGTACCACTCTTGCAGCGAATCTTGTCTCGTGAGATCTTGCTGCAGCGAAACTTGTTCTTTGAACCCATGAGCTGACAGACGTTTCTTGAGTGCTGCGTGGTATTCCGCAAAATTTGAGCAGCGCGATTCTCTGATGCAACCTCGGTCCTTGTTCTTCCTTTTCTGTCGAAGGTCCCACAAACGCCCTGGTTTCTTCAGAGACTCGGGATTGGCTTCGATCTCAGCAACACCTCTGCCGCCGTAATACTTTGTCAGGTAATCTTTCCTCTCTTGCACATGAGCATCAAAGTCTTCCTCCACTATGATGCCCCGATTGTGCAGCTGCCAGTTGCGAAACGTCTGGCGTTGTCGCCACTGCCTCTGAAAGACCTCCCAATCGCGACAAGAATGTGGCTCAGGATGTTTCCAGAACGGTTGAAGCAAATCGCGATATTGTTGTGGGTTTCCGGATATCTGTTCAATCATCTGTATCGGGTAGAGAGGCCTGCCCCCGTCTTTGATCAGGTTATCATACGCCTCTTTCTCGGCCACCACGGCCGATTCGACGGCATCTGGCGTCTCGTGTGATGTATCCGATCTAGAATTTGGAGAGGTTGGACGCTCCACCGCCAATTGGGACCAAGCGGTACGATCCACCTCCCCAATTGCGGCTAAGATTTCATCGAGCTTACCAACATCAAGAGGCATTGTTGTCTTCCTGGCTTGCAACAGCTGTTGGGCGGTTCTGCGCAGAGTGAGCTCGAGACTCTGAAGAGAAAGGGGGTTCTTACAAGACTCTCTTGCACATCTCTTGTCCATCACTACTATCGATATCAGGCAGGTCGTTGACGAGAATATCAGTGTCATTGATATCTTCCTGATGTTTCTTCAGCAGATCAATCAGCTCATCGTCGGAAAGCGCCAGGATAGCTTTGAAGGAAAACCCTCGGTCAGGCGACATTGTGCCTTAGTGAATGAAAGATATAAATCAGACGAGAAATATAGAGTACTGTGACGAGGAAAATAAACACAAAATGTCCTTCCAACTCAATGATAAAGGTTTGGCGGCGAAAAGGCGCTGGTCGCCGTGCCAAATTAAGATCATGGCTGTTTGTTTGCTCGGCAAGGACAAGTAGCTTAGATAAGAAGATCCCAGAGACACACGTACAAATCTGTAGGTAAAACAGCAAATCAATCAAGTTGGCACCAACACGAACGGGAGAAGGCAAAGTAGTAGCGCCGTATCTATCTGTTTGCCAGTCTCGGCAACGGGAGCGTGAGCCGGCTTTGTGGTACCTAGACACACCGCCGAAAGGTGCTGGTGCCCGTGTATCTAGCATCTAGAATGACAAAGGTGCAGACATCAACTTGTCACAGAGTTCTTAGTCAATTAGCTGACTGCGTTGTAGAAAGTTACGCATCAATGATGTGGGTAGCCTCTTCCAACAGGCCGGCCACTCTCCCGTGGTTTCCCTTTCAACGCCTCCCTGCTCTTTCAAGGCTGGCACTGTTGATACGTTTGAAGCCAGAATTCTTAGTATCAGTACTATTTCCGTGTCTGTGATCGCTGTGCGCCTCTTCCAGAGCCGACGCCTCGTTCCTCTCCGTTCGCTTCCATAAAGACAATGTCCGCGCTGCACATCATACATCATTTCGTCCTGAGATACACCAGAGTGTGGCTGTAACATGTCTTCAGTTTTCGGCGCCACAATGGCTGATGATGATGAAAAGCTCAATGACTCGATCCACGATGTTGATGCCCTTCGCGTAATGGGCAGCCGTGTCTTCGCCCGTCTCTATGCCTTCCCGCACGGCGACGAAGCTACCAACCGTCTCATCGAAATGGTATGCGGAGCCAAGGAGCCACGCATCACTTTGGACCAGAGCGAACGAGAGGGAACACCTTCCACAAAGCACCTCACCAAAGACGAGAGCGATTATGACGACCAGCCCTACATTGAGCTCAGTCTCGATCACATACCGAAATCGGACGAGGGTGTCATCTTTGGCAGAAGTGGGAAGTGCGACATTAGACTGCCTTACAGCGCCAAATGCAGTGCGAGGCAGTGTTGTATTACCTTTGACAATCAGAGGCGTCTGATCGTCAGGGACTTGATCTCCAGGAATGGCACCGAAGTTACATATTCAGGAGAGGGCACAGGTGAGCCTCGCAAAGGCTTCCGGTGGATTATTGGCGGCGACAAGCATGTGGATGACAAAGTCATTATTCTCCGACTGTCTGGAAACACGGCATTTCGAATTTTTGTCAACCTCGCACTCTTGGACAACATCCGCTCCGTTGCGTCACTAGTTGATGGATTTTGTGCCGGATCGAAGGCGTTCGAGGACGATTTAGCCGAGCTTGACGTAAAGACCAGTGCGAACACGGCAGCTGCGAGTGGGACACAGAGTCCTCACCTAGGAGATCTCTATTTGAGTAGAGAAATCGGCTCTGGCGCATTTGGCGTCGTCACACGCCGCTGGAATGTCAGCACTGGCGAGCAGACTGCCCTGAAGAAGCCCAACCCGGATCGAAACCACGACCATGACTCGCTAAGATGGAAAAGTGAAATACGAGCCATGAAGACTCTCAAACATGTAAGCCGAAATTGCCGTAGAGTTGTCAGCTTGTACTGATTCCCCTTTCTAGGAAAACATTGTGCCACTTCTCGAATCCAATGAGGATGCTTTGCAACTGATTATGCCATATTACCCCCTCATGAGCCTCCACGACAACTTGGAAAGGTTGACAAGCAACGACAAGCCAGAACTACTCAAGCAGTGCCTGGCTGGGCTCAAGTATGCGCACGGGAAAGGCATCGTCCATAGGGACATCAAACCGGAGAACATTCTCATAGAGAGTCTGCTACCGTTGAAAATCAGACTCGCGGATTTTGGAGAAGCCAAAGATGAATCGTTTTCTTCTCTCAAAACGTTCTGTGGAACTGGATACTACATGGCACCCGAAATTTTCAGTACCAGACATCATCACAATGTCCGCTATACACAAAAGTGCGATATATGGTCTCTGGGGGTAGTTATCAGTGAGACAATTGTTGGTATATTTGGCAGTGGCTGGTATTGCGGCGTCAAAGTCTGCAGCGAGATACGTCAGAACTTGGCGAGCAAGGCGCCTCGGAGCAGACTGGCAAATCTCTTGTTGAGCAGTATGCTGGTGATTGATTCCAAGCAGCGCAAAACAGCCGAACAATGCTACGAACTGGCTATGGCCCTGCCATGTGTGAGTGAAACAACGGGGGAAGAAGATGTCCCTCAGCTACAGCCGTGGGTTGCCATGTCTGCGGACCGCCTTCGGTTTTCTGGAACTGAAAGAGATCCCAGAGACGTCGAGACTGTGCGGCTCACAGCACCTGGTACAATTTCTGACGATAATGAGCATTATTCTCCCAAATTGTTCAGCAGCCGAGCTGAAGGCAAAACTTGGAAACGGCGGTTAGGGAACAGTTCCGAAGCGGAACAGAGCTCCCGTGAATGCAAGCGACAAGCTTCTCGTCTCACGAGGTCCATAAACATTCCCGATCAAAAGTCGCGTGCAGCTACAGACGACTCAGGTGTCGGGCTACAGACTAGAGCGTCTGAACTCGATCGTAAGACCCAAACTAAACAGCGCGATGAAGCAGCCACCTTCTCCTCTGTCACAAGCATTGCCAGCAGCCACAGCGTTGTGCGAGAGTTGCAGTTCCAGCTTTCTCGGGCCGAATCAGCCCACCGGCATGCAGTCGCATCTTCCGTTCCCAGCTCTCCGGTACAAAGATTCATTCAACACGTCTCGCCAGTGCTGCAGAGTATTGAGTGGCCAGTACCAGATAGCGGCAGCCAGAGGCCCGGGTCGATTCCAAAAGTGCCCTCGGAATGTAGCTCAGAGGCCGCCACTCCAACGGTCGCATCTTTTGCTGAGGTCGAGGCCTATAACGAGTAGGTCTGACACGACCTACGCATGAGGGAGGGGTCTGCCAGCTGGCGGTGATGGTGGTGGCATTGTAGGGCGACACGGACAACGACCACGATGTTGAGATTCTCGCCATGGAATTTTTAGCTGTCAAGTTGAACATGAAGCTTTTTGCCAAGTTACTTTTTAGTCTAATTTCATACAACACTATTTTCTTCTTTTCTTTTTTTTCTTTCAATAAATAGGCCTCAAAGACCTATTCCATATACTTCCTTCCCCAGCCATCTCACCGTATAGCATATTGCAGGTTTATTCTCAATTTTTCAGCCTGACAAAGTCATGCCATCATTGCCTTGCACTAATTCTACCAAATTTTCTACATCTTCGGTGAACAGATCCCGTCAGCCTCATCAGCCCATAAGCCTCGTTAGCGGCACAGGTACGCGTCCCCCCTCCGTCCCGTCTGCCCCGCATCGATCAAGGAACCCCTCACCAACCCAAGAGCAACGAGTGTCCCCTCGTCATAGCACCTCGGTCAGACTACACCGCCGCCGCCATTGAATATTCGCGCCTTGTGCTTGTCCAATTCTCTTCGTCTTTGCTCTAGAATACCGAACAACCCTCTCCGCCAAAGCAGTCATGTCCGCTCCCGTTATCCCTCCTGGTAGCACCATTGTGCAGTCCTTCAAGAAGTCCTTTGTCGATGTTCCCATTGATGAGGCGAATGGTCGCGCTATTGCCACCACCGAATTCCTCGAGGCTGCGGAGTCGCTGACGACCATCTTTGGTGAGTAGAAATGACATTGGCATTTTTTCCATCAAACCCCGAATGCAGAATCATGGCCGATTGACTCGCTCTGCTAGACGCCCTTGGATCCGTCGCTTTCTCGCCAGTCAAGAACGACATGATTGGCAACATCAAGGTACGACACTCAAGATCGAAGCACGGGATTCATGGAAATCGGCTGGTCTGACAGCGCTATCCCTTAGAAACTCCGCGATCGCCAGCTTGCCTCTCCCCTCGAGTCCGAGAACATCCAAGACCTCTGCCGCAACGAATTGAAGACTAAGAAGCACACTGCCACTGAGGGTCTCCTCTGGCTTGTCCGGTACGCCAAACCTACCGACCCCTACATCATGTATGAAAAGGATTGAAGACTCACCTTGTTGTATAGTGGACTTGAGTTTACCTGCCTCGCCCTGACCGCCAACACGGCCAAGCCCGATGAGGAGCTTGCTGACTCCTTCCGCGCCGCCTACGGCAGCACCCTCAAGCCTCACCACAGCTTCCTCGTCAAGCCCATCTTCAGCGCCGCCATGAGCGCTTGTCCATACCGCAAGGACTTTTATGCCAAGCTCGGCGACGACCAGACCAAGGTCACGAGCGATCTCCAGGTCTATCTCACTGCTCTCGCCAAGATTGTCGGTATTCTCAAGCAATTCGTCGACAGCAAGGAGGCCAAGTGGTAAATATAAACATGAAATTTAGCATAAAAATATATACGCCATTTTCTATCCCACAAGAATGGGCCAAGAATTCGCCCGAGACCTTGGCCGCTTTGTGCCTCGCAAGGTAAACGACGTTTGAACAACTTAGCGTAGATTTCAGTTTAAGTTAGCGTATTGGAAGCTGCGGCGACGCGGAAATTCGTCCTTCGAATCCGTCCTGGGACCTTGAAGCAAGGTGCTATCCATCGAGGGCTACGTGCTCCCTTCCTGATCCTATCTACAAATGTCTACTCAACCGGCGGACTGGAAGACTGCCGGCTGCGACACACGAGCCGCAATGGGAACGGCCAACTTGGAGTCGCGGTCCGCAAAGCGAAGTGAGATGGTATCGAAATCAAACTCGGCACGGATAAAGCCCGTCAAGCGAAAGCACGCAAATCCTTGCCTTCTTGTATGCGACTCATGGCCCTCTTCGCAGCTAGGACTGGCAGTCGCCCGGACTAGCTGTCGCACCGGGATTGTGCCCTGCTGAGGGTCATATTTCAGGCACAAGCATTTAGGTTGCATGTAAGTTCTGAGTTGATGGTGACCAATCCGATACTGTCCGACTACTCGTTGTGCGCCGTTGGTGTAATAAAGCATTAGGCCTCGAAGAACGCCAGCCGTTGGCTCCTCAACTATGTCTAAACGAACAAGATCATCGAGCGGCGCAAATGACGTCAGCTTGAAAGGATCGGGTTGGCCAAACGTCATTTCTCTTGGGAAATTTCTGATCTTTTCAGAATACAGAAACTCCGAGACTGGCTTCGAACTATACGCCCCGACACCTGACACAAAAGGGGCTTGTAGTCTTGTGAACAGAAGCTCTGGCTCTTCACCAAGTGGTATATATGGGCTTCTTAATGGCATGAGGAACCCAACAAAAAGCGTTCCAGCTAACTTGGTGTGGATCTAGCGAAAAGATGTGGTTAGAAAAAATAAAATCGATCGTGAACAAACTCGTTACACTTACCATCATACCGGGCCGTACTATACGCTGCTGCCAACCGTCTGTACTAAAGCCTATGGACAAGATCTTGTCGCCTGGCGGTAGAGGCACGTATGTCCAGGCAAGTTCTGAGAACTCCTCCATCGGGGATCCTCCGACCTCTTCTAGTACATCTGTATCGTATGGCAGTTGTGCAAGTGGGTTCCTCGGGTTATGGGCGGCAATGTGGGCGAGAAACGTGTTATGGAAGACAAATGTTATGCCAGTGGCTCCTTCGAGATACGCCGTCTGGAACCGGCTAGCAGACACCTGCTGGCCGCAAAAGCGACTCAACGGAGCGCCATCCTTGACCCAGTGGGACATATCATCGCGAAGTCCCGCTGAGCTTGACGGCTTCGGAGGAGGGAGCGGCATATCCCAAGTGGTGAAACCAGGATGACCGTCAGGTGTGTGAAGACGCGCTCGTCCACGCTACACAGTGAAGCCAGGTAAGCTTTGTATGTATGACCAACATGAGGCAGGTACTAACCTTGAAAATTAACTGGACAGACTGTAGCTCCTCCTCTTCGGCAACAACATATTCACGATCCTTGGACACAGGACTAGGCTGTAGCGAGGACGGCTTGGCGATGCGTTCAATTCGTCTGAGTCCTTGTGAATCGATGGTGAAACGTGTTAGCTGCTTCGTCTTGTCAGAGGGTCCACGTAATTCCGGAGATGAGTGGCCGCGTTTCCATGATGCAATTTCCAGCGCCGGTACCAAAGTATATCCATCTACTCCATCATGGCGGCGCTCAAAGGCAACGGTGGCTGCGCGCGCCGCCTTCCATAGCGGCGCGTCTTTTGAAAATTCGAAAATGTAGCTGACAATCTCCCATGGAAGGCGCATTACAAAATCCGATAGGCCTACCTTATTCAGTATGTAGGAAATTGCAGATTTACTGCACATAAATTTCTCGCGTGGCAGCGGCCGGATGCCCTGCAACGTTTTGGTACGATTCCAAGGCTGGCGCCACAAACCGAGAAACCAGAGGTACTGGGAAGCCTGGGAAGCCTGGGAAGCCTGGGAAGCCTGGGAAGCGTCCTGATTATGGCCAGTGCATGCCTTGTATAAGTGAAAGCAGTCGGCATGGATGACGGTACACTCCACACAGCGGCCGGGCGGCTCGGGCTCGACGTTGAAACGTGCGCCAACGGCCCAGTCGCCGATACGGACAACGGGCTCTGCGTCGTCCGGCTCGGTGCCTCCAGAGCCTGTGGCGCCATGGGGGAACACAAATGGGCGCGTAGTTTCTTGCAGGTTCATCGAGTCCGGGGTTGACACCACTGACAGGGCATCATCATCAGTGAGCTGGTTTGGGGGGCGAAAAAGCCTAGCCCACGGGACTTACACGCGTAGGCGAGACTATGCCGCTTGACAGGCCCAGCACACAACCCGCACTCAAACGGGAGATAGAAATGGCCGCGCCATGGAGGGTGGCTTTGGATGTCCGGCCGAGACATGGCAGCAGAAGCCCTTTTATCTACTCCCGCGGAGGAGGCAGGGGGATGTGACGCCGAGGGACTCGGGCAACAGCGATATGCCGTCTATTTAGGGTCGACCTGCAGCTGCTGCGAAGATTGTAGGCAACCGATGAGCCGAGAGACGCCATGTAGGTACTCGAGGGGCTTCACGGGGTTGTTCCGCAAACGCGCAGAGTGAGATGTAGATGGCAAAGGGTAGCCTTGGCACCGCAGCAGCCGAGCCCCCCGTTTGATGCGATGGCCGTGCTCCCAAAATCCAAAATCATGCCAAGTCCCACGGCGGAAATAGTCCGAAGAATAAGACGCGTACTCCGTACTGGATGAGGGGTTGTTCGGCTACGCGGAACAAGGGTACGCCCCGAAACCCATTGCGGTAACGACAGGTCTAGATGCCACCGCTATTTGACAGGGGGTTCTTTGTATTCTTTTTGTCTCGTTTGTGTGGCGTGTTACCGCACCAGGCTGTGGGAATGGGGTCTTGCTTCCTCGCACCAGATTGAGGCGGCGTGGTACGAGCACTCGGGCGTGGTGTGTGTGGTGTGTGTGGTGCGTGTGGTGTGCAGTGTAGTGTGTAGTGTCTGTCGCTGGTGTGGCGGGCACGAACCAGAGTACGACGTACCCAGCTTAATAATCAGTACATACATCTCAGCCTGCACGGCCCATCCCTCTCACCATCACCTCCCCAGCGGCCCATCTCTCTCCCCCCTTTTTATCTTGTTCAAGTTACGGTTTTGACGATTTACAGCTTGGAGATGAGATGCTCGTCTCTAGCGTCGCCGTTACACGTCGACGCTGCTTTTGTGGGCAAGGAGAACAGCGACTAAGTTGCATTCAGCATGGCGCGCTTGCGTGGTGGTTGCTTGCGTGGGTCAGAGAGCTGACACTGCTCGTCGGATTCGCATCGTATTTCACTTGAGCTGAATGACGGTTTGGATATTTGAGCCAGGCCATTCGCTCCCGGCAGTGGTCTCTGTCATTTGCGATATGCATCAAAAGGCTGGTCTTCGAGACATTACCCTGTCTCGCCACAGCACCGAGTACATCGAGAGCTGGCCGTCGCCACCCTGAGCATTGCATACAGTTGCAAAGATGACAGAGCCAACTGGCAAAAGAAAAAAAATCGAGAGCGATCCATTTCGCATCGTCATTGTTGGCGCCGGACCCGCCGGTCTCTCCGCCGCCCTCGCCATCGCCCAGCATCCGTCCACCACCACCAGCCCCGTTCGCATCACCGTCTTGGAGCTGCGTCGCGAGGTAAGGACCATTGGCGGCGCCGTCAACATGACACCGCTCGCGCTGCGTTACCTGGACGCTCTCGGTGCCGGCGCGCGCCTGCGACCTCGCGGCCACGCCGCCAGCGCCATTGAGCTCGTTGCGCACCGCACCGGCCGGCTCCTGGCTACGCTGTGGCCGGGCGTCGACGCCCTCCGTGTGCGCCGTCAGGCCGTCGTCGAGGCACTGACCGAGACCGCCCAGCACGACGTCGACGACCCCGAGGCGCTGCGGATCGTCTACGGGGCCAAGGTCCAGTCTTTGGAAGAGCGCGACAGCGACGTGCGCGTCACCTATACACAAGACGACGACGCCCCAGTCTCGTCGGAAGCGAGCATCCACGCCGACCTCGTCCTCGGCTGCGACGGCATTCACTCCCTCGTGCGGCGGCAGCTCGTCGAGCCCGGCCGTCCAGAGACCTACACGGGCAAGTGCGTCGCCTACGGCTTCATCCCCGCGACCGATGCCGACGCCGCGCGCTGGACCCGGCACGGCGGGCAACCGCTGGTTCAGCACACGACGCTTGTGCAGCACGGCGCTGAGTCGCTGCTGCTGGCCCGCCACCAACCCGCGTCGCTGGAGGAGACCACCAGCCTGTACCTCGCAGCCGTCATGCCCGTCCCGGTGCCGCCGGAGAAGGACGCAGGGAGCAGCCGCCTGGAAGGTTGGGCATTGCGCAAGGCCGCCGACAAAGAGAGCCTGCGGCGCGCCATTGCCGACATGTTTGCCGGTGGCGCCATCGGGTGTCTCAGCGAGGTGCTGGCGCGCTGCGACGATTGGTTCTTTTACCCGGTGCACATGCTGCCAGAGGGCGGAGTATGGTCCAAGGGCCGGGTGCTGCTTCTCGGCGATGCCGCGCACGCTGTGAGCGTTTCACTTTCCTCCGTTGCTTGCTTTCCAAGATATTTCATTTGCTAATTAGCGTGTTGCGTGCATATAGATGCCACCGCAGGGAGAGAGCACGGGTGTCGCCATTGAGGATGGAGTGCTGCTCGCGCACGTGCTGTCGCGGCGGCCGGCCGGCCGCAGCGTGCCGCAGATGCTCGCCGACTACGAGGTGCTGCGCCGGGCGGACGTTGCGGCGCTGCAAAAGACATCAATCGCTCGGTGGAACACACCGATGCCGGCGGGATGGGTCGGGCGCGTCATCATGGAGTGGATGACGTGGATTGTTGTGTCATATCTCAACTGGACGAGCAATCACTTTGCCCGGGATGTTCGGAACCTGTCTCTGCCGGAGTGAGGGTGGCGAATTCCGGGGGGTAGCTCTGATGTATTATGCTTGATTTTGCTTGCTTATCCGGTCAATGGCATTGGTATTGTATCATTGTATGTTCATCCGGAAAAAAATGTAGTGCTGAAATTGCAACGTAAATATTCCCGCCCCCTGCGCCTTTATTAATGCAACAATTCTATGTAATGCTGAATGATGTGCTCGTGACAAACCGTGTAGTGTATATACAGAAAAGACGACTTGCTTGTAACCATGAAAACAATCCCTGTCTCTATATTTCGAGTAGAGCCGACACAGAAAAAATAACAGGATCCGAGCCCAACTATTCTGCGGAGCGAGAGCGCTTAAAGTAGGTCGAGGGACGGAGGCGAAGTCGCTTTGTGGGCAACGAGAGCATCGAATCATTATCCGTGTCGTGGAATTGACCGAGCCAGTTGGCGATGGCAAGGGTTGCTTCGGTGTACTCGGTGGCAACGCTATCCTTGACAGTAGCCAATGGCAGGGGTTTGTCCCAGGCATGCTTTTCCTCGCCGACAACGCGAAGGGTCAGGGTCTTATCCGGACACGAACGAATGCGCTTGGCAAATCGCAGACCCTCTTGTAGCAGCATGTCGTACTCGCAGAGGCACAGATGCATTGGCGGTAGCTTAGCCAGAGTGGCATCGTCGATGAGGCCAGGGGATAGACGCCAGTCGTCACATTCTTTTCGGGGTATGTGAGGATGAACGTACGAGACGTCAATGAGGTCCGTAAGACCGGGTGACAGTGTCAGGTCGGGGCGGTGGCAAGTGCTGCGCTTCTCCGGCCGTGTGACTGTCCAGTCGAGCACAGGGTAGAAAAGGGCGAGACCGGCGATCCTGGGCACAGGCTGGGGTAGCTTGTAGTTCCAACGTTGAGGCTCCTGTAGTATAATCCAACTAGTCAACGCGTTTGAGGCGCCGGCAGAGAAGCCGGATAGAATGATGCGATTGGGATCGAAGCCGAACTCGTCGGCACGGGCAGCAATTTGCAGAATAGAGTCGACGCAGTCCTCGGTAGGAGTAGGAAAGGGGTGGCCTGGGGCGAGTCTGTAGTTGACGGAGAAGACGACAGCGTCGATTGATGTCATGACGGCGGCAGCCCAACGACTGTCATCAGTGCCGGCTCCAAGGATCCAGCCACCGCCGTGGAAGTTGATGACGGCGGCACGAGGTCCGAGGGCGAGGCGCGGCGGGGTCCAGATATCAACCTTGATCTTGTCCTTGCCAGGAAACGCAGAAAGGGTAGAATCCAGCCAGACACATTTACTGGGCACCGGGGCAGCGGGTACAGTGCGATTGGCGAGACTAAAGGCGAAACCGGCGGCAGAGCGGATGGCGTGTGCTCTCATGGAAATGTACCATCGTGAACTATTGGCGAGAGGGTTGACGTAATCGACCCTGTCGGCCTCGACAACATCGGGGATCTTTTCCAGGTGGTCATAGTTGTTGGATGAGCTGAGCTGAATAGCGGTAGGTTCGATGATGGTTGGTATTTGGTCATGGACAGCTTGTGTGGCCTTGCCGCCTTTGTTGTGCGGTTTGGACTCGATGAGGATGGCGTTTTCGTTGGGAGCATCACCAGCGACGTCGGAAGGCAGGAACGGCATAGCGTGGGGGACCAGGGGTGTGGTTGGACAATCAATCGAGAGTGGCCTGGCTCGCCAGGGGGGCAGGTCGCGTCAAAGAGATGCGCTGGGCAGAATTGTTGATGAAAGAATGACTGTGACAAGTGTGTATGACGATCGTATTAATGGGAAGGATTGTGAAATGTCGAGAGCAGGAAACCGGGCGGTGGGAGGAAGTTGGTCAGCGCCTCATCGTACTCGTAACAGGGCAGCCAAGCGGTCCGGGTTGTAGACTGGGGCACAGCCGAACCTAAAATCACTGGATGCGAGGCTGTGGTGAGAGCAGCGCGACTAGTTTCTAGTTGGTAGTAACTCGCAGTTGACATGGGTTCGGCTTGGGGTCGTTTCTCAATACCTCGAGAAATGGTCAGCCAGGAAGCGGACTCTGTAACTAATGTGAAAGCGTTGGGTACCTAGGTAGGCATTGCGAATGGAAGCAGCGCTGCACCCGGCCGCCAGTACAGGGTAACGTTTGGTGCCGGAACTGCCAGTGCCTCGGTGGCGTATCAAGTGTGGCGCAAAGCGTCATTCGTATTCGTGGCTACCCTGCGTCATGGACTCGTTCATAATAATCCTCTCGTCATTGTTGGCCATGACAGTCTCGTTGAACAAGGCTTGCAATCCGTCTCTTTCATTCATGCATGACCATGAACAACGGACCGCAGCGTGTCGCACAAGAAGCAGTCGCTCACTCACATCTGACGTTGACGATGACGGTGCCACAGCAACAGCGGCCGCCCAGCATATACAGGCACCATCTCCAGGGCACGCACACCCATCGCGGTCGGCTCCTATAATGGCACTTGCTCGCAGGTCAAGGATGAAGCGATAATAATACTTGGTTCCGAAATGGCGGGCCTTGATGCTTTAAAGGTGGAACAATGCGCCTTGATGCCCAAGGTTCTACGGCCCCGATGACCCGATACCCCGACGATGCTGCCGGTCAGCGCGGCATATTGACTCTCGAGTCACGAGATGGTCATGCGCGCGGAAAAGTCCAATGGTAAAGACAACGGATGGTTAGCGCATGAAAGGATGGTATTACGGCGCGTGATCCGCGCGTTCCCGCGTCCTTGCTCTCAAGGCTGTTTGTACCTATCTTAGCTTCGTACCATGAGCTACGGGCCTGAAAGAAACACCAAGAAAGCCGCTTTCAGGGGTCGCTACACAAGAGACATGACAACTGGTTCAAGGCTCGGATATATCAAGCAAACCATCTGATCAGACCCAACGTCACTTGATCAGAAAAAGTGAGAATCAGAATTCAATCGTGCAGAATCGGAAGCGAGGCACGGCAACGCCGGAAACAGCACTCTCAAATGTGGACTCCGAGCGCTGTGGGGCGACCCTTGTTCACTGTAGTTATTCTTCGCGCTAATAACACGGCGGACTTACGGAAACCTGGTAGGTACCCGGCTCCGTGTGCGGCTGCCACGTGAGTAGAAAGAAGAAAATGAGACGGAAGAGAAAAAACCCCAACACTTGAATGCAATGGATTGATTCAATGGTATACTACTCTCTTTTAAAATGCTGATGAAAATAGTAGTAATCATCTTTGCCTACTAAGGTATACTGCGTGCTTGGTCATCAAGTGCCAGCCTTACAAATACCTAGTAAGCTTCGGGCAACCCGGCTGGTCGTTATCCAACTAGAAATCACGGTGGCTTGATATGATAAAAATTTGCCTGGATTTATGTAACAAGCTCATTTGAAGGGCAAAACGCAGTTTCTGCGCCGTGGTGCCCCCGGTACACCCGGAAACTACCTGGGTATGTACCTACGGTAGCATAGTTACTAAGGCTGGGGAGTCCACTAACAGCAACAAGCTCACCATGATGGTCACTAAACCCGCCAATAAGAGGAGATTTCTTTTGCCCTTAACCGCATTACGGGTATCGATCAAGTAGGCCGACAACTGCCATGCTATGTACCTGGCTACCTACCTAGGTAGCTAGACACGACTGAAGACAAGCATGGGTGTGAAAAGCTCGTGACAAGGAATTCCATCCGTCTCCTGCCTCCCCACCCGCCGACCGCCAGCGGTTGACAGGTTAAAACTTTGGCAAATCCCCTCCTCTTTTGCCCAATTCCGTCTTGCTCCTGTCAACCTTTCCTGCCTCGTCCACAGCTACCGCCGTCCCCTGCTCTCTCCGAGATCTATCTTCGAAACATTCTACAGCAATGCAACAAGGCTAGCCAAGGCCAAGTCCCATCTAATAATACATCGCCGGCCCTGTCGGAACCGGACCCTCTGCTCCCCTCTGCCCCCTCCAAGCTCCTCGTACATGCTGTACTACCCCGCCAGGCCACCACACGTCCCGCCACTATTTTTGTTCTGCCAAGACGACATCATTACATCAACGATCTGCATCGCGGCCGACCTGCCTCTCTTCGTTTTTCCCAGCGTTATTCACGCCCGTGCCTGATTCTTGGGGTTCCTTGCCACCTATAGGGCTCCTAGCTCCCGCTCGTCTCTCGACTTGCCTACTTCACTCCCAGACTTTCTCTTCTCGACATCACCCACCCCCCCCATCGCTCCCACATCACACGTCTGCATCATGGCGGACAGCAACAGCAACAATTCTGGCGTCACCAGCCCCGTGTCCTCTGCTTTTGGCATGCACAAGGGTGGAAGCCCGCGAAATAGCGCCCGCCACAGCATGGTCATTCCCAGCCCCGATAAGCTGAGCCTCGACCAATTGTCCCTCGACAAGAGACACCTGGACCTCCGTGACGAGGTTCGCGCTCAATCACCCTCTCGAACCGCTGTCCACTCCGAGGCTACCCGCAGAATTCTCGCCGGTCTCGATGGCGGCTCCGAATTCAGCAAAACGTCGGGCTCGGGGCGCTCCAGCATGGATAGCGTCCGTAGCACCTCCAGCGCCGACTGGCCAACTCACCCGGGGGAGCTCAATACCATAAGCCAGCTCGCCTCTCTGCCCATTGGCACAGAGGTCAACTTTAGAGCCCGAATCCATACCCAGCGGCAGCTCTCCAAGGCCCTCGACTTTCTCCTCCTACGCGACCAGACTCAATCTGTCCAAGGTCTGCTCACCCGCGACAACATGGACATGGTCAGCTGGGTTCAGAAGCTTCAACCAGAGTCCTTGATTCAAGTCTGCGGTACCCTGAAAGCCCCTCCTGAGCCCATTCGTTCTGCTACTATCCAAAATGTCGAGGTCGAGATTCAAGCTCTACACCTTGTCACCGCAGCCCACAACGCACCCTTTAGCAATTATAAACCCCCCGAGTCTCTGCGCAACCGCATGGCCGCCCGTATCCTCGACTTGAGACACCCAGCCAACCACGCCCTCTTTCGCATTCGCTCCATGGTCACCTCAAAGTTCAGAGAAACTCTCGAGAATCAAGGCTTCGTTGAGATTAATACTCCCAAGCTGCAGCCTGCAGCCACGGAAAGCGGTGCCGCGGTCTTCAAGGTCAACTACTTTGGCCGCAACGCCTTCCTCGCCCAAAGTCCCCAGCTTGCCAAGCAGATGGCCGTCTCGGGTGACTTTGGCCGTGTTTTCGAAGTCGGCCCAGTCTTCCGCGCCGAAAACTCAAACACCCATCGTCACTTGACAGAATATACCGGCCTGGATATCGAAATGGCCATTGAGCACGACTATCACGAGGTTATCGACGTTCTTGATGAGTTCCTCAAGTCTGTCTTTAGAGCCGTCTACTCCATGCCCGAGGTCGCTGTCGTGCAAAAGCGCTGGCCGAGCAAGGAATTCAAGTATCTCGATCAGACTCTCATTCTAGACTTCCGCGAGGGTATCAAGATGCTCCGCGACGACGGTCGCAATGTCGAGGAAGAGGATCTGTCCACTCCCGACGAGATGCGTCTTGGCGAGCTTGTCCGCGAAAAGTTTGACACAGATTACTACATTCTCGACAAGTTTCCTGCCAATGCCCGTCCCTTTTATACTCACAAAGACCCCGAAGACCCCTTCTGGACCAACTCATTCGACATCTTCCTCCGTGGTCAAGAGATCTGCTCTGGTGGCCAGCGCATCCATGATGCCCAGGAGCTTCGAACGAACCTAGCCGCCGCCGGCATTCCTGAAGAGGGCATGGAGGATTACCTCGCTGCTTTCGACCTCGGCGCACCGCCCCATGCTGGTGCTGGTCTCGGTCTGGAGAGAATTGTCGCCTGGATGCTCGAGCTCGGCGATGTCCGTTACGCGTCTCTGTTTCACCGTGATCCCAAGTCACTTCCCGAGCGCAAGCTAACCTCGCTACCCCACATGGATGCCGACACGACTAAGACGCTGGAGTCACCACCGTCGGTCGAGAACCTCATTGCCAACTACGGTGATGCTTCCAACACCTCCTGGCTAGACGAGAGATTCATCATTTGGAGACACAGTACCGGTGCAGCCATAGGTTATGTAAGACAAGGAAAATTCGCCATGGTGACGGGCGACCCTCTCTGCGACGCCTCGCAGTACAAGGCCGTCACTACCGCTTTTATCAAATACGTCACAACCGAGCTGCAGCTCATTCCCATCTGGATGCTTGTGTCGTACGAAGTACAAAAGATTCTCGGCCGGGAGATTGGCTGGCGCACACTATCCTGCACAGAGGAGCAGCGCGTCAACGCCGACAAGATTGCCACCAACAACGACGGTCCAAAGGCGCGCCGCGTCGAGCGCGAGGGCGTCAAGGTCCATGAGGTCAAAGCCGACGATGACTTTATCCGCCGTGCGGACCCCGCCATTGAAGCCTGGAAAGGCAACCGGAAGGGCAAGCAGGTCCACCTGACCGAGGTGCGGCCCTGGGTGGACAAGGAGCATCGCCGCTACTTCGCCGCCGAAAAGGACGGTAAGGTCCAGGCTATGGTGGTGCTCGCCAAGCTGTCGCCCAAGCACGGCTGGCAGGTCAAGTGGGCGCTCGACTTTCCCGGCGCCGTGAATGGCGCCATCGAGGTACTCATCGGCCTCGCCCTCTCGAGCGTCTCGGGCCAGGTCACCTTTGGCGCCGGCGTCTCCCAGAAGCTCACGGCCGGCGAACACCTCCACGGCATCCGCGCCCGCTTCCTCGCCACCACCTACAGCTCCATTGTCGAGAGCCTTGGTCTCCGCCGCAAGGCCACGTTTCGCAGCAAGTTTGGCGCCCTCGGCGAGTCCGTCTACATTTGTTACCCCAAGCACGGCGTCGGCCTGCGCGACTTGCGTGAGATTGTCAAGTTTTTCCAAGATTAAAAAAAAAAGAAAAACAGCTCTAGACTACATAGTCAAAGACCAACCTCTTGTCCAATCTTCTTTTTTTGGTCTAACTTGCATATTCTGCATTTACAGTGGCGAACATGTCTTCTTTTACGTACAGATTTGGTCGGATAGATTAGATTTACTTTGTTCCCTTTTTCGCGGTTGGCACTGATGATGCAAATGGGTTTCTTTTATGGGGACGGTAGTGGTTGAGCATGATACCAATGACATAGTCTTTTCTTAACATGCTCAATTTCTTGACGTGATGTATCTCATTTCCACCGTTGGATATGTTTTGTTTGCTCGACCAGTTTACAAGTGACTCCTGAATTGCATGTGTTAATGCGCCACTGTGGACTTTAGCCCGCTGAAGAGCCTTCAGGGTGGGGCTTTAGTGACGTACCCTGTATTACAGGTATTAAAGAGGAAATAAGATGACAAGGATGAGAATTGTAGAGATGATTATAATTACAATGATAAAGATTACATGAAACAATGTTGAGAAAGACGGAGTGTACTACTCGCTGGTAGTTTATTGCATGTCCCTCGTGATCTGATGCAAATGCTTCAACCTTGCCGAGGGTCAGAAATTCCAGATGAGGCTAGCCCGCAGCCATCAGCGACAAGTTGGCCGATCACGATTCTGCCCGTTGCGCCTGTGCGCCGTGCTCATTGTTTTCTCACCAGACATCAACCCTTCGCCGTGACAAAAAAAATACGTCCGCCTCAGGGCGCCGTAACCAATCTCAACCGCCAACATGAAGCACCCGGGTGCCATCCTCGGCCACTTGGCCGCCAACGGCCTCCGTCCAACCGCCGTTGGCCGGGCCGGCTTCTCCCCTCTGCAGCCAAGACTCTCCAACGGCCTGTTCACGGCCGCCAAGAAGCGACCCCGCGTGTCTGCCACCACGCCCGTGGTCGCGGGGGCCTTTCTCACCTGGCTGTTCTACCCCACGGACGACTTTCGCCGTCTGTCCGGCCAGCAGGGACAAGCCAACCTGGTCCACACCTCTGCCGGCACCAAGACCGACAACAACGCAGCAGCGGAAGAGGCAGACGAGACGTCGGAGAGCGACAAGGTCGGTGAGCCAGCTCAAGAGACTGCTTGGAGCCACTTCACAAAGGGTCTTGAGGAGCGCTCTGCCGCTGCGGACAAGGAATGGGCAGCCTTTTCTGAAAAACTTGTTGGTTTCATCTTGCCCGAGTGGTCGAGACAGATCCCGGGCTACATTCGCAAGCTGCAACACGAACTCTCTGATGCCCCCGGGTCTCTCGCCGAGGACTTGTGGGCAGAGGCTCATGATGCCTCGGTCAACCCAGAAATTCAGTATACGGCTACGGTCCGCGTTTCGGAGGACTTGTGCCCAGACGAAAAGGAGTTCCTAGAGCGCCGAAAGAAGAAGACGAGAGCTGCTCTCGCCAAGTATCTGGATATCGACGAAAAGGACATTCATCCAGATGACATTCCCACCATTGCCATGTGCGGCTCCGGTGGCGGTCTGCGCGCTCTGGTGGCTGGAACCGGCTCTCTTCTTGCTGCCACCGAGGATGGCTTGTTCGATTGTGCTACTTACACTGCTGGTGTCAGTGGCTCCTGCTGGCTGCAGCTTCTCTATCTCACTTCTTTCAATAAGGGCAGTATCCCTTCGCTTCTAGAGCACCTCAAAGCCCGCACTTGTACTCATATTGCCTATCCTCCTGTTGCCTTGCAAGCATTTACTTCCCTTCCAACTTCACGACCTCTGCTGAGCGGCGTCATTGAAAAGATTCGCGGCGATAAGAACGCTAATTTTGGTCTCGTTGATATCTACGGCCTGCTTCTTGGTGCCCGATTTCTTGTCCCAAAAGGTGAACTGGGTGTCAACGACCGCGACTTCAAGATTTCCAACCAAAGAGAAATTCTCAAGGACGGGGATCGCCCGCTTCCCATCTACACTGCTGTTCGACACGAAATCCCTGGTCTGGAAGAAGGCAAGGATAAGACCAAGTCCTCCAAGAGCCCCGCCACCACCAAAAAGGAGCTCGACAAGGCTGAGGAAGAAGCCTGGTTCCAGTGGTTCGAAATTACCCCTTATGAGGTCTTTTGCGAAGAGATTGGCGCCGGTATTCCTACATGGGCCCTCGGGCGACGATTCAAGGATGGCAAGGATGTGCCGCTCGAGCACGGCTTTCACCTTCCCGAGATCCGCGCACCTCTGATGATGGGCATCTTCGGAAGCGCCTTTTGCGCCACTCTGAGCCACTACTACAAAGAAGTTCAGCCCATAGTCAAAACCCTGACCGGATTCGGCACCATTGATCAGATGATTTCAGAGCAGGACGTTGCCCTCGCCAAGGTACATCCCATTGACCCTGCAACTATCCCAAACTACGCCTATCAAATGTACGGCAAGCTCGCCAAGACGGCCACGCCTAGCATGTACGAAAATGAGCACATTCAGCTCATGGACGCTGGCATGTCCAACAACCTGCCCATCTATCCCCTACTCCGCCCTGGCCGCGACGTTGACATTCTCGTCTCGTTTGACGCCTCGGCCGACATCAAGACGGACAACTGGCTGGCTGTTGCCGACGGCTACGCGCGCCAAAGAGGCATCAAGGGCTGGCCTATCGGTGTGGGCTGGCCCCAAGACGAGAAGAAGGCCGTTGCCGAGATCAAGGCTGCCGAAGCGCACTCCACAGCCCAGGCCGACGCCAAGATTGAGCAGGCCAAAGAGGAGCAGAAGCAGCAGGACCAGCGCAAGAAGAGTAGCGAACTCGGCTACTGCACCGTCTGGATCGGCACCACCGAGGAACGCACGACCGAAGAAGGCCACCCCGCCACCCAGCCCATCTCCGAAGCGGAGCACTGGCGCCTGACGGACCCCAACGCCGGCCTTGCCGTCGTCTACATGCCCTTTTTGCCCAATAAGAAGGTGCCCGGCGTCTCCCCGGCCGAGAGCGAGTTTATGAGCACCTGGAACTTCATCTACACGCCCGAAAACATTGACGATGTGGTGCGTCTTGCGCGCGCCAACTACGACGAGGGCAAGGCGCAGATTCGGAACACGGTACGAGCTGTGTACGAGCGCAAGAAGCAACTGCGGTTGAAAAAGGAGGAGTCTGTCTAAGGAGTAAAGAAAGCGTAGTGAAAGAACAAGGTTTTCTATATGTACTTGTATGTATATTCTGATATTAGACACTAGAAATCCTAGCATTTTGGTAATAAAATAATAGTAATATTATCACACTATTTGCTCTTGAAATCTTCTCCCTAACGTTGAAAGTTGCGCTGGATATCCAATCTCAAGCTTGATCGCTGAGGTAGAAATCCCCTGATAGTCTACTGCAATCAATGTAATTAGTATAGTTCATTGTAAATATACCATCTATTTGTCGGCTCAACGTTTTGATAATCATAACTTCTTCGTCGCATTGCAAAAGATTTGTCCAGTGACCTTCTGGGCAAAAAGCCAGTTTCCAATCTAGTCAAAAACATCAACCATGAAGCGCTCATTTCGCATCTTCTCGAGCCAAGCACGCGCCGCCTCATCCGTGATAGCCTGAGACTTCCTCCGCTGCCCGCTCTCCTTGACCATATCGAGGCAGACATCCTCAACGCCCTTCCCTACCGCTCGGCCTCCGCAGAGGTACAGACGGGCACCCTGATCCCAGAGATCGAAGATTTCCTCGCGGTCCTTGGCGATGCGGTCCTGGACGTACTTGCAGCCGTCCGACTTGTTCGTGGCGCGCGAGTAGGCGCGGCGCACGTCAATAGCGCCAATCTTTTGCCATGTGGCAAACTGTTCGGCGTACAAGTCGTCGTCGTCGGGTGAGCGGCAGCCAAAAAATAGCACGGCGGGGGCAAGCTTGCGACCGGCGGTAATCATGGCCGCGCGCTCCTCGGCGAAGCCGCGGAATGGGGCGAGGCCAGTGCCGGCACCCATGCAGATGATGGGGGTATTTTCCGCATCTGCAGGAAGGTGGAATGCCGCCGAGGGACGGACGGCGACGTGGATCTTGTCGCCCTCTCGGAGGGATGACAGGTAGTGGCTGGCGACACCGACGTGCCGACCCTGGCCAGAATGAGCTGCCACGTCGAGGAGAGAATACGTCAGTGTGACTCTGGTAGGGTCGACAAGAGGGGATGACGAGATGGAATACTGGCGAACGCGCATAGGAGGAAGCATGGCAAGGAAAGTCTCGAATAGCATATTAACAGCAGGAAACCTCTCCAACAGGTCAAGAACAGAGAGTCGTTTTGCAGTAACTTCCTGGGAGAATTTGTCTCTAACAAGGCCGTTGAGCTCGGTCAATGTATTTTTGTCCTCAGTCGAATCAATCATAGCCTGGAGGTTTCTCTTGGTCGCAGGCTGGCTGAGCTCAACATAGGCGCCCAGAACGTTGGTAGCGGAAATCGGAACGCCAGTCGGCAATGTGGTTGGCCCGTTGGAGGTAATGGTGAGAGTGGCATCCCAGCTTAGCGAGAAGCGACGGAAGACACGACCAATAGTAGCCGCAGGGTTGAATGGCAGCACGGCCAAGTAATCACCGGCCTTGTAGGACATGCCGGTTGGGAGCCTGATTTCAATATGCTTCTTGACAGCTTGGCTCCCCTTAGTAAGCACTCTGGCCTCAATAACAGCAGCCTCTTCAACGTCTTGACGAAGGGTTGTCTTGCGAGGGTGCGTAATTTCGACGACAAGGCCAGAAGCGCCTTGGGCATTCTCAGTCTCTTTGGCGCCATACTTCTTAGTCAAGGCCGGCCAGAGATTCTCGTCCTCCCAGGTTTCAAAATCGCTAAACATATCACGATCGGCGGCGTCGGTACCCGTCATGGGAAGAATACGGTCGGCACCGCGCTCCGCCATGGTAGCGTCGACAAGCTTGGGAATTCTGTGGAATGTTTGAGCCCAGTCGTGGTGGCCACAGCCATAGACAGCGTACGATACATTCTTCAGCTCGTCGCCTTTCAGGCTTCGGAGCCAGTCGACGAAGTGGGCGGCATTGGACGGAGCTTCACCTTCGTACGAGGCAGTAACGATGACCACAGGGCGATCAGTAGGAAGTTTCTCCTTGACGTCGTCCAACGGGCCAATTTCGGCGACTCTGAAACCATGTGCACCAGCGTCAGCAGCGACTCTCTGCGCCATGGCCTCACATGTACCGCTGTTGGAGCCATAGAAGACCGAGATTGGCTTGCCATCCACAGCGGAGGCACCAGCTGACGATTCAGCTGCCTTGGCTGACTTGGAGTGAGGCGCGCCACTCTTAAGTTGGTCCTCGAGCTCAGTAGCATTCATGCCATGACGAAGCGTCGCCTTCATGAAGAAGTTGTGTGGTTTGAGTGTGAGGGTTTCTTGGATCTCCAAGGTGTAATTGGGATCGTCCAGGGTAAAGTTGAAATTCTGGAACAACATGGCCATGGCGAGAACCGCCTCTTGCCAAGCAAAGGGTCTGCCAATACAGGCGCGTTTTCCATTCCCAAAGGGCTTCCAGGCGTTAGGGAAATCCTTGTTAAGACGAGAAAAGTTATCGTCAAGCATGCGCTCAGGCTTGAATTGATCAGCATCATCACCGTAGACACTGGGGTCGAGATGAGATTTGGCGATGAGCAGAGTAAGGCGATTTCCCTTGGGAATTAAGTATTTGCCACCGAGTAGAGTGTCCTCCTTTGCTTCGACACCAATGGCCGGAATAGGAGCATTGAGACGCAGCACCTCACGGAGGACCTGGACGATATATTAGTGATGAGAAGGATAGATGAAAGTTGTGACAAGGAACTCAAAACGCACAGCTTGGATGTAGGTAAGCTTAGAAATGTGATCAATAGTGATGCGGTCTCTTCCCACAACTGCGTCGACTTCTTCTTGCACCTTGCGATATTCAGTAGGATTTTTGAGAAGCTGATAGAAGGCGAAGGAGAGCATTCCCGAAGTGGTCTCATGACCAGCAATGAGGAAGGTAATTAGTTGGTCGGTAATGCTGGCATCAGTAAGTTTCTGGCCGTCTTGAGGATCCTTGCCGTCAAGCATGGCGCTGAGTAGGTCCTTGCGGTTGGTGGGGTTCTGCTTGCGTTTGGCAACAACCTCGTCGGCGACGTCGCGCATGGTCTTGATATCTCGCTCGTACTTTTCGTCCACCGCACGGTAGAGGAACTGAGGCGCAAAGGCTGGGCGCCGGCCACGGGCGCCGCTGGCTTTGAGGAAATCTCCCATGGCACGGATGAAGGGGTGAAGCTCCTCGTGGTAGTACGAGTTGAAGCGATAGTCCATGGCGCAAAGGGAGATGGTGTCGAGGGCGAGTCGGGTGAAGTCGTCGGAGGCGTTGATGCGGTCACCGGAATGGCGGGCAAATTTCATGGCCATTTGCGAGGCAATGTCGTGCATCTCATCAAACATGTTGCGGATAGAGAGGGGACCGAAGGCAGGGATGAGAATGCGATGGGCTTTGCCCCAGTTGGGCTCCGTCTCAGAGTCGGCGGTAAAGAGACCGTCATGGACGGCGGCGCGAACTTTGCCAAGAGTACCAGCAACAGTCTTCTTGAAACGGCGCTCGTCGCAGGCGTCATTTACAAGCTCCCGTGTGCTAATGACGCAAAAGGGACCGGCTCCCAGGCGCATGCGGTAGATTTCGCCTATGACACGTTTGCTGTCAATGGGACGACGATGCAAGACAGTGATGAGCGACAGCACTTACCATATGTGTCTGCGAGACGCTTCAGGTCGTTGATGGGGCTGGTGCGCATCTCGCCGATGTTTCCAATGAATGGGAGACCCGGGGGCTCGGGAATGGGTAAGGACTCGGCCATTGTGAAGTTATTCGGCTGCAGGAGAGGTGGTGTTGCGGGCTTCTAAGTGTTGAGCAGAGCATGTTAGCGGGGTGTTAGGTTGACAAGGGTGATATATCTGAGAAAATTGGACCATGGTGGTCATCATGATGGCGATGGAGCTGGAAGAGTTTTGTGTGCATGTTGCCGGAGGAAAGATTGTCGAGCGTTTGCTGGGCGTTTGTTGGAAGCGGCCGTAGCAGGAGGGGCACGTACCAGACGATGGATGATGTTGGCCAGTCTAGAGCCTGGGGAGTGCTGGCTACTATTACTCTTTGGACGAACAGCACGAAGATGGAATCAAGATGAAGTAGAGATGACCCTGTCGATTGATCAAGAAATAAATCTCAAGAAGATGAAGTGATGAATAGATGTTGATAAAGGGGCCCCTCGAGCTTATATGTGGGAGCCTTGTTAGTTACGCCAGACAGACTAGGAGCCCTCCGTTGTAAAGAAAACCAAACTCAGCCATGCATGACGAGGGAGCGGGCCAAGAAACTGAACGAGGGAAGCTACCTTGCTACCTAAACTAAATTATTAAGGATCAAGACTCCGGTTTAGATGAGCTAGCGGGATTAGAAGGGCAAACAGCACCCAATATGGTATGTGTGACGAAGGTCAGAATTTTCGGTATGCGGCAGTGAGCGACAAGTCCGTCCGTACTGACATGGTGAGACGGACAGACGGGGCGGCTTCTGGGCATCGCCGGCAAAATGCCGCACCCAGCAATGTACCCAGAGGCCAAAATGTAGCAGCCTAGTATGCCTAGTATCTACTGTAGTCAATTAAATGAAAGGACTTTTCGTCAGGCCCAACAATTTGTTGGTCGGCCAAGGTGGCGCATTTCATCGGCACTGTGGCGCATCATCAGAAGCCCCACCGAGTCGGCCGGTGGCCCCGAGAATGGAGAATGCTATGTATCAGCCATCATCCATCAATGACCCCCAAAATAGTCCGATGCAAGCGGCTCCGCCCAGAAATGTTGGTAAAATCCGTCGACTGATTGGTGAGGGGCGTCAACGGCGTTTTGCGTCCTCGGCCTGACACCCTGCCTTCAACCGCGGTAACTAGTAAGTTATTAGTCGTGTACAAGTGCGGCGTAGTCGAGCATGGGCCGAGCACTGTATCTTGCAGGGCTATGTACTCCATTCCAGTCATGCCGGTAGCTTTCATCTGAATCGTGGTTGGTTGGTAGCTGGCTGGAGCCAAGCCGACGACGCATGCCAACGTGGAGAGCAAGGCAAGAGGATAGTTACTCCTGGCAGCCACGGAGCCGGAGTTGGGTTTCGTGAAGCGTCGCAAGTCGTAGAAGATGCTCATCCAAGGCTGGCCATATAGTGGGCTGTGAAGCACCAACTACATACCTACATACGTAATCGTCGCCTTGCTTTTTCCAAACACGCTTGGCGGAGCGGCGCAGAGCAGATAGAGATGACAACTTGGCAGCGCTGTGCCTGGATAGGCGTTTCGGCACTTGAGCCGGACTTTTGGGGCTCCTCGGGCCGCGGGCACGGCGCGAAAAGCACTGTATTTAGAGGTTTATTGCTTTCGGCCTCTAGGTAACTGTAATTTTTTCATTCAACACATTTTAGCACCTGCGGGCAAGCAACAAGCGCCCGGCGGTAGGTACCTTATTGCCAATTACGCCGCTTCAAGATGCCTTTTATCAAGTTTGCTGTTTGCTCTTTACAGCACCACCTCTAACAGGGCGCCCCCGACAATCAACAAATCATCTCATCCCATCTTCTGTCGTTTTAGCGTCCCCAGCTCATGCACTAATTCCCGTCCCTTATCTCAGGGCTTAAATAATTCAGCGACTTGCCTTTGTTCTTGTTTTGTTTCATAGCTAAATAATTACTCTCTACCACGCACCGCTTCGCATTGTACTCTCAGACTACCGGCATATTTGATGAGCTGTTTTCGAATTTCATCAAAGGCATTACTTCCCAGCTTGCCAGCCTTTCTCCCCAATAAAGTAATTGTATCATTTCTATCCAAATACACACTAACTAGATGTACCCTACATTAACGGGCTTACGTTGCGTCTCTAGAATCCCCCGTGAAACTCTAATCTCAACATTTCACCCTTGTAGTCACACAATTTAATGCAACTTCTTGGTCCATCGACTCGTGATTTCCGCCTCAGAGTACTGCTTACTACCTAACAACTACAGACGGTGCGAATAACATATTTACATCAGACTTGTCAATGTCTGCTTGTACTCATATGAAAAAGAGGCAAATTATCGTGCTGGTATCTATTACAATGCAAAATTAAAGCTCAATAAGCTCTCTGCCGCCATGTCGTCCCCGTCTTCCCATCCGAGAACCGTCATCACTAACACGCCCAAAATATCCTCTGCGAAGCCTCATTTGCCCTCTCAACAGATGGCAAGGAAAATAAGCGGACAAAACCCTAGTCATGACGAAGCGAATAAAATAAAACCTGGTTTTGAAGATACCCTCTCCTAAAAACAAAATCTGCTCCCAAACCCCGATCTAGAAACTACACAGCGAGGCGTCAGCCGAGGCTGAGACTTCCAGGTCCTTCTTCAAGTGATTGTTCTCCCCAATTTCACAATTCGTCTCATTGTTGGCCGTTCCCGCCTACAAACCGCCCTCGAAGCCAGCCCATCGCCGCGCCGGCGCCGGTATTGGCTTCTTCGCCAGAGCCCGTCCGGTTGGAGCGCGTCTGCCGGCCGCTCTGCGACGGACTGCGCTCCCTCATACTCCTAGCCCCCTCACCAACGGCCACCCTAGGGCCGGTTGGCGACATTGAGCTACGTCTTTGCAGCCGTGAGGTATCGTAGCTGAATCCAGCCGAGGGGCCGCGAGATCTATCTCGCTCACCGCGTTGCGAAGAGAGAAGGCGCATAGCTTCGTTGAGGCGTGTCTGGCTCTGGTTTGGTGGCCGTGATGATACCGAAACCCCGGGCATAGAATTCAATCCGTTGTCCAGTGCCGGCTGAGATGTTGATGACGCTGATTGCGCGGATCCGGCTGCTCCTGTCTGCACCTCACCTTCATCACCTGTAGCATCCGTTGGCGTCGGGACATGACGTTGCCCACCTCGACGCTGATTCTGGCTCTCATTTTGATTCTGTGACTGCTGTTGCGAGAGCTCTTCTGCACTTCTGCTGCGTGCACTTTCCTCCATCGGCGCACGACACACGGGACAGGTGTTATGCTCCTTCAACCACGCAACGGCACATCCCTCATGGAACGAGTGGTTGCAAGGTAAGGATACCGTGACCTCAGCAACCTTCATGCCGTCAAGGCAAATTGAGCACTCCGTATTACCATCCTCGCTTTTCAAATCCTCATCGATGATCTTGCGCGGCAAATTGGCCAATCCTTGCTCCGAAGCCGGTGGTGCTGCACTCGATTGCTGATTTGCATCCATCAGGACGGAAACGATTCCGTCGAACGCCTCCTGCGAGTACACAGCATCTCCGTGCACGCCATTGTTGAGCAAACTCAGAATATGTGCGAGGTTTCCCCCCAGGCCCGAACCTTCGCCGTTACCTTGCGCAGCTGCCGCTTGGAGAGCTTCCCCTGTGAGTTGAACACCAAAATCACGGAATGCGCTGGAAAACAGTCTTTCATATAGTTAGCGCCGACTTGACAGTACAGTGTATCTTGGGAATGGAACAAACTCACGACGAAAAGGGCTCGAAGCCTAATGGTGCATTTCCTCCCGACGCGAAAGTTGCATTGGATGTGTAGAACGTCACGGAGCCCTGCGAAGTGTCGTTGGCCCACGCAACACGTCCTCCGCCGTTTCGGGACGCCTCGCGCAGGCGGTCCATTAAGGCTCCATCTCCCTCTACTTCCCTGAGAGGCATGCCGATATTCGACACAATACTGAGAAACCTCTCTGCTGACTGCCTGGGGTGTGCATCATGGTGCTCCGCATCCTCTCCTACTTGCGTCGACTGATCGTGGCCAAACCCGTTTGGGTCCACATGGTCGTCTATGTCGGCCACTTCTGGGTCGGAATCGCCTTCATCGTCATGTACACGTCTGTACGTCTCTGATGCATGTACGGAGTCGGCATCGGAATCGTTGGAGTCATCTTCAAGGGCCGGTCGCGGGTCGTTTTCCAAACTGACCTACAAGAAAGGGCACGCGACGTTAGCAAACAAGTGCTCTTGTGTACATGGAAGGAAGGAGCCAAATAGATAGAGGCTGGCACTCACGAGTTCTGTAATGTCGCTCCCACAAGAAGGACACTCTAGCCCATACTCATCCCGATGCCATTCGTAAGCGCACGAATGGCAGTATACAACCTCGCGCTCCGCCGCATCCAGACGCCCATCATGGTATCCCGCGGAAGCCATCTGGCCTTGCCTACGTTGGTACGCACCGAAGGCGCTCAAGCCGAGGCCGACAGCAAGACCAGCGAGGCGGAATGCGCGTGAAGCCAGACTGAAAGGATGCGGTGGCAAAAGAGGAGATATGGCGGGTTATCAGGGCGGGGACCGAAACCGGCGCTGTAGATGTAGCGGCTTGGCTTCGTGTTTCGAATTCTTTGGAAAGTGCTGCAAGACGGATAAAAATTTAGAAGATTAATGACCGGGTAGAAATAATCTGCGCGATCGGATGGGCGGCGAGCGGTTCAGCACCGCTGCTGGTATTCTGCTTGTGATGGCGCTGGTGATGTACAGATCGGTACCCTGCGCTTGCGTGATTCAAGCCCAAGTCGAAAGGCGGTGAGTGGCAGCGGCGGCGGCGGTGGCAAAGCAAATGCTAAAAACGCGGAAGAAAGGGGTCTTGTGGGAGAGAAGCAAAAGTGAGGGTCAAGAAGGCGTGGGAAAGAGAGGAGGGCAATAGGTGAAAGGACAGACACATAAATCAGTAGGTAGTTGGAGGAGTTCAGGTGCATATGAATAATTGGGTCGAGCGGCTGCCCTACCTAGGTACCTACCTAGAAACCTTCTACCTACGCGCGCGGGGGGTGTTTTGTGACACGGCCTGTGACACAGTTTACACATTCTAACAAAACTTGCCGACTGTCAATAAGACGCTTCTCATACACATGGCTGCCTACCATGGAGATATGGACCGTTATTCACGGCTCGTACGGCTTTACATAAGTGTAGTGGAATGTCTCTTCGTCGTGCGGGGCATCTATCACCAGCCAATGTTCGCTCGACTCTAGGCCACTCAGCTAGACAAGGACACCCAACTCGCAAACGAGAGATCAAGCGCAAAGAGATCCAGAGGGCAATCTCTGCTCGAAGGATCATGTCAAATGACCGACAGGAGTTTGAGCACGGCTGGAACCCGGACAAGCCTCCGCCGTTCCTGATATGGTGGCACAAGACGCAGGTATCAATGTTAAAAGACTTATTTTTCTTTAATCACGAACCTTACTGTGACAACAAAGAAATTTGCATGTAAAAAGAACTTGAGCCGTCCGAGGATGGCGAAGTTGATGCCCTTCGGGAGGACCGAGCTTTTTTTTTGGATGGGATGTGATCTTCACGATAGAAGTAAGCTTGATCTTCGTCTGCTACACAAGTATATATGGCATGTGCCAATGAAGCCGGGGGAAATCAGGCTATAGCGGTGTCAAGTGTAGTAGTCACCCAAATCCAGACAGACAGTTAGCATACAAGGCACACACAAAAAGAAGAGGGTGCAACTCGAGACGTAGGCACCTGTCATCAGTAGAAGCCTCTGGGACCGTTGTGCGACAGGCAGCCAGGCAACATAAATTTGACACAATCAGGACAGATTTATATGACTCATGATTCAGATTAAACCATTTCCAATAGGAAGCAAGAGGGTTTTTCTGAGCGAACCCTTTAATTTTCTAGACCTAGGCGAATCACTTGACATCGCGACCATTTCTACCTACGTACTCGGCGACCGGGGTATAAGAAGAGACGGGCAATGAGGCGAAAAGTCCCGCATCAAGCGAACACATCCAGCCATACGAGCAGTTCACCGAGATATATGCTAGTTGCAACGAAGGCCCATCCTGAGAATAGAAGCTCTAATCAGCAGAGTAGCCCTGTTTACAGCCGCTCAATCAACCTATAGTCAGTCTCATACGTAGTAACATCGCGCCGCATCTTGGACCGCAGCTCATGCTTTGACCGATCTGCGGCATTGATTTGGCAAATGAAACTGTGGTATGATTCATCTACCGTCTGTATGTATGTACAAGTCAACCCGCTCCCGCTCTCTTCACCATCTTACAGTATTGTGTGTGCAACTATTGCGTCTTGTTCTGCTCCGACTGGCTTTCCTCTTTGTCCCACTGGATCAATTGCTTCGACCATCTGTTATCAAGACAAAGTTAGCAAGGAATTTCTCTGCCGACGCGGCTCTTCACACCCAATACTGGTCTCCTTATCCGTCTCGAGCTGCTCACGTACCGTCTGCTAGGATACCACTCGCCAGGCTGCGGCTTGTGCGCCCACTTCTCGCGGTCGGCGCCAAATTTCCAGGTGACGGCGACAATGCCGAAGATGACGGCGCCGGCAATCAGGGTGTTGCCCCTCCAGTTGGCCGGCTGCGCGTACCAACCACCGGCCGGCGACCAGACGTGTTTGGGGTAGCTGTAGTTTTCGTGGTGATTAGCCCCATGCCCGACTTTCGACCTCGCTTTTCTTGTCCGTGGGTCGACTGCGATCGATCGGGGGTAAAAGAGGTTGGCAATCGGGGTCAATCGCGACAAACTTACGGAATCTTTCCACCGCCGCCCTATACCGTTGTTAGAGATAATCGCCTACACGATGCCATTGATGACCTTCTAACTTACCATTTTAAATCAATTGTCAGTAAACGGTGCGTTGTGTCTGATTTATTGCGATTTGCGTCGTTTCGATGGGCTTGCTCTTGGTAGCAGGGTGAGCCGTGCTCATTCCGCAGGTCGCAGCGACGGGACCAAATTAATCCGGCGCCGACCATCCATAGGCGCAAATTATTAGCACCTGCATAGCCAGGCTGCCCCAAATCCCAAGCTCACACGACTCCAGCAGAACTTTTTGCCGCGACCCTTGTATAACAATCAAGACACGACATACCATTCTTTTTCCTTTCAATTCGGTCCAAGCAGCCAGCAACCAATATCACATAAACTTTTTGTTTTCTGTGGTGTCACCCTCTCACAAGAGAAAAAATTCTTGCTGTGTCATTTTGTTCTGAGCTCAAGCAGATGAAGAGGTTACGGGTGTCACAATGGAGCGGCAACATGTGCCTCGCTGCCCGGCAAGGAGTGGCCGCCGTGCCTAGACGGCAAGCATTCTCGATATCCAAGCGCTGCCAATCGACAACAGCAGCGACCGACGCATCCTCCCTCACAGACGACATCCCCCTCGACGGCGCCTTTTCCCGCCACAACCCACTCCCCTCGCCGCCCCCTGGCCGAGCTCTCGAGTCGGCCAAGCTCGCTGCGCTGCACGCCCGTCTGGCGCTGCCCACGTCGATTCCCCTGCAAACGATAGCCCGTGCCCTGGTCACGCCCTCGGCGGATGGAAATCAAAACTTTAACAATGGGAGCCTCGCGGAGCTCGGCCGGTCCATTGTCAACTACCACGTCCTCGAATACCTCGTCTGCAAGTGGCCGCGCCTGCCTATCAGCATCCTCTACGAGGCCCTGCGGGCCTTTGCCGGTCGCGAATCCCTCGAACAGGTCGCGCGCCGCTGGGGTGTTGACGCCGCCGCCGCCCCCGGCGAGGAAGTTGACCCGGGCCTGCTGCAGTGGAAGGCCGATCCCATCGTGGCGCCGAACTCGCGCTGGGCCTATGTCCGTGCTGAGGCGGAGCGCGGCCAGTACTACCGTCGCGGTATGAGCAGTCGTGTTGTCCTCGATGACGCCTTTGGCGACACCTACCAAGCGGCCGGCGAGAGTGAGCCCGGCCTGGCCAAGATGCAGGCCGCCGCGTACACGTCGTTTGTCGAAGCCGTTGTCGGTGCCATCTATGCGCACTCTGGCGCCGACACAGCCAAGCTGTTTGTTAAATCACACATTTTGTCGCGCGACATTGATCTCAGCCGCATGTTCCAGTTCCAGCTGCCAACGCGCGAATTGGCCATGCTGTGCGCCCGCGAGGGCTTTGAGCCTCCGCGCGCTCGACTGGAGAGCGAGACGGGCCGCCGCTCGCGCACGCCCGTCTTCATCGTGGGAATCTACAGCGGCCAGGAGAAGCTCGGCGAGGGTGCCGGCGCCAGTCTCGACGTGGCCCGCCGCGTGGCATCAATGAATGCCCTCAAGGCGTGGTACATGTACAGCCCTGGTAACAAGGTCCGCGTACCGAGCGACATGACCCTACCCGACGCCAAACCCTGGAAGGCGCCGCACATTGACATTGGCGAAATCATCTAAACGAAACGGGACACGCAAAAAATCATAAGAAGCGATATCGAACTGCATGGCGGAGAGGGAGGGTGTAACTCTTTGTATGAACATCGTGGTGTGCGAGTCTGAGACGGCATAGAAATATTGGAAAATGACCAACTCAGTGAGACGTGGAGCTTTCTTCTTGGGCAGAAACGGAATGTCCTCATGTATAACTTCTTGAAACTTGAATCTATATTTGTAAAATAAGAAAATATACCTTTGAACTTTACACAAAAGGAACGCGAAATATTGCAAACAGCATGTCGAATCCCCCACCAGCATGCGAACAATAAACCAGTCCTATGAGCAACAGTGAGCTGTCGATCTTTCACTTTCTATTGGTCATATTATTTAGGGAAGTAAAATTAATTCTATTCGCACTACTACCTAGGTACTCGATGTATTCAAGAAAGTACTTTATAATAATTATTAGTTTGAGTAGTGAGCGCAGTTGGGGTGGGTGGGGCAGGCCCCATTTATATCAATTTGCATCTGTAGAACCGCCAGCTACTTTTTTTTCTTCTCGCAGACCTTCGGACGAGCATCTTCATCTTGGATTGAGGACTTTGGAGCATATTTCGCGCAACTGAAAATCGGCGCACCAATCTCAAGGTTAGTTCTGAAAGCGTGCGGTATTTTAAAGCGCCTCCTCCCGCCAGGGCCCTGCCTGACGACGCTGGAAGGAATTTGACTGCCCCGCGAATGGAAGCGCGAATGGCAAACTATTACTCACACGTGATAAGGCGCAGGGAAACAACCATCTTTGCTCAGACAACTGGCGGCTGACTCTTATCAGCGTCAATTACAACTTGATTACCCTCACAGCGCTCTCGCGATTCAACCGTCGACATGAGCGAGGCAGACAATGCCATCAAGCCCGCCGAGGCTGTCGTGGCTGTCGAGACTGTCGAAGCCGTCGAGGCCGTCGAGGAACCTACTACTGCCACTTCTGAGTCTGTTCCTGAAGTGACTCCTGAAGTTGCTCCTGAAGCCGCTCCTGAAGCCGCTCCTGAAGCCGCTCCCGAAGCCGCTCCCGAAGCCGCCCCAACGGCGGCTGCTGCCACCAATGGCCAAACCGAGAAGAAAATCCTGAAGACCACGACCAGAATTGACCCCGACACCCGCCAAAAGTACAACAAGTTCGACCCCAGCCAGCGCGAGGTCTCAGATGACCCTGTTGCCATTCGCAAGCAGGTCGAATTCTACTTTGGCGACTGGAACTTCCCCCAGGACAAGTTCATGTGGGAGAACTGCGGCGGCTCCGAGAACAAGCCTATCGCGGTCGAGAAGATTCACTCCTTCAAGCGCATGCGCACCTTCCAACCCTATAGCGCGGTTGTCGCCGCCCTGCGCGACAGCGATTTTCTCGATGTAGAAGGCGATGAAGGCCGGGAGACGCTCAAGCGCAAGGTTCCTTATCAGGCCATGGGTAACGCGCGCGCCAAGACCGAGGCCTCGACCATCTACGTCAAGGGCTTCGGCGACGAGACGCCCAACACACAATTTGAGATGGAGAGCTTCTTTGCGCAGTTTGGCGAGTTCAAGGGCCTGAAACTGCGCCGCACTCCCGAGGGCCTGTTCAAGGGCTCCGTCTTTGTGACCTTTGCCAGCGAGGACGCGGCCAAGGACTTTGTGAGCAAGGAGCCGGCGCCCAAGTGGAAGGAGCACGACCTCAAGATTATGACCAAGCAGGCGTACTGTGAGGAGAAGAGCGAACTCATCCGCGCCGGCAAACTAGAACCCAACAGCACCACGAGCAAGAAGTTCTTTGAAGGCCAAGAAGGCGGTGGCCGCCGCAACGGCAGCGGGGCACGTGACCAGGACGACTGGAAGAAGCGCCGCGAACACGATCAGAAGAACGGATTCCGTGGCGGTCGCGGAGGTCGAGGTGGCCGGGGCGGCCGCGGTGGCCGTGGCCGTGGTGGTGGTGGCTTCCGTGGCGGTCGCCGCGATAACGAGGATCGCGGCAACAAGCGCTCTCGCGAGGAGGACACTGGTGGTGAGGAGCGCTCTGCCAAGAAGGTCGATACCAAGGTGGAGGCGTAAAGAAGACAAATTATACGTTCTATTTCTATTTGAAGATCAAGGATGACTGAGACGTCGGGCACAATGGGCACAAAGAGGGAGGGGCTTGTGGGAAAGAACTAGCATGTAGGGTGGCAAACAATCTAAATGGCGTTGTTCTGGTTTCCGATTTGTTGGTTTCGATATTTGATATTTTTCTCCCAGAGAAAAGGGCACTGGGAAGAATTGACAAGGTTATTATCAGTCCTCGGCCAGGGTCCGTAACATGTTCTTGCGATCCCATGATGACCCATGCGGTGCCGGCCGCTATACTAACCTCCGTTGGTCGGATCGGCTTCTCAAAGCTGACGTTATCATAGACGGGCTGGGCTAGATTTCGCCCAACCAAGGAAGACGGATATCGGCCCCGGACGGCGTCGATTTTCCCTTTTTCCCTCTTTTTTTGGTCCAAGAAACCGAGACGGAGAGTCCGTGGACTTTTTCCTCACACCGCTAAGCCTCATCGGGCAGCCATGCTGGGGCTGGTAGGGCGACGACCATTTTTTTAGGGCCGAAAGCAAGAAATAAATGACAATATTTCAAGTCGGCGCCGTATCGGCCGAGTGGCGGCAACATTGTTGGCTTCTTTGAGTTGCCTTGATGCTGAGGCGACAGCCGGACTGTACCTGCAAGACTGGCGGCGTCTGCGAGTTTTAATAATAATTATACTTACACCCAGCCCTCTATTGAATACCCAGATATTAGTAATATGCTTTAAAATATAGGCGAAAAAGCTTGCCGACGCGGAGCTCGTGCTCCATTCCCATGCTTGTGCCGGCATGGCAGCTGTACGAATGTCCCATCACCCGCGACACAGAGTTGTTGAGCTCTTTTTGCCCCGAATACATGATATTTCAGTTGTCCTCTTTTGACCAATAAAAACCTACTCTCCATGCTGTGCGACCAAACTCACAGGGCTCGGCAGCGTCCAAGTCCGCGGAGTGGTGGCTCACTCAGTCGGCCGACCAAGACCGGGGACTATTCCCGGTCCCTTAACTCCATGCTCGGCCACTCTCTGCCGTAGTGCGTATTAATTAGCCTATTAAATGATTTTTTATTTTTGCCCTCTTTGTCATGTAGGTATACAAAAGTGTCCAACTCCCCACCCGATCTCTGTCCTTGACGTTGCATCTCAGTCTTATTATGCAACACTCTCTAGAGAAATTCACAAATTCACTCTCCAATCCACTCTTGTCCTGTATATGAGTCTCGTTCGCTAGCATTGACCACATGTCTTCCATGTCCTGGTCTTTCTTCACAGCACCTCGTGTCTAAGACGTTTTCGCACCCCCCTCCCCCGACTCCACGCCAAACCACAACCATGGCGGCCGTCCGTCCAGAAACGGCAGACCTCGCGTCGCCGAGTAGACACGACGCAAGCTACGACCCAGAGCATCACGAGCGTCCTGGCACACTCTCGAGCTGTAGCGACGATGAGCACGACCGCGACCGCGACGCGGCCTCGTCCAGAAAGGTCGGCCGGTCGCTGTCGCGCGCCGCCTCGGCCGTGTCCCGCACGTCGGGCCTCTCCCGCACCGTCTCCGAGGTCCGCGACGGCATGCTCAACCTGCGCGACCTCGAGATTGGCGAGGACAGCAATGGCGGGCCTGGCAGCAAGGAGCGGGACCCGAACCTCGTGACGTGGGACGGGCCCGACGACAAGGAGAATCCCAAAAACTGGTCTCTGAATAAGAAGTGGCTAGACGTCCTTCTCGGTGCGTTGATTCCCTTTCCGTGTAAAGGACCAGCCGCAGCCAGTACATCGCGCTGGGCTCCTCTTACAGCGGCCCAGACTCAACGCGTGGCAACACAGAAGCTAACCAACAGACAGTGTCGCTCTTCACCTTCATCTCCCCCATTTCCTCCTCCATGGTGGCGCCCGGGCTGCCCGCCATCGGCGCCGAGCTGCACATCCCCGGCCGCACCGAGCAGGTGCTCGTCATGTCCATCTTCGTGGCCGCCTACGCCGTCGGTCCGCTCTTCTGGGGCCCGCTGTCGGAGCTGTACGGGCGCGTGCTCGTGCTGCAGACGTCCAACGTCTGGTTCTTCTGCTTCAACCTCGGCTGCGCCCTCGCGCGCACCGAGGGGCAGATGATTGCCTTTCGCTTTCTCGCCGGCCTCGGCGGCTCCGCGCCGCTGGCCATTGGCGGCGGCATCCTCGGCGACCTCTTCTCCGCCGAGCAGCGCGGCAAGGCCATGAGCGTGTACTCGCTCATGCCGCTGCTCGGGCCCGCCATCGGGCCCGTCGCCGGCGGCTGGATCGCCCAGCTGACGTCCTGGCGCTGGGTCTTTTGGAGCACCACCATTGCCTGCGGCGTCATCCAGGCCCTCGGCCTCGTCTTCGTGCGCGAGACGTACGCGCCCGTCATCCTGCACCGCAAGCGCGTCCGCCTCGTCCGTGAGACGGGCAACGCTGACCTGCGCACCGAGTTTGACCACCCGGACCGCACGCTGGCGCAGACACTCGGAACCGCGTTCACGCGGCCGTTTCGACTGCTCGGCACCCAGCTCATCGTGCAACTCCTCGCCCTCTACATGACATATCTCTACGGCACCATCTACATCCTCTTCTCCAGCTTCCCGACCCTCTTCGCCGAGGAGTACCACGAGCGCCCGGGCATCCAAGGGCTCAACTACATCTCCATCGGTCTCGGCTTCTTCATCGGCACACAGGTCTGCGCCCCGTTGCAGGACCGCGTTTACGCCTACATGAAGCGCCGGTACGTGCCCGACGGCGGGCCCGGCCGCCCCGAGTTCCGCGTCCCGCTCATGGTCCCTGGCGCTATCCTCGTCCCCGTCGGCCTCTTCATCTACGGCTGGACCGCCGAGTACCGCACCCACTGGATCGGCCCCAACATTGGCGCCCTCATCTTCGCCCTCGGCAGCATCATTGGTTTCCAGTGCGTCCAAGGCTACCTCGTCGACACATACACCCGCTTCGCGGCCAGCGCCGTCGGCGCGGCCACGGTCATGCGCAGTCTCGCGGGCTTTGGCTTCCCGCTCTTCGCCCCGGAAATGTACAAGGCCCTGGGTTACGGCAAGGGCGGCACCATCTTGGCCGTGGCCGCCATTGTCATTGGTTGGCCGGCACCTGTGCTGTTGTGGTATTTTGGTGCCAAGTGGCGTGCTCAGAGCAAGTTTTCTGCTTAACGCGACGCTTTTTGTTTGCATTCTACCCAGGAGGAGAGAGAGGCAATTATCGTCGGAACTGTGGCGACTGTTGAGTCTTCCTTCAAAACAAGCATATACTCATTAGACGGAGTTTTGTTTTTCATCTGCAGCATACAACATAGATTGGCAGTGGGGGTTTCCCTACAAAAAAAGACTATTGTCTCATACGGCGAATTGCACGTTTATAGTCGAGTTAGCTACTGCAGCTCTCGTATTTAGGAAATTTCATGGAAATTTTCATGGAAAATCATTATGCCTCATCTTTTGAATAATGACCCCTCTTCTTATCCAGGAAGTGCGTGAGGACCATCCACCTACACTCTCACGACGAGTAGTCCATGCGGCCGTCGCCCATGAGCTTCCAAAACTCCTCGACAATCTCCGTCTGGCCGCTCGGCGCGGCGCGGACCGCGAGGTACACGCGGCCGTCGACCTCTGGCGTCCAGTCGCCCGGGTTGCCGCTGACCATGCGGCCGCCGGCCTCGTGGAGGATGCACCAGCCGGCGCAGACGTCCCAGGCCCAGCAGCCGCCCTCCCAGTAGAGGTCAAGCTCACCGGCGGCGACGGCGGCCAGGTTGAGAGCGGCGGAGCCCAGCGACCGCATCGACTGCACCATGGCGCCGCCCGTGTCCTTGGAGGCGCCCAGTCGGCGAAAGGTCTCGACCTTGACGTCAAAGTTGGGCCCGTCGCGCACCGAGCCCCATTCCACGCCGACGAGCGCCTCGCCGAGCGTCGTCAGCGGCCGCAGCGTCGCGGCGAGCGGGAGGCGCCGCGGGCTCGTGTCCTTCCCGCGCGTCATGAAGGCTCCCTGGCCCTTGACGGCCGTGAAGAGTAGGTCCTGCCACGGGTTGTAGATGACGCCGACGGCGGGTGTGCGGTCAATGGCGAGGCCCAGCGAGATGCAGGCGTTGGGGAATCCATGAACAAAGTTGGTGGTGCCTTTTGCTCCAGAGAGAGAGACAAGGGGTCAGACTGTGAATATTCGGACTCATTTTCGTCTGAGTGTTACGACTGGGAAAGAATGCTCAACAACTCACCGTCGATGGGGTCCACGACAAAGGTGGGCTCCGGACCGAGCTTCATGCCCGGCTTGTACGTCTCCTCGCCCATAAACGCCACCGAGGGAAACGCGGTCGACAGCTTCCCGGCGACCATCTTCTCGATGGCTTGGTCGGCCTCGGTGACAATGTCGACGGCGTTGAGCTTGGTGCCTGAGGGAATATCGGCCGGGTTGGCGGCGAGCATCAAGCGGCCCGCCTCGTGGGCGATGGCGATCATGGTGTCGCGGACCTGCTCGAGATTGAGGTCCGACATTGCTATTTATTTTTGGGGGGTTTTTTTCTTCCCGCTGTGAGTTGGCTCTGTATTATCTTGAAAAGGGACACTGTCCGAGGAGTGAGGATGAACACTAACTAATAACAAGCCAGTTATAATTTAGTTAGCGAGATGGGATGTCATTAAGATGGGGCCATGTCTCCCCCACTACAATGACAATGGGCGATGATGCCCTCGGGTAGCTCTGCAAGACTTGGCCATGATACTATACTACATAGGGTTGTTTCTTTACTACTACGGCTATATCCATGTATTTCATTCCCGTGACTCCCGTCTTGTTTTCCCGCGACGCTGTAATGGGGTTACAGCAAGTCTCCGAGCAAAACAAAGGTACAAATCGCCTTCACCAACTCATATACGTGCCACGTCACAATTGGGTCCATGAAAATGAAAAGAGAGGAATCAACCAGCCGTTCATTCGTAGGAGTTTCCATTCCATTCAATACTATCCCCCAAATCGACACAGTCCCGCCCGCAACGTCTTGCTAAAAGGTTCCCAGATCCAAGGGCAAATAGAAACAAACGCAGCCAAGCAAAAAAAAAAAACGCGAAAGCATCATCAAAATGTACATGTCTGGTTAAGCCCGCTTTTCGTCCCACTCAAGCTTTCCAAAGCAGAGCGCACCACACTAAAGTTATAAAGTTATACATTCTCCTTGAACACCGAGTGACGTGAGGGGCTGCCGCTCTTCTGTCCGTTGTCGATTGGCCGGGGGCTGACGCCGCGTAGGCTGTCAGCGTGGTCGTCGTCAAAGGGGTTGTTGCCGTGGGGGCCGCGGCCGGGGCTTCGCGAGGGCTGGCGACCCCTCTCGAGGTCAATCTCATCCTCGTCGCGCTCACGGCCAGGCGTGGCGGCCAGGTTCATGTTGTAGCTGCTGCCGCCGCCGTGGTACTCGGTGCTGGTACGGCCAGCCCCGCCAGCCCCGCGTGCCGTCAGCTCCTCCTCAAAGTAGCCGTATGTATCGGCCTCTGTGCCGACGCGCGTGTCCCAGGCCTCGTCGGGGTCCAGGGCGCGGTGGGCGCCTCGCGCGGCGCCGCGGTTGGAGGGCTCGTACGCGCCGGCGGCGGACCGGTTGTTGCGATTCTTAAACTTGCGGACCTGGTCGCTGAACCAGCCCTTGACACCACCGGGCGCGGGCTGAGGTGGCCCGTAGGGCGTGTCTCGTTTCTTCCAGGGGAGGTATGACGAGATGCTCGGCGTAGGGAGCTGGGAAGAGGGGCGCGTTAGCCATCATGGGAAGACAAAAGGTCAAGGCGCTCGTGCGACGGGTATGTATCCTCCGAGAGAAGCCCGGCAGAGGTACAGGTGCCGCTTTGCTACAAAATAAAAGACAGTAGTGACACTTACGCCGAGTCTGCGTGCGCGGTACTGCGTGAAAACAATCCATCCCACTACCGCCACCAGGGCGACCACGACAATGGCAATGATGATGCCACCTGCCACCGACACCATTGTTGCCGGAAATGGCGGGTGAATGTGTCAACAAGGTTATTTCCTTTGTCGGTCGATGCTTGATATTTGGAAGAACCGCGGGATGAATGACGATGAGGCGTTTTCGATAGCGATGGACGTCGCGCGAATGCCAAACTACCTAGGTAGCTCTTAGTTGCCCAGTGGGCGGGCACAAAGATGCTGATGCTGTCGCCGTCCGCGTGTCACAGTGATTCTCTGCACGAAATGGCGCGGTAGTGGCTGCGCCGGTCAAGCCTTGTTGGTATCGTCTTTTGCGCGTAAAGATGCAAACTCTGTGTGCGTTTCCGTTGATGTTTCGTTTAAAAGTGGCCGGGGGATGAGGCAGGTGAAGGAGCTGGTGGGTGGCGTGGCCGCGACTCAATAAAAGTGTACGGATTAATACGGAGTAGTACCTTCCTTGCTTATTTTGTTGCCTTGCTTGTGGGCTGACGTAGGTCGCCAACTTGTACCTGGTACTTGCCTTGATGCTGCGGGCGCCTCTGATTTGCGCCTACATGTAGTTACTCTCGCTCATACTACCGAGGTGTGTCTTCCCATCCACCTAGACTACGACCAACAAACATATACTTTTCTCTACCGAGCAGCCAGGCGGAATAATATCCGATTGTCAAATGGCAACAACGACTTGACCGCCGTGTCATTGCCAGGAGCTAGCTTGGGAGCCTCTTTTTACAGCGGAGCCCGCTAAAAGTCTCCAGCGACAGCCTTGTCAGGCGCGCCCATTAATCATTAATTCATTATTTATTAGTACCCCTACAGCGCGGTCACAAAAGTCTGTAGGTACCCAGGTACCTCCTTGGTGACATTCTATATTCTTCAGGACCAGGTGCAAAGAGGCCACCTTACGCAGCGTTTCAGGCTCCAGCATAACCACAAAGAAACATCGCTCCATCTAATAACTGCCGACAGGGAGAGGCTGTGATGCAATGTTCTATTGATTGGTGCCTAAACTAATAATAACCCTTCTAGTTTAATAATAAAAATAAAAATAATCCGCCTTCCAAGCTAATGCATTCCTTACGTATCTTCATTGTGGCTCAGGCTCACTCATCATCAACAACGACTCCATTCACCGCCGCTCGTGGCAAACGACATGGACTTGACAAACTTGTCCACGGTGCAGCGCCCCAGCTTATCCGCGTCGCATCCGTGTAGCGGTACCACGCGGTCGTTGAGGAGGATGCGTACCAGCTCCTCGTCGCTACCGCCGCATTGCATCTTCTCCACGTACATGCGCGCCCCAAAAGGCACGGCGCGCGAGGCCGAGTACCCGCCCAGCTGCTCCGGCGACTCGCGCTTCGTCGTCGACAGCTTCTCTGTGCCCTCGAACAGACGCAGCGCCGTAAACACCGTCATCATGCCGTTGTCGTGGCTAAAGTCAGCGTACAGTTTGCGGTCCAGCGGAAACGTCTCCGGTGACGCGTCTAGCGTCGAGTTGGTCGACGTATGGTCCTCCACCGGCTTGCCCGTGAGCCGCGCGACGAGCTCATTGACGAAGCCGACGCCCTGGGACGAGGCGAGGTCACGGCCGGGTCCGTACACGTACCACTTCTCCAGCGACTGGTAGTAATCGTAGTTTTGCCACTCATCCTCGGAAAAGGCGCGGCAAAACGGAGACAGTGCCAGCTCGGGTGAAGCGACCGTCTCAAAGGGGCAGAGTTCCATAAAGTAGACGGTACTGTCAGTGTCAAATTTGGCTCCGGGAAGCATCTTGCTCAGTCTCTTCTGCACTGGAGGCACCCAGATATCCTTCCACTCCTTCTGCTTCGCGCTGCCCTCCTTTTTGCCAGGGCCGTCTTCGAACAACTTGCAGTTGCCGTGCTCCAGAGTGTTGTTGTATCCCTCTTCCTCGGGGATAACAAGGACGCGCGAGGCGAAGTCGTCGCCGTCACGGCCTTGGGCTCCATAGTAGCCGTGCGTAAAGTTTTGCGCCGACATGATGACGCGCCCAGACCCTGAGGCTCTGACAAACGGCTCCGTCTCCGAGGCCAAGTCCTTGTAGCGGTTGTAGAAGAGCTTGCCCGATTCGACCATTTCAGCCTCACCATACAGGGACAGATCATCCGGAATAAGGTTGTACTTGTAATCTTTCAAGAACTCGAATCCTTGCGTGTATTTGGTGATGGAGTCCTGCAACTCCTTGACGACGGCTGCATACTTGACCCCTTTATCAGCAGACGGTCCGCGGGAACCGTGTCGCGACAAGATTTGAGCAAATGTCACTTTGCATTCGGACGGGGTTGCGGGATCGACCTCGGACGGCGCAGGGGCCCAGGGTGAATATTGTCCCCAGGTGCCGAGCGAACCTGAGCAGGTCGCCTTCTTGGTGCAGCATGTAGAAGCATGGCCCCTGTTCGAATGACCTCATTAGCACGGGTTCGAGGTATTCGCAAGGCGATTGAAAGGGTTCTTGGGGTGCGATGAAGAGCACGAGAATGAAGGACATACCCTACGGCAAGGAAGAGAGCCGCGGCGATCAAAGTTGAGCCCATTGCGAACTTGACGAGTGTCTTTGGCCGTCTGTTTGCTACAGAGTCGCCAGGCGCGTTGTTCGGCACATCACCCGGCTCGTCGCCGTGGACGGCCGAGTACTTGTAGTTCCTGTCGCGCTTACTATCCATAATGTGCGTCGAAAAGTGCCGAGAACCAACAGCCAGCACCGGTTTCCACACGTGCGTTGTGATAGAGCCCGGGTTGGAGGCTTTTGTGGGTGCTATGCAAGCAGCAGACGCAAGCACTTGCAGAGGTTCGGTCGCTGAGAAGAGGAAAGCACGGCAATAAGCAGACGATTAGAAAAGGGTCGGGAGATTGGTTGTGGGCGCTCTTGTCGTAACTAGTTTCGTCACTCGACAAAATAATGAGTGAAGAAGGATAGTTGGGAAACAATGGTGTATATGGTGAAAAAAGCAACGAGGTACCTAATTATTAAGGCAGTTGGGAAAATCATGGCGCTGATGGAACTCGGGTTTCAAAGGCGTGGATGCCGCCATGACTTGGCTCCAGTAAACCAGCTCACCAGCTGTCCAGCTCTTGTCGAGGCTGGCAACTTGGTCCGATGCTACCTCTCTTTCCTCTTGGCCTGCATCCAACATCAATGCTTGTCCTTTCACATCTGGCCCACGTTGTGACAGCTCGTGCATCGACTGGTTGAGTGGTTCTCAGCTCATTATCGGTCAGGCTTTCAATGGATGCCCCCCGTTCTACTCGCTAAGAAACAGCGCTGTATTCAACGCTACAGTAAGACTAACTACACTACCTAACATTGTCCAACCAGTCCTGGTTACCTGTTCAAGTACAAGATCGCCAATTAGCAGCAACATTGCCAGAAAACTGTTGCTATTTCGGCTCGAATATTGCATATTGCAATACATACATAGTATACCCTCCTGGCGCATTGCCCGAATGCGCTCATCCTCCCCTGACACAAAACAATATCTCCATTCTATCCCGCCCAGCCATTACCAAAAGTGTATGGGGTATAATCTCGCAGTTTTTCGGTTCTCTTCAAACGTATCTCTATGTCGTCGTCAAACCCTGATACTTAGAGGGCGACGCCAACGCTCATCGACAGCCCCTTTGCGTCTTGCCCAAACGTCGCGCAACGCTCAACGGGTAACTCGCGAGGGGTTGTTGGCAAATAAGAGGAGTGAACGCTTTGTGCCTCGCTATTGCCCCCGTCACGGCTACTTGAAAGTGAGTGCAGGGACTCGTAGCTAATGTGGGCTCCGTTGACAGGTACACACTGATATAACTCATTCGTCTGCTTGATGGGCCGCGGATTGTTCCCAACACTATCCAAACTGATCTTTCGTGGTGGTATTGGGAACACGAAGCCGGATAACCCCTCGGAAAATGGCTTCTTCTTTCGCAAGGGCGGCCGTAGAACCAGCGGCAGTGGCGCCATGGCCTTGGCCTTGTCCTTACCCTCAAGTGCTGGTGGCGGCCGTCGTTGATAGCGTCTAGTGCCTTGTGTGAGGCCTGCCTCATCTGTTGTGTATGCTGAAGTGGCAGTCCCTGTAGGCAATCCGTCAGCCTCGCCGTGGAGTCGCTCCGCAAACGACGGGGCTGATGGAGGCAGCGCTGGGATTGATGGCATGGGTTCCAAATCTGTGTAGAGATAAATTAAAAGGTCATTCGGCCGGGGTTTTGCAGTTGTAAATAATTACCGGGTATCAATGTTCGAGCGAGCGAGTCAGACGAATGCGCACTCGACGGCCGGCTTGGAGTATACATGCTCTGCCTCTCCATAACGTCCTCAATTTTCTTCTGCAGCCTTTCTACTTCCTGCATTGCATTGGCTACCTGGTCTCTTATAGCCTCAACATCGGGTGAAGTATGTGATCTTAACCGCGCTGCCTGCCTCGAGGTCGTAGTTGTGCAGGTCAGCGACTTTGGGCTGGAGTTCCCATCGCTCACATCAGGCGAATGTGACGAGACGCGGAACAACAACGGCATGCTTCTCTGGGAATGTAGCACTGCGATGCGCTGCGACTCTTCTCTTGCATATGCTGGTGGAGGTGAGGGTCCAATGAATGGAAGCTCGAGCTGAGGCAGGAGAGGGCTCTGCCTTGTGTATATGCTGAGCTCAAGCGGCTCAAAAGGGGGGACACTCTCACGTCGATAATCCGACTCCCAATCCTGCTCCGACGCCGATGGATGAGGAAACTGTAGAAACTCTTGCGCCTGCGGTGCGCGGCGTGTCTCGATAGGATTCATGCTCAGAGGCATAGCCGGGAAGGCGTGTCGAGACCCAGATGTCAAATGTCGAAAATCGGTCGGGGCAGATATCAACATTTTTTGCGACGAGGCATCGGACTGATTGCGCTGTCGCCCCAAGCCCCCGAGTTTCGACCATTGGCCCTTCGAAGTCGATGCCGTTCTAGAATGCCTGGACGACGATTCTGTCGACGACCGGCCAAAGAAAAGGCGGGCTGGGGGCTCTGGCTGGTCGGCAATGACAGCTGTAGACATTTTTTTCTCGACTTGAAAAGGACGTATTAATACAACGCTATGAAAGTAATAAGAATGGCGAGGCGTTCAATAAAGAATTGAACAGAATGGGGCGGGTTGTGGTATAAAACGGTCGGCAAACTCACCTTGATTCTGGGGTTGATTGTGGAATGTAAGTGGGATGCAACACCATGACAACCACGACGGCGATGCTGTGACATGGGCAGCGGGCGATTCCCTCATGCTACAATCAGGTCTCCTAACGTCATACTTTTCTCCCAAAGAAGCCGAGTTGCAATGGCGAGAGGATTAGGCCAAAGTATATACTGTTGATCCCTGCAGAGACGTTTTGTGATGGAGGTCACTGTGGGTGATTGAGGATGAAGGGGCTACGGCAATCTGGCGACGGCGCCATAATGAGGAACCAGCGATCGGGTCTCTTGGAGTGAAAAGCGAATGACCCAGTAAGAAAAAATACAACGGAAAAATAAACCTCGTCATTTGAGTCTAATGACGGATCCATCTTGGTTGTCGTCTGTAACGAAGACGGGCACCACCATTGGTGGCGACTGACTAGAGACATGACAGAGAACCTTGAAAGGGACAGCGTTGATAGGTTGTCGAGGACGATGCGGCGAACCAGTCGGACAGCTGGATAGGGTATCCGGCAGCAATTGGTGCCCAGCGGTAACAAGTCGCTAGAGGCTGGCTTGGCTGGGCTCCGGGCTGGGTCGACGACGGCGCGCGCCACACCCCAATCACTCCAATGTCGCGACCCACTGCTTCTGGTCAGACGGTCATTGTTGCAGAGCGAATCGATGACTTGCATCCCGCCTCGTCCGGACGCTGCGACCCAACGGGTCCATTCGTCGACACCGTCGCGGGCCAGGGTGGTCGCGTGGCCAAGGGTGCGCAACCTGTCATGCAGCATCCAGCCATCAACGCGGTTTGCAGAAGATAAACTTTGGCTCGTCTTGCCGTTGCCGTTTCGAGTCAGCGACGGAGCGATTGTGTTTGGCTTTCGGCTTTTTACCCACGACATATTTTCTCACTCGCATCGGGCTTGCGTGAACATGGGTCTTGGCAGCGCCGAAGTATAATTTTTTTGGGGCCCCTTGGCCGTTCATGTGTAATGTGTAGGTATATGCAAGTGTTGTCTGTCATGGTACGAACCGCGCTCGTACCCAGGTCGAACAAGATGTATTCGGGGCTGCCGCCAACGTTAGCACGGTGAATACGACCAGCGATGATGCAACAGAGCAAAAAAGTGGCGCGGATTGTTCCCGTGAGCCCCGCGGATGGCATTTCTCTCTTAGTTACTGCAACCCCGTTGGAGAGGGTGTCGTGATGATTCATCGCGTTTGCCGGGAGATTCTGGGGGATACCACGTTGTAGAACATGTCTCGGGTCAGAAGATAGATTCACACAAGTCACTCTGCAGCGACAGGGGGGCTCTTCTTTAGCCTGCAAGCATGTGAAAGGCTGTCCACCAACGGGCGACGACAATAGGGTCCAAGCCTCGCTGCTTGTCTCAGTTTACGGAGAGAATAGAGAATGTGTGGTGGATGTGAGGGCGAAAAACGGCGAGGGGCAGACCTACAGGATGGTGGGCAGCCAAGCACCCTCTATTACAAGGTACCTACCAACCTACCTACTTAGGTACCTATGTATGTAGGTAGTTACAAGTGCCAGCAAACACCTGCCGGTAAATTGATTTTTAAAAGGGCTGCATCACGGGGTTAAAAAGATGCTTGCAAGGTTGGGTCATGAATCCTGCTAGATTTCTTTCAGGGGCAAACTATTAATAACTTTAAGCTGTCCGTCCAAAGGCATCTCCGAATTCTCATGCTCACAGCGCAACCATCTAGACCAATGATTGGCCGCCTAGCCATAGAATGTCTTTCTTTCTTCTTGCAAACTATTGTTAAATTTGACACATTTACTTAGAATATTCACTTGCTAACACGACGCATCACAGAATTGGAACGGTTCAGAGATGTAGTTAATTGGTGGTCGCTACGAATGCTTAGCTCGGCTCAATCCCCGTGTTAATTAATACGTGTTACTTACTGCCAGGCTTCATTCCTTGTCGCAGCTTATTGCTTCGTCGCCATGATTAAAAGTTCATGTAATTTTTCTCTTCTAATACCACTTCGTAATATAGTCAAAATGGCATTGTCTAGTACTGTAGTACAACCGAGACACCAATCATGTAAGTGCTCTTCCATCAGAGGCGAGATCTTCGCTCTTCGGCCCCTATCGGTTTCTTCTGTTCTTTTCCCCGATATTCTGCATTCAATCGTCGCCAGAGCCTCTTCCGACGTTCGTGACCCTCTAAAAACGCGCGGAACCACTCCCGTCTAAACGGCGGCAACACCCTTCCTACACCTTCGCCAGCACCTGCGAGTTCTCTTAGATTCTCGAAATAGTCCTCAAAGTCGGGAAACACAAGCGCAAACTTGGGCCCATCTCCTCGGGCCTTGATTCTATCCGCCTCCCACCGGCGCATTTCCTCCAGAGGCGGAAGTGTGGCTCGGCCAGCCAAAAGACGAGCCGCAAACACGGCTTGCCACTCAAAGACTTTGAACGTCAAGCCAGCATTCACAGCGCCAACGAATAGTAGCGTAGGGTCCCCTTGCCAGACCACGTGTTGGTAGAGATCCGGCACTCGATTGTTGCGGATTGGCACTCCTGGCAGGAAAGGCAGTGTCCAGCTGTAGCCAGTTCCAAAGATGATGTGGTCGACGTCGGAGACTGAATTGCCATCGATGAAATGGACATTCCGACCCTCAACACGGTCAATTGACGGGTGATTCTCAATTAGAGGATGATTGAAAGCTTCGTCTCCAAAATATCCGTTGAGAGCGTGTCCAATGGTGACGGCGTGAACAGGACCCTCGGCGACTTGGGCAAGATCAAAGGCCAGGTCACCCGCCGAAACTGATGCTCCCACTACCACAACCCGTTTTCCTTTGTACGAATGATTGCCTCGAAAGTGCTTACTGTGTACAACACTCCCTGGGCGCAATTTTTGAAGCTGTTCCAACCCCGGAATGGCGGGGATATAAGGAACAGAGTAATGTCCTGTAGCGACAACTACAGCATCAAAATGTTCGGTCCACCAATAGTCTCGAATTATGCCGTCTTTGCGAAGAACAAGCCTCCATTCTCCGTTGATCTTCTCCGCCCGTTCGACCGTTGTGCTGTACGAGACATAGTCCTGATAACCGTTCCTTTCCACCAGACTTGTAATGTAGTCACGCATCACGCGCCAGTGTCTGAACGGTGTGTCCTTTCCATGAAGCGCGATTGACCGTTCACTTTGCTCCAGCGGTATGGGCTCCTGGCTGAATTCCATTGGAAGCGAATCAATATTGGTCTCGAGGCATGGGTACACTGACGACTCGGTGAACCGCGGCTGGTTAGACTTGGAAGTCAATGCCGGTAGCTGCGCCGGTACGGGTAGTGGTATGTCGGCAGTGCGTCTCGCGAGGGCATCGAGGTTCGTCTCTGCGGGTGGCGGGGAAGTGTCGCCTATCCTTGGGTGGCACGGTAAGCTTTTGTGCTCTCACGGGTGTGAGAGTGCATACACACCAGCATCCTCCCGGACCTTCGCGACGTTCGAATACCCTTATAATGTCAAACGTTTTTTCGCGAGCCAGAGCATCTATTGTGATGGCCCCAGCAGGACCGACACCAATCACGGCCACGCGCTTGATCGTAGTTCGAGACATGGCTACATCATAGGACAGGAATTGTGGAAGAGCGGACAAGTGCCGAGGACGCAGACCTATATAGCGATGAAGAGCGGAGTATTAATTTCAACAATCTCTTGCCAAGTGCATTATTCTGTCGACTGGTTTTTGTATGGCGGTGCAAGCGCACGTCACCCAAATCGTCAATCACGCAATCACCTTGTCTACATTGCCAAGCATAATTCAAGCAACCAGCATAGTATAGATTCAAGTTTGTGGCTGAATTATCTGTTCTACTATTGCAAATTGCCGTTTTTCTTTCTTTTTGAACTAGTTATTTCACAAGACGCTCTTGGTGTACCACTTGCACGTCAAGCGAGTCGTCGATCACGCAATCACTTTATCTACGCTGCCGATTTCGAAGCAATGAAGCCAGTAGTCGGTATAATCTTGTATATAATAAAAATGAATTCCTTAGTTTAAGCTTAGCGATAACAAAGGATAACCTTGATAACCTTAAAACTCGCCACACCGTAATTCTCGACCCTGCTTGGCCGCAAAGGTTCTTGAAGGCTCCGCAGGGTTCATGAAACCTCACACACCACTTTAAATTGAGTCGCAGACGAAGAATATATTCTTGATATCTCATCAACTACCATGGATAGCGAAAAACACATTACCAGCGCTTCGCAGAGTGACTCGTCTGGACTCTGGGAGACACCAAAGTCGCCAGACGAGCAGTACCGCGCCGACAGTCCTTCTCCATCCATTGAACATGACTTTAAACTGGAAAAAACAGCACGTCGCAAGTAACTACCCCCTTGAAATCCGAAGACTTTACTCGCAGCTACTAAATATTGCGCAGGGTCGACTTCTCTGTCTTGCTGATTCTCTTCCTCGGGCTTCTGCTCTTCCAGCTGGATCGCATGAATCTTGCCAGTGCACTGACAGGCGGCTTTGCAAAAGACATCTCAATAGATCAGAGCACCGTCAATCTCGGCAACCAATTGATGTTTATGGGCACTGTGGTGCTTGAGATTCCGTGCAACATGATTCTCCAACGAGTAAGGCACAGCCAAAGCCTCAAATTTCTGGTTAAAAATTAACGTGTCATCTGAAGCTGGGTCCTAGAAAGTGGATTGCCGCCCAAGTCTTTGCATTCGGTCTCACGGCAACAATGCAGGTTTTTGTGAAGAACCGGGCCGGCTTCCTAGCTGTTCGTTTGTTCCTTGGCTTCGCAGAGGCCGGTTACATTCCCGGTGCTATATATACCCTTTCTACATGGTATACCCCGAGTGAGCTGGCCAAGAAGGTTGCCATTTTCTTTTTCGGCATGTTTGGCGGTAATGCCGTTAGTCCGCTCCTTGCATCTGGTATACTCCGGTTAGATGGCGTGCGAGGCCTTCGCGGGTGGCAGTGGCTATTTCTACGTAAAACATATTATCCTCTTTGTTGTGTGCTCCGGCTGACACTTTGCATAGTTGAGGGGCTATTTACGATTTTGGTCTCGTTCATCATTGTTCTGTGCCTGCCGCACAGCGTTGACGAATCATCACCGCTCGTGGGACCGGGTATCATTCAACTTTCTGGAGCCGAAAAGGACTTATTGAAGAGCCGGCTGGTCGCAGAAAAGGGGTCTCAGGAAGACGACGAGGAGAAGATGGACTGGCGACTTATCTGGAGCGTTATTTCACATTATCGCCGCTGGCCAACATACGTATCGGCCTTTTGCGTCTTTTCCACGTGGTCCCCACTGACAACTTACACGCCATCCATCATCATGTAAGTTGAAGGCAGAAAATGCACTGCAATGGACTGTTATTCGCTGACAACTGCCTTGTCGTGTAGGGCTCTCGGGTTTGGGCGCGTAGAAGCTAATGCTCTCGCGGCCGTCGGCGCGTTCCTAGCCATTGCAGTGGTGTTCTTCTTCGCGTTCATCAGCGATAGGACCAATCTCCGCGGCGGCACAGTCATTTCCGCGCAGGTTTGCTACCTTGTTTGCGTTGTCGTGGCCCGGCAGGTACATCCAGTGGTAGGCCGGTGGTCGCGTTGGGGTTTGTGGACGGCGGTCAATGGCTTTGCAGTTGGCTACCACCCGGTATCGAATACTTGGCTGCAGCTGAATTGCCGCGACAGGCGAGAGCGTAGTATTGCCATTGCGTAAGTGCTGCTGACGAGAAGAAGAAACGACGTTATCTTGCTTTTGGGATAGATACTAACGTTGGCACGCCATCTCCTGCAGCATGTGGGTAATGTCATCCATTAGTGGTTTGATGGTTGGAACACAGTACTTTCAAGCAGGAGACTCTCCGTTGTAAGTTGTTCACTCATTTGTCAGGATTCTAGCCATCTCATGTAGCTGACGCGTTTGTTACAGTTACCAAACGGGTCTACGGACCATCATCACCATGATTGCTATTGGTATCATTTTCGCAGCTTTTCAGATTGGCGTTTACGTAGTACACAATCGCCGAGTGGCGAGTAAAGGGGATGGGGCTTCTATGAGAGGAAAAGCAATTATCTATACACCGTAGAAGTATAACTAGGTTCTGTAAGTTGGAGTAGAGAGTTGCCAGAATGATCACAGGACTCTCGAATTTGCTGCATCTCCGTTTTATGAATACGTTGTACCAAACTCTTTTCGCAAATCGTCCTGGTTCGGAATTACTGCTCCTGAGTGAGCTAGATGTTGCAATAATTGCAATCTACAACTTTTGGCCTATTACGGATAGAGGTAAGGATACAACTTGGAATTAGGCAGTGCCGGCTGTACGAAGCGCTTGTGTAGGGTAGGTAAATAGGTACATGAGGTTATGAGCCAGCGACAATACACTGCTGTCATACCCAGTACTTGACTTGGAGGGGCAAAATGGACGGGTTTATAGGGCTCTCAATAAGAATAAATCAAAGAAAAAAATCAGTTACAATCTCTTTTTGCCCATTAATTTATTCTACACCCTTCTTTTCCTCCTTTCTTATTTATACCATAATCAATGAGCTGAGGTACTTCCATGGGCAGCCTGGCAACCTCAGGGCCTAGCATTTCGCCTTGGCCCATCCTGGCAGGTGGGACGGCGGTGGCTTGGGGCAGTATCTCAAAATTCTGGGATGCTTCCAAACTTTTGGCCATGATCCATCTCCAAGTCTGGCGGCGACCTCACGCACGACACTTCATGCCCCGCTACAATGGGTAAACGGGCTTCAGGGACCAGTGAAGGCGCTGCCGCTTATAATAAGCGCCAAAAGACATATCATGATGTCCCAACCGGCGAGGATGTCTACGACAGCGACCAGCTGAGAAGACTGCTTTCCTTTGACCAGAACATGCGAACTGCACGACATGGTATGCTCGCCTCCCCGGCTACACCCGCCCAGCAGGGCTTTTTTGTTCTAACCATTATTCTTAGGCCTTCAGTCTTTCAAGAAGCTCCTCGACGAAACCAATTCTACAGAAGCCGATAGCCAAGGCAAAATTGCCATCATCCGTGGCTATCTGAAGTCTGTCCAACCGCGGGAGACTGGCGAGGATGCAGTCTTCCTCAACGATGTCATGGAGATGTGGTCCTTTGCCTCCCAAGTCAACGATGATGGCGTCATGTCAGCCGTCGCCGTTGTCTTGGCCCTACTGCTCCATTTCATTTCCAACAACCTCGACTTGGTGCCCTTTGGTCTCGGCATTTGCCAAACCCTTTTGCAGGAGCGCCAGCTGAAATCGGTGTCGCGTAACCTCTCTGCAGAGAAAGGAAAGGGCTTCATCATTTCCCCGACTCTCCGACTACTACGCGAAGCCGTTTGCCTCGATGGTGGTGCTTTTGCCAAGCGCATTTTTCGCGCCCGAGCATCCACATTCGCATCCCTCGGCCGAAATCTCGAGATAACACACTTTGGCGATGGCCCAGAAGATGTCCGCAAAGCTTCTGTTCGTACCAATTCTGTCCGTTTCTTCTTGGTCTGCCTGAAATTTCTCAACGCAGATGGGAGAAAAGAGCTTCTCGCCCAAAAGGATCTCTTGTCGCATGTCACTTTCATGATGAAGAACGACCCTCCATATCTGGTCTCAGAAATCATATCATCGCTCAAGACCTCCGTTCTCATGGAACAAAAGATTCCGCGCGATACAAAGTTCAGAAGCTTCAACACAAAAACTCTGATGCGCTTCCTCGGACTATATACGTATACCAACGCCTCCGCTCCCCAAGAGGAGGTCGACGAAGTCATTGAGAAGGCCCACCAATTTCTCGTATACGCATGTACAAATTCCGCAGCCGGTGTGCTCTATCCATCCAAGGGTCTATATCCAAAGCAATCGGAGGAGGAGAAATCAATGTCGCGACACGCCAGTCTAGCAAAGTCCGATGGTAATCTCTGGGCTGACAAGTTCCGCGATGGCGTCCCCGTCTTCAACTTTGTTCTTTCCGAGTTCGCCAGCAAACTTCGCCCCTGGTCGAATATCAGGCACAATGAGCTCCTCGTCGCTATATTCCAGGCAGCCCCAGAGCTTATTGCCGACTACTTCTTCAACAACCAATCGTTTACTTTTGAGCCAAAACTGTCAATGACGTGGATTGGCTATGCCGCATTTCTCTTCAACACCATGACTATACCCCTACCTCCAGCCTTCGGCGATGCTTCTCTATACGCAAATACCCCTCCTCCTACTTCCATTCTCCTTGACAACATTATTCCTCAACCTATCAATCAAAAGGTTCTCATCCGTTGCTTGTCTCCAAAATCCAATCTCACTTCTTTTTTCGCCACGAGAATCCTCGTTCAAGCGCTTGAAAAGCTTGCCACTGCTCTGAAGATGCACGAGGACGGCGGAAGAAAAACGAAGCAAATATGGACAGATGCGTCAAGGAGATTAATAGACTCATTCTGCCGAAGAATACCGGACATGAAAGAGGTGGTACGATGCTACAAGTCTATCCCCGCCGAAAACGTGTTGCATAAAACTCTCGTCAGTCGTTTACTACGACTCTACTACGAAGTGGTGCCGAGGGTGGCACTCGCTGCCAATTTTGATGTCTCTCCATTTTTTGTCGAAGTTCTAAGGAGCATTCAGCATCAGAGTGACGACCCAAGCACTGCCGCATATGCTGTCATGGAACTGAAGAATCTCGTGTCAATCGCGAGCTATTCTCCGGGTATGCGATGGTTTGCCAAGACAGACATCAGTGAAACCGGAAAGGGTTACTCGGCGTTCACATCATTACTACAAGTACTGTGCGAAAGTTATGATACTGCTCCCTTGGCTCAGCTGCAGTCCGTGCTTGCTGATGTAGCAATTGAGAACCAGCTTGTGGCGAAGAACACGAGACTGGCTGCTCTACTGCGTGCCCTGCGATGTGTTGCCTCTGATTCGAAGGCTGCAAATATCCCTTGGGCATACTTGGACAACTGCATCACGAGATGCGCTGGCACACCTATCAAGTACCTGGAGCAGATTGTGACACTGCCTGAAAATGGGCAATTTAGTCTGTTAAATATTGTCTTGCAAGAGCAATTGTCCTTTGCCCTCGACGGAGCTCAACCGTCGACGATAGCCGAGATTGGGAAATTCCTTTCTCTGTACTTTAACGCTTTGAGCCTCACCGAGGAAAGCAAAAGGCATCTCGAACAAAGCTATGCCAAGATTTGCGAGCAAATTTCAGCAACAGAGGCTACCAAGATGGCCAGCCTGGGGGGAAAATCAGAGAAGAAGTCCCTGCAGCGCATCACCATTGAAGAAGAGCCAGAGTCGAGCGACTCGACCCAGGCCAGCGTCCAGCCAGGTGTCATGGTCGATGAAGCTCGATTGGAAGAAATGCTGCATCAGCCTTTTCTCCCCGAAGAAGACAACAGCGCACTCGTCAAATGGCCCGCGAAAAATGTGGAAGATTTGGTGGAAGACGGCCTCGCCGCTGGGCTCGTTAAGCTGCTCGCCTCTCCACACATCCACATCCGCAAAGAGGCGCTCACCAACATCCTCAAGATGGCGGCCAAGGTCGACGCTTCGTCGTATGAGGAGAAGAAGCAGGTCTGGCTGCTTCTCTCGGAGCTCGCCGAGTCGAGCAAACCCCACGTCGACGCTGGGCCTATTCCATCCTCGTTTGTCTCCTTTGCCACACACAGCCTCGAGGTCCTCAAGAACCCTCTGCACCCGCTGTACCCCAAGATCAACGCCTTCCTCACCCGCAGCCCCGTCTGGCCGCGCGAGAAGCTGCCCATGGCGCACGACATCCTCCACGGCGAGCCCGGCGAGGATGACAAGTACTACACGGAGCTGGCCTGGCTGCTGGCGCACCTGCTCGACAGCCTGCGCACGCCCGCGGACCTCGGCGTCTTTCATCGCAAGCGCTGGTTCGAAAAGGTGCTTGCCCTCGCCGCCAACCCGTACCTGCGCGCCAACCTGCGCACCCGCATCCTCCGCATCGTCTACCGCGCCACCTGCATCGACGGCGGCAGCACCACGCTCATCACCCGCTTCGGTGTCGTGAGTTGGCTCGACGGCCAGCGAGCTGCCTGCGCGTTGCCCGACGACGCCGCCGTCTACGCCGCGCTCATGCGCAGGACCTGGGAAACGTGCGACCAGGGCCGTGTGACGGCGTGGAGCAAAGGCGGCATTCAAAAGCTCTTGGGAACGATTTTGGGTTAAATACACGGTGCAGTAAATGGCGTTTTTGGAGGGGTTACAAAAGTGTGGGAATCATCTCTATATAATAGCAGATGAATGGATGGGCATGTATCAGATAGATAGATGCAATGAAGACTTGCACCAAATCGCAGGAGCTTACCACGTAAAACACGTATTAGATATGTAGTTGGTACTATGCTCTAAAGCTCCAAAAAGAATACAATTTCAAAATACAAAAGCCTAGAGGAAATGAAAATGAGACGCGTTTCAAACATTGAAAGATCAAAGAAAATAGATGAGAAAAACTCCTTTTGTTCTCCCAATCACGCGCGCCTTTGTCAGAGACTAGACTAGACCTGTGGCACTACTTTCCCAATGGTAATCCAGAGATTACGCATATATGCATACCACCAAAAATTGCAAGAAACACACCAGATATAAAAAAAAATGGCAGATGATTGTTGAGAGGGGAGGGGGCGTTTCCAATGCCAAGATGCACTCAACGTCCTCCCTTGGTCCACGTAGGAAATTATTTGTATAATAGAAAATGAGCCGCCTCTGCTGTGTATCGACATGCGGCACGTATATAACACGTGGGTATTCCAAATAAGAGTTGTTTTTGTTGTCAGGCCATCATAACAAAAATGAAAAGGGGTATCGTTAGCCTCTTTACAGCTGGCCGGAAAGGAGAGCCTCGGTAGCACTGTTGATGTACTGTCTCTTGGCATCAAGAGGAACATCGAAGCGACGCTCGAGCTCTTGCTTGATGCCCTTCTTTGTGACAGTCATCAGGTCTGCTGTCTTGAGAATTTCGCGAATTTCAGCCAACAGAGCATCGTCGCTGGGTAGACCAACCATGTCGTCTGGAGAGAAGAACTGCGAACCGCCATAGGAGCTCATGCGGTTGCCACCCATCTCAGAGTGAGCCAACGACATGCGAGACATGGTGCGAGGATCATGCGACATTTGGGGTATGGCTGGTACCAGGCCTGTCGTGGAACCAGGGCGGCTAATGTAACCGTACTCGGAAACGTGAGGATGCGCCTTGGTAGCATAGCTGTAGCCAGAGACTTCGGAGCGCGCATCGTCGCGAGAGGTTTGAGTCTCCCAGAGCTCGGCCTGATAGTCCTCCCATCTCTTGCGGGGAATGGAGCTTGGGTCGAACTTGCCCTCGTCGGAAACAACGACCTTCTTGCCCCTCTCGCCAGCCACGACACGAGTGTTGCCCCAGGCAAAGTCATCCATGTTCCAGAAAGCGTACAGGGGAAGGCCAAAGCTAAAGACAGGAATGGCAAGGATATACAGAATCATCCAACCAACCATTTCCCACTTGCGGCGCAGGATGAAAATGACGGCCTGGAGACCATAGATGACACCCAGAAGAATGAATGCGGTCACTGGTACAACACTGGTGTTCTGGATGACCAGGACAATCAGGTAGACAATATAAGCGAGGGTGACGGGTTGGACAATGGTGCTGAGCAAGTCGATAAAGACGACAAAGCGCATACTGAAACAGCAGAAGCCACAGAGTTGGGCCATGGGAATCAGCTCCACGAGATTGTGGACAGTAGAGTTGATCCAACGACGACGCTGCGAGAGGAAGACTTTCCAGGAATCAGGAGCAATAGTCCAAGCATGAGCAGTGAAGATGTACTTTGTCTTGTACTTGTTGTGATACTTGAGGAGCAAGGTCGTGAGATAACGATCCTCACCGAGGTGCAGCAGGTTCTTCATGTGCAGAGTGTCGACACGAATTGTTGAGTAGTCTTCCACAATCTCGCGGCTCACGAAAAGTGGCTTGCCAGTCTCCGCAGCTCGAATTCTGTACATGGAGAAACAACCAGGCAAACAAGTGACGGAACCAAAGAGGGACTCGAATGCCTTGGAAAGATTGTGCGAAATATAGTACTCATAGACCTGAATCATGGTGATGAAGGAGGACTTGGCGTTGGTCAGAGCAGTTTCACCGCAAACCGCAATCAGGCGCGTGTCATCAATGAAGGCAGACACCATACGGCTCGCAGAATCGGGGGCAACGACAGTATCAGCATCAATCTGCAGCATGAACTCGTAAAAGGTGGGGTTGACGCCGATGATGTTGCGAATTTGGTGGTACATTTCAAGTTCCATGGGACTCATAGCAAGGTTGTAGTGGACGCGGTTGAGGAAGCGCATAATAATCATCTGCGAGTCGCGCTTGCCACGGTTACCGGGGCGGCCAACCTCGGAAGGTTTGCCAACCTTGACAACTACCATAAAGGGAACAATGTGACCTTGAACCTCATAGAGACCAGAATAAACTTTGCCCATGTTGTGCTGCTTCAGACCTTCGCCAAGTGACTCGAAGCTCAAAGGCTCAGGATCCACGGTATCAGCGACTCCGAGAATATCGAGGACGATACGAGGCGTAGGGCGATCGTTTCCTTGACCGATAATCATACCGTCACAAATAATGACCAAGAGCTTGCGCTTATCATCATACTTCATTCTTGCAGCAGAGTCGATGGCACGGCGTAGAGAGTCCTCGTCCTCAGTATAGGCAGGAATTTGGCAGATGACGAATTTGTCAAGATTCTCGGGTACGCTCTTACCACCAAACTGCAAAGCAGCTAGGAACTTGAAGGCAATGACGGAAACCAGGACAATAGTGACGGCAAGGACCAAGTATGTGGCCAGCTGGCAACGGACCGAGTTTCGAGTGTCGACATCACCAACGTAGAAGAGGTTATCGAGGCAGGTCTTCATTCTTTGGCGTAGCGCCGCATCCATGGCCAAGGTGTTCCAATATTTTGTCATGTCTGAGCCAGACTGGATCTGAAACATTTGGACAACGTCGTCGGACATGAAATTTGCCAAGGACGGGTCATCGGGAGGCGACTCTCCAGGTTTAGCAATAAGTCGGCGGCCGCCAGCCATGTAGGTGGTGAGATCGTAAACACGGCCGCCAATGATTCCAATCTTTTGCTGCTTCTCATTTAGTGTCTTCACATATTTGGGTGTGTACCCGATATTGCCTTTCTTGAAAAGGGCACGCAGCATGGTCATCTGCTCAAAGTACCAATCGGGGCGGGTATCGTTGGTGTAGTAGCGGAAATCATGGTACTTGGCGTTGAGGTCTTGGGTGCTGATGAGCGCAGGGGAAATGCCGGTGAAGTTGGTGTTCTTGTAGTCAAGTGTGACTTCGGGGCTGACAGAGCCGTCTTTGCCCTGGCAGAGAGCGCTGACTTGAATTGGGAAGAGGGAGCTAATATCCAGGCCGGCATAGTTGGTGAGAAGTTTGGGGTTAAGGTAGGGCGGGTAATGATGAGGAGTGTAGGAAGCCAAATCGAAAACATTTCCACGAATAGAAACGAGAGCACCCTTGCTACCAGACTTGCCATTGTATGAGGACAATTCTGACGGGCTGTACACATATTGCTTGGGACAGATGAGGAGAGGAAAGACGACGATGAAGAAAGCTGCAACCAGACAAAGAAACCAAATGAGAAAGTTGATGGCAACTTTTTCACGCCACGCCATGCGAACATCTTTGCGTGGCATACGACCAATCCAGCGAATGAGGAAATCCGGGATGAACCAAGTCAGCAAGTAGACAAGAAATACCCATCGCTTGCGGCTCGCACTGTCCTTGTACTCTTCAACTTCGATCAGGTCCTTCTCATTGCCTCGCTCGGCCATCTGCTCACGAGTATCAAAATTCTTAAACATGTCACCACCACCAATGGCAGAGACACCAGCTTCTGACCGAGTGTCATCGCCCGCGGCAAAGTATCCACTCTTAGTCTTTTCGCCAGCGTACATGAGGGGAGTGTTGCCACCAGAAACAAGCTGCTCCTTGGAGGCGATAAAGGGGTTGCGTTCAGGGGCACCATAGCTTTCGCCATCGGCCGAGATACCGCGGCGGGCAGGGCCGTTGGCGCTAAGATGGGCAACCTCCATCCAGCATCGTTCGCTAAGGAACACACCAGTGGAGCCAATTTGCACCTCATTGCCCGGCCAGCGCCTCTCTTCAATAACGATTTCAGCGCGCTCACGCTCGCTACCAACGAGAATGGTCTCTGTATCAATGAGCCCAAGGAGCTCGCCAAATGGCAGGAACAGACTAAAATCGGCGGAGCGCAGGCGTTGGCTGATTTCTGCGATACCAAACGTCTGAACCTGAGTCCTGACACACTTGCTATCAAACTGATTGGCAATGCGTCGGTCGTTGGGTTTCAAGCAGAACATGAAGTAGACGTTGGTGCCGGGGTCGGTGACGGCCTTCTGAACGTTGTCCAGAGATGAGAGAAATTGGCCTGAAGCACCCTGATCTAAACCAGTGGCAGTCGCGGCGCGACGCGAATCCTTTTCACGAGCGTTGTCGAGTTGCTCTAGACGATCGAGGGCGTCCTGCTGCTGCTGCTGGCGGCGGGAACCTGGCGGGCGAGCTCTAGTGCCCTTGCGAGACATGACGCTGGGGGCACGGGTAGGCTTGGAGCTGACCGACGCTTGCATAACAGTGGTCTTTTCATTGGGATGGGTCACAGTTTGGAGGGCATCCTGTCCAAACAGGCGCGCGACAAACTCGCTCTTGGTTGTGTTGACCATGTTGAGCAGATCACCAGAAATGAGCTCACCGTTCTCCTCAATGAGGCCTTTAACAGGGTAGTCGACTTCGCCGGCAAAGTGCTTAACAGTGAAGGTAGCAGCCGTGTTTTCGGTCATGAAGTTGCTCCCGGGCAGCTTGGCCGTGGCAGAGCCAATTTCAATAGCGGCATTCTTGCCCTCGAAGCGCTTGCGGAAGCTCTCGAGAAGCTGCATGTCGGTACGGTTGCGGCGGGTTTGGTCGTCGAGAATGCTCAGGAGGCCATTGCCAGATTTGAGCAGACCCTTGACCGCATCAGAGTTGTCAAAGTAGGAGGTGGGGGCAACGCTGACTTCCTCGGACTCGAGCATTTCGGCTTTGCGGTCGAAGAAGTTGTGAAGGGTAACATTGTAGAGGGCCTCAGTAGCAGCGTTGTTGAGAAGCTGGTCAAGCACAGATCTAGTAGAGCTTTGCTGGACGAAACCAGGGAAGTCGACAATGGAAATGGTGTTTGCAATAGACTCCTCGGGGGCACACAGGCGCTGGTTGGCGGATTCCATGATCCAGGCAACGAGCAAGGCATAGAGGGTTCTAGCGAGCTCGTTGGCATGAGCGCGAGCGCCGGTTGGGTCAAGCATGACGGTGACTCGCTCCTTTTGGATCATCTTGGTCTTGTAGCCTAGGGTGGTTTGCAGATCATTGGCGTTGATTCCGAGGAATGCAGCGACAATGGCAAGAACATCCTTATTCTTGACCGCGGTGAAGGAGTTGCCACCTTCGTGGGAGAAGCCACCGCTGTCACCACCGGTGACACTAGTATCGTTGGTGTTTTCGAATTCAAGCTGGCCAATGTGGAGAATGGCAGCAAGTATCTGGCAAATCTCGGCGATATCGTTGCGAGGAAATTCAAGCTTCTTGAGGGCAGTCTTGAAAAGCTGGAAGCCATCGGCATCATTGATGCCGACCTTGAGCTGTGTGGGGTGACCAAGATATTTCCAACGGGTGGCGCCGGCAACGGGGGAGTCGTCAAGGCCAAGATGGGTCCTTTCGGCGGCACTTGTTCCGGCCAGAAGGTAGTAGAGGGCATGGAAATTGCGTTCACCAGTAGGAACATCTGTGATTCGGCTTCTTTCCAGTCTGTGGTCAAGGAGCTTACCACCAATGAGGATGGGGTTGGTTGTGGAAGAAGTGTCGTATTGCAGCTCGTAAAAGAGGCCCGACTTGGAAGCAGTTGGGGTGGTGGCGGTCTTTGTCGTCGTGAGGGTATCGAAAACGTAGGCGGCGAGAGAAAGTTTGCTGGAGAGGGGGGTCGATGACTTGTTGAGCAGGGCGGTAAGGAGATGTGAGCGGATAGTGGACTTGCCAGAGCCGGATTCACCACTATAGGCATGCAGGTTAGCATCTTGGGGGGCAATTCGTATAGATTTGATGGACAATTTCCTACAGGAATACGACGGCCTGGTTTTCGGAGCGATGGCCGAGTCTCAGCCAGGCACGGTCGGCCATGTCCTCAGCACCGGCCATGGCGCTTCCTTCTTTGCCGCCATCGGGGCCCTTGGAGGACGAGGTATAGGTGTTGAGGCAGACGAGAGCGTGTGAAGATAGTCGAGCAGTCGGGTGGGCGACATGGAAACGACTAGCGAGATGGGCGGTGATGTGCGTATCGGACTGAAGATGAGTCGGCAGGGAGGGCAGGGAGTCCTGCGTGTGCGCGCCTCCGCCGAGATTCAGCATATGGGAAGCCATGTTGGGCGAGCAGCCAGAAATTGGCACTCGGGGAGACTAGGCGAGGCTCTCGATGATGCGAACGATAGTCGGGTGAGGATTGTAGGAGAAGAAAGAAGTAGGATCCGGATGAAGGCCGGTTTCGTGTACTGGGGCGTGTTGCGTACAACGATAGGGTGTCTGAAACAAAGCGTCGGTTGCCAGGCGTGTAGAAGCGAGAGGAAGCCCGAGACCTGTGCAAAGCAAGAGATGCGGTAGGAGACAGGGCTAAGAGCAGGAAACGAGGGTCAGAAGAAAAGGGAGCAGAGAAAGCAAAACTGCCCCGCGGAAGGGATTGAAGCTGAGCAGACAGGAATCGAGGGGATGGTGTTGTGATGACCAAAGCAAAAATAAAAAGATTCCAGGTTTTGTGCAGACAGGCAGGAACCTGACGGGGGCGGGCGGGCAGTCGTCCAGCCAGACGGGCCAGCAAACACTGAGAACAAATCGGGGGCGGCGGACGGTACCCGCTCAACCGCTACAGAGTACATGAGTTTGGTATACCAAATTAAGCAGCGCGACAGGGGACAGGGGACAGGGGAGATGGCGGCGCGACGGGCAAGCCAGGCCGCCAGCGCAACGAGTTCTTGAGGCTTGACCTCGTGTTAGCTTGCGCTAGAGCCCAGGGGGGGGGTCTTTGAAGTCTTTGAATGGAGTCTGATGGGACGCGATGGAGGGGGTCACAAAGGGTTACAAAGGGGGGGCGTATGTACTCTTACTCCCTGTAGTACCAGGTAGGTACCTAGCTACATTAGTAGGCATGCAACGGAAGTGCCCGAGTCCGGCCAATACACCGAGGGTACAGATCAAGCGAGGTTAGGGAGGATACCTCATTAGAGTATAGAGTAATAATTTTCTAGCCCTATACTTAGGTAAGTTTTTATCTCCTTAATATATTACTAATTCCTTTCTTTTTCTCTCTCTTATAAGCTTTAGGAATTTATTAAAAATAATATTATACTATATTAAATTATTAAAAAAATATTAAAAGATTATTAAAGTATTATTAAAATAATATAAATTTATTATATTATATTATACTATATTTATATACTAATTAAGCCTTACTTATATTAAGTATAAAATAAGAAAAGATAGTAAAAAATAGCTTAATCTCTTTATATTTATAAAAAAAGTAAATAATATTTTATTAATTTACTATTAATTTATTAATAAAATATAAGATAATATTATTTAAATCTTAGCTAATAAAGTTTTTTATTATATTTAGTTTAATAATAGTATAATATATTTTTTAATAAGTTATTATTAATATATTAATAATATATTATTAACTTATTATTAATAAAATACTATTTAACTATTAAATAATCTTTAAAATTATATTAAAAATACCTATTAAGCTAATATTAATAAAGTATATATTAACTTTACTTTTATATAAAAGTTAATAAATTTAATTAGTATATTATTTATAATATATTTATAATAATATATTAATTAAATAATAAATTATTATTAAAAAGTTATATCTTTTATAAAGAAAAAATAAAAGATTAGTCTATTATTCTTATTAAATTTAAAAAGTATATAGTAAGTTTATTTATAATTAATTAATAATATATTATTAATATATTATAAAGTTAAAAAGTAAGAAAAAGGCTATTAAGCCTAAGTCTAAGTTTAAGGGGTCTTAAGAATCTTCTAGCTCTTTAGAGGATAAGGTTAAGCTAATAGATATTACCTTACTTCCTTTACTATAAACTAAGGTAAGTTATTACTAATATATTAATAATATATTATTAATATATTAATAGACTAATAATATTAAGTAAATAAAAGCTAAGAATAATATTATTAAGGCTAAAAAAGATTATAAGGTATATATAGTTACTTAAATTAGTAAGTTATATATAATCTATTATTAATATATTACTAATATATTATTAGTATACTTTCTATATATACCTACTAATAATACTATATATAAGGTTTAATTTTATTATATTATAATAGTTAAATCTTAAAA